CGGAGTCCTTCCCAATACACAACTCCATCCCGAGTCGATTCCCACTGCGTAACTCCATCCCAGAGTCTCTTCCCACTGCACAACTCCATCCCGGAGTCCTTTCCCACTGTACAACTCCATCCCGGAGTCCCTCCCAATGCACAACTCCATCCCGGAGTCCCTTCCCTCTGCGTAACTCCGTCCCGGAGTCGTTTCTCATTGAACAACTCCATCCCAGAGTCCATACCCAATGCACAACTCCATCCCGGAATCTCTTCCCACTGCATTACTCCGTCCCGGAGTCCCTAACCACTGCGTAACTCCAACCGAGAGTCCATACCCAATGCAGAACTCCATCCCGGAGACCCTTCCCACTGCGTAACCCCATCCCGGAGTCCATCCTCACTGCACAACTCCATCCCGGAGTCCCTCCCAATGCACAACTCCATCCCGGAGTCCTTTCCCAATGCACAACTCCATCCCGGAGTCCATACCCAATGCACAACTCCATCCGAGTCCCTTCCCACTGCGTAACTCCATCCCGGAATCCATAACCAATGCACAACTCCATCCTGGAGTCGTTTCCCACTGCACAACTCCATCCCGGAGTCTCTCCCTCTGCGCAACTCCATCCCGGAGACCTTTTCCCACTGCATAACTCCATCCCGGTATCTCTTCTCAGTGTTCAACTCCATCCCACAGTCCCTCCCAATGCACAACTCCATCCCGGTGTCCCTCCCAATGCACAACTCCATCCCGGAGACCTTTCCCACTGAAAAATCCATCCTGGAACCCTTTCCCACTGCGCAACGCCATCCCTGAGTCCATACCCAATGCACAACTCTATCCTGGAGTCCATACCCACTGCACAACTCGATCCCGGAGTCCTTCCAAATGACAACCCCATCCCGGAATACTTTCCCACTGCACAACTTCATCCCAGAGTCTCTTCCCAATGACAGCTCCATCCTGGAGTGATTTCCCACTGTGCAATTGCATCCCAAACTCCTTTCCCAATGCACAACTCCATCCCGGAGTCCCTTTCCGTTGAATAATTGTATCCCAATATCCTTTCCCACTGCCCAATCCCAACGCAGAAACATGCACATGTTATTACTCTTTTATTAATGCCCCACCCCACCTATTGTAAATTAAACACAAAATGGGGCTCCCATTTGTGTGAAGAATATGTGAACATGACTTTGAACTCTATTTTATAATAATAATACTTCCATTTGATATAGCACCTTATCGTGTCTTAGAGACTTCTGAAAGCACTTCACAGAATACATTGTAAATTGAAAATTTTAAAAAATGTAAGATTTCACCTCACTTATTATTCACCTGTATGTGAAATTACAGTAAGATTTGCATAATTCTTATCTTTATAAGTCGTACAATCGCCAAAGTGGTACTTCATTTTTGTTTAAACTTTGTGCCACATTCAGTAAAGATAAATAATTGCATTCACAATAAGTTGAATTACATGATTTTATGTCCTATCTCTGTTTATATAAAAAGGGCAAACAATACCTTATTCTTTAAAACAGTGTTCCTATTTGTGAGGCACTGGAGTCCCACTGTGTAGTTTCTTACCTGACTTTGCAGATTCTCTTTGATTTTCTCTTCTTCTCCGAACAACAGCAGCAACAACAAACATGTATACAGCGCCGCTCACACAGGACAGACAGACTCTGCGCTGTTACCTTTCAGCCTCAAGTTATAGCTTCTTGTCTTCTCAGAAATGCGCGTCAGGTTATAGCTCTTTTACCCTCCTCCCCCCCCCAGGAATACAGCTTTTTATTCTCTTCTCTTCTCTTCCTCGACTCCTTGTCTTCTCAGAAACACCGGTTGGGTTATAGCTCTGATGTCGCTCTCCTTTAGCTCTTCTTCTTGTCTTCTCTTGGCCGACGCTCCAGCAATCCTGAGCCTCTGAGTCGATGGACCCATATTTATACACCTCAGGACCCCTCTGCCTGTGACGCCCTCAGCCCATTGGCTGCAGTCAAAAACTGTGCCATAGTAATTGGCCGGAGATGGGCTTCGCTGCTGATTGGCTGCTCACGGGACCTGGTGACAGCTGTTGTTATGGCAGAACCTGTTTGTGATTGGCCACTGACTGAGCGGGAAAGTTTGTCAGAAAGGCTTCCACCGGATTTTCTCCTCACAGACACCCTGAAGGCTTCCCTCACAGGGCTCAAGATTTTGTGCCACACTTTCCCTGGAGATAAATAATTCCACGCATGATAAATTTGAAATACTTGATTGTATCTCCTACAAACTACCTTTTTAATATAAAAAGAGCTGATATTGCCGCAATTTTAACATTTTATATCAAACGGAGCAGAGCTTAATTTATAATTTGTGAACAAGGCTCCAAACTCAATATTTTATATTAAATGAATGAAACTATATATAAAGATATATATATGTGAGTTTACTTTACAGTATATTCTGTGAAGCGCTGTGAAATGTCTCAATGACATGATAAGGCAGTATGTCAAATTCTAGGATTATTTTATTTTATAATAATATAACAATAGTCCTTGCATTCGATATATTGCCTTATCACGTCGTTGAGACACATCAAAGCGCTACACAGAATATACGGTAGTGACTGTATATTTGTGGACGAAACATGGCAGCCAATTATGGACAGCAATATCCCACAATATTTTTATGTTTTATTATTAAGCTTCAAATTTCACTATGACTAATTTTAATGATATTTTAATACTGTCGGTATTTCCTTTCAGTGGAATATGCCTTAGGAACAATGAGCTCTGGAATATGTGGTCAGACTGACAACCAAAATATATTTGTTTTAAATCTTAAGGGTTTTTGATTAAAGCTGTTCAGTTAGGACAGAATTTTTCTCTCGCAGCAAAGCAACAATAAATGTGATACATTACTATGCTTCTCAGAATATCTCGACACGCACCCTGATGTTCAGAAGTGTAGTGGTAACAACTTGAGATTATAAGCAAATAATAAAAAAATTATAAATACAATATATAATATATAAATTATTAAAGAAATGAAAGCTTGTCAGGCAGCAATATCAAAGACAAACTACACAGTTTTAGCTGATCAGAGTCCAACAGTAGCTCAGTTCAGATCCCAAACTACCCACAATCTGAGGTAACATTTCGCCCACAAAATATACACTACTTTATATTCTGTGAAGCACTTTGAGAAGTCTCAATAACGTGAATAGGCGTTATATCAAATGCAAGGATTATTTTTGTTAATCTTGTGATGAATTTAATTGGGGTTGTCAGTAAAGCAATTCCTTTCAAATGTATAAAAGTGCAAATTTACTGTTTACCTCAGCGCACGCGTTTACATCATATAAAATATAGATTAGTGAGTGGCTTATTCTAATGAGTATTCAGTGCAGGCATCACAATAACAAGTGCATTTATCGAGTTGTGTTTCATTCTCTTGCAGTGGGTTCCTGCAATCCAGCAGGCTCCGTGTCCCTCGCCTCGGACATTGTAAGTGTATGTTTTGTTTACGACTGAGAGTTCCACATGTGTGTGCCACTCCACATGGAAATATTGCTGACATAGGGACATTCTCACGTGTAGCTGGCATCCATCCATCCATTTTTTTGATCACTATGTCAGTCAGACATATGCAGAAACCATCACCATGCGTAAGAGTATCCAGACACGACATGTCTCTCTGCAGTTCCCAAAAGCAACTTTGCAATGGATTGCCACACAACATGTCTGGTCAGGATACTCATATACAGTGATGGGTTTCCACATGTGTCAGACTGTCGAGCTGAACAAAGAATTTAAATGACTGAAATCTACATAAGAAAAGATGGGATTCTTAATTGGACGAGAGCACCTCTAATCCACTAGCTCCCTCATCATTCCATCTAATTGTATTTGAATATTTACATGGAATATAACACAGGTGCCGTTAAATTTAATTTAAGTGTGGTTGTGGGTGGGTGTTTGTGTGCATGGGGGATATATGTTGTATATAATATGTGCTGATCAGAGGTATTTTGTGCCTCTTCTCCATTCAGGACTCCTGTCAGTGTCGGATGAATGTTGAGGGCTCAGTCTGTGACACGTGCAAACCTCTCTATTGGAATCTTACACCAGAGAACCCACAGGGCTGCTCTAGTAAGCGACGTGTGATCTCCCCACTATTGTGTACCATTCCTTTCAGTCACTTTTACCAATTTAGCTTAGAATTGTAACATCGCTTCCTTGGGACTCTGACCATACCAACCTGTCCACTCCCTCCGCTTGGCGGGCCCTTGCCTGCTCCATGTCCCCTCGCCCTTCCCGCCCCATCATTGGGCATTCAGGCCTTCAGCCTTTCTGCCCCCACCGTCTGCAACTCCATCCCAGGGCCCCTCAGCCTCACCTTCTCCCTCACCCCCTCCTTCGACCCCGCCCTCACCCGCTCCCTCACCCCCTCCCTCACCTGCTCCCTCACCCCCCCTCTTATCCGCTCCCTCACCTCCTCCCTCATCCCGTTCTCACCTGCTCCCTCACCCCCTCCCTCGCCTCCTCTCTTGCTCCTTCAAGGTCTGTCTCAAGACCTTCCTCTTCAACCGTGCCTTTGATCATCCTCCTACCCCCGTCTGCATGCTCGCCACCCCTCTTGATTCCAACCCCCAGCTTTGGGTGCAAAGCTTTGACTGTCCAGCACCTTAGGACGTCCTCCTTCTTGTGCATTATCTCCCAATCTAGGTCTTTTTTGAGAGAGCTTTTCTGATTGATTGTGGACCTCTTTAACCTCTTTCCTCACAGTCTGCCAGTGTTATACGGACGGTACATTGAACAGTGTTGCGGAATGCATGCAGGTGAGTCACACCGGAATATTGGATGCAACTCCTCTTACTTTCTGCATGATTCCCAATCCTGAATTCCTAATACACTTTGTCTTATTCCATTCATCAGCTGATTGTATTGGAGACATTTTTATGACAGTAATTTCTATCTAGATTTTTAAAAATTAAATTCACAATTTGTTAATTCAGTTTAACATTTTTAAAATATCTTTGTGAAATGTGAATCGGCGTGATGTTTTTTCATTGGACTGTAGCTTTGGGGTCATGGAGCTCTCTAAACGGAGAGAGATCCTGTAAAGTGTAGTGACTGTGTATTTTGTAACGGAAAAGTGTCAGCTAATTTGCGCTGAACAGTGTCTCACAAACAGCCAATGACAGGTAGACTTTGTTTAGGATGTGCTCTATGTAATGCTAATTCTCTTTCTGTAGAGCGACGGGCAGTGTTTCTGTAAGCCCAATGTCTGCAGACAATCTTGTATGACATGTAAACCAGGATACTACAGTCTGAGCAACAGGAATTATTTTGGGTGTAAAGGTGAGTGACCTGTGTGGAATGTTCTCCTCAGACTAATGAGAGGGGATTAGGAGGGATGGATTGCTATCCACTTATTTCACATCAGGAGGGTATCTCAATGCACCACAAAGAATATATTTTGTAGACGAACGCAGCAGCCAATTTGCATACAAAGAATGTTCCACAGACAGCCGCATAGTGTAGTGACTGTGTATTTTGTGAGCATTGGGGCACATTTCATGAACTTCCCCTTTTTATAGCATTTTATCAGCTCGAAATGTGCCCAAACGTTAACCATTGAATATGAAGAGCTTTCACTATACAGGGTCTTGGTGTCAGGCTGTACAACCTACAATTGGTGTTTGTGTTGTCTCTGCCCTCAGGCTGTCAGTGCGACATCGGAGGCTCTGTTGGTGGTCTGACATGCGACGACCGGTCAGGAAGATGCCAGTGCAGACAGAATGTTGAAGGACGCACGTGCAGCCAGTAAGAACTCCACTCCCTTTCTCCATGCAGTATTCCATTTGCACTTTCACTATGTTGGATTCTCTGCTATTTGTTTAATGTACAGTATTTTTGTTTTCAAATTAAATATTTGAAGTGAAGCATTCACTCAAAACAGAAAGTAAATTGAGTCACAGGTCGCTCAAATTGAGTAAATGATCTGATGTGGGTGCAAATTCTCAGGATTCAACTTACGTTGTAATAATTTGATCTCTAGCACCTTTCATGTCAGGAATGTCTGGCAGGGTTTACTGTACAGTGGAACGACTGGCTATTTGTTGGCGAATGGCTGAGAAACATGGACTAATTATTTTGCTATGATGATTTGACTGAGGTGTTGACAGCTGCCAATCTCCTCGCTTTGTAGAGCAAAGCCTGATCACTACTTCCCTGACCTGCACCACCTGAGATCGGAGATTGAGGATGGTACAACTCCTGAGGGGAGGCCTGTCCGTTTTGGCTTTAGCCTCCTGGAGTTTGAAGACTTCAGCTGGAGAGGGTACGCACTGATGTCTCATATTCAGGTAAGTGGGCACAGAGCTTGTGAGAATCCTGCCGGGCTGGGTGGCTGGATATTTTGACCAAGAATGCACAGTATGCTTTAGGTTTTGTTTAGTTCTTTAATGCTTTATTTACCTTCCATTGATAGACTTTGCATTTGTCTCATAATTACTCAAGACAAATGCAGAGTCTGTGGAGGAGCTTGCCATATATTGAGGTCATAAGGATGGATGGTTTGTGGATTTACAATGGAGTGTTAGCAAGAGGGGATCTACAGGGTTTAACAAGCATCTGAGGGCAGGTTGAAGGAAGCCTCATTGTCCATCTGGCTGTGCTGTTCATGACCAGCTGGACAATGCCACATTAGGCGTAAGTGGAAAACTTTCTTCACAAGTGAGGCTAGACAGTGAGCGTTGACAAGCTTTTTGCCTCTCTGACAACTTCATCTCTATGTGATACAATATATATGTTTTTAAAAATCTGACAAATAAAACCCAAATTGCCCACAAAATCCTCCAAAATGAATGGGCTAAAATTCCACCTGGGTCTAGATTTACTCTATTAACATAGCATTTTAGAATATCGAGGGTTTGCAAAATACTTAAAATACACTTTCAATTTTTAAACTGATATTCTGTAAGTTCTTTTGGGAAGTATAATAAATAGCCACACTCTGAAATGCAACATTAATGGAGTAAATCTAATTCCAGGTGGAATTTCCACCCCAAAATTGTGTTCATTTAAATATTGATTCAAACCCATTTTGCAAACATCCAACTAAATTCCAAGTTGTAAATTTCCCCTGATAAGTGGAGAAAGCGAGGATAACGAATGGTTTTACACGTGCAATATATTTTTACCTGTTGATTGAAACATCAAATATTTTGGTAACGCTTAACGATATCTTTTCTAGAAGATTTTATTCCCTTTTTTTGACACAGCGCATTGGTCTAAATGTTTTTATTCACTGCATTCACTGCCCTTTAACCAATAAGAGCCAGTTGTGTTTGTGATTTGCGATGTACTGTCTATCTGCAGAGAATGTCACAATGGAACCATGCAACCACATCTCCTCCAAAATCAGTCATGAACCCACTCTGTCAGCCACTCCTTATGCAGTAGAATGTCACTGAGTCATTTTTCTAAGACCCCATTTTATTATTAATCTCACTTTCCATTTTGTTTCTCTGAATCTCCCTTAATGTTTCTGTTGCTCAAGTCTTGTCCAGTTCCTATTGAACGATTTCAATGATCCAGGGTCAATAATGAGTGAATTCCATATGCTGACATCCCTCTGAGTGAAGACATTTCTTCCCTGATTCTTCTGCTCACAATCCTGAGTGATTTCCTAATGAGAGGAAACAGTTTATCCCCTTGGGTGGTTGCACACCCTTTCGCTGTGACATTCACTGTGTGATTGAAATTGACATATTTTACCGTGTTTAGAACTTGGTAAATTTGGGCAACGCTTTGCTTACGTGGGCTGTTGGCTTCTAGAGTGTGTGCTTGCTCAGGTGATGGAATCAAGTATCATGCTTCCCCTCCCCTTCTCTTTCCCCCCAGCTTAAGGTAGTTGTGACAGTCAATGTGAGCACCCCTGACCTGTTTCGCATAGTCTTCCGCTATGTGAACCGCGGACCTACTGATGTGAAAGGAATGGTCATGGTCAGCGAAATAAATCTTGATGTTTGTGGGAACTGTAAGTGGTTTTTGGACCTTAATTACCTTTATTTCTTATTGGCTTCTCTCTGGGTTCTCGTGGCTGATTCCCAAGCAGCATAGAGATAGTGGCCCGTGCTTGCAGGTTTGTTCAAGGCTTATGCACTTTGCAGGTGATTGTCTTCTCCTTTGCTAAGTGGTTGGACACATTGCACTTTGCGAGCCATTGTCAAGTCATACCTCGAATTCCTTTTCGTTTTCACAGAATAAAGTCAAAGTAGCCATGCATGTGAAGGATTCCAAGATTTATTTATTCCGTTTCATCTTGAGGTATATTAATACAGGACCTGCCACTCTGTATGGCAAAGTTACAGCTTATATGGCCCGAAGAAAAGGTAAGGTTTAGACCAGCGAGAAATGTTCCTGGACTGTTTATTGTTAATTGTCTCTCAGCGCAGTTTGAGGTCCTGAGGCGTTGAAACACAATCCAGTTTCTACCATGTTCCAGCCGTTCTCTGTCTGTTGTGCATGAGTGTGTTGCCCCGTTCAGTACCTGCAAAGTTGCTGCCCTGATAGCCAAACTGAACCACATACATTCCAAGCCTGATTTAAAGACTGTTTTTTATTTTTTCCTTAATCGTGGTAGGAAGTGTAATGTTTTTTCCCCCTCCAACCCACAGAGACTTGATTTTCCTATGGCACAGTTAATAAAAAGAGTCCCGATTCTTGACACTGTGTTGTAGTAAGTTTTATGTATCATAGGAAATGGAGCAGGACATTCAGCCCCTCCAGCCCACTCTGCTACACACTATCCCATAGACCATGTGCTACAACCTTTCTCTAATCCCACTCCCCCTACCCCAACCCTCCTTTCCGTGCCCCTTAATATTTTTGCTCCCCAAGCATCTTTCCAACTCACTCTTAAATCCTGCAGTTGTTCTCTCCTTTATTTATAGGAACATAGGAATTACTAGACAAACACAAACACTAATGGTGCATTAAGCTCCATACATAGACCTTTGATAAGCTTGTTCATTCTGGTTTTCTTATTATTTTCTCAAGGCTCCGAACAGACCAAACAGATCATTTTTGCCCCCAGCGTGAAGCCATCATTTGTCACTGTCCCTCAGAACACCTTTGTGGAGCCGTTCGTCCTGAACCCTGGGATCTGGTCCATTGTCATCGAGGCACAAGACATCCTCTTGGTAGGTTATTACAGTTCAGTCTGATCCAGTGGTGTCAAGAACAAAAGATAAAGAGTTTCAAGCAAACATTTAATACTTAGTGACATTAGCGTAAAGAAAATTTATTGTGTAACTTGTAAAGGATTTTTTGGAACAATATTTTGACTTCTGCTACTGTTTGGCTACAGTGCTGACTCTCAAAATTGGATTGGCCTCAGACCTGCCAATATGCAATCCATAAGTGTTCAGATCAGGGATGGCCAACACGTGGTCCATATGACTGTTCTACACACACGGCCCTCGAGCCACATGTTGGCCATCTTTGGTTCACATAATTCCCAATTGCGATATTAGATGGTGCTTTATATATGGTGAGATTAGTGTAGGTGACAAGTATCTGTTGTTGTCCAATGCAGGTTTTAACCCTGCTGATGTTACACAAGTACTGTGTGTAGAAATATGTAGATGCAAATCAAAAGCATATTGGTATACAATGACTCGCTGTTTACTTTCCCATCTCTTGCAGGATTACCTGGTCTTGCTGCCTAGTGCTTACTACGAAGCCCCAATCCTGCAGCTCAAAGTGACCGAGCCCTGCATGTATACACGGAGTGCTGACGACACAGCTGTCAAGTTAGTACATAGGCAGAAATTTGGACATTCAGTGATGTGAACTAATTAATGCCTTGGTCTCCTCAATCTCAGCATTGCCTTTTTCAGACAGTGATAGAAACATGTCAAACTGTTGCATCATGTTTCTGCATTTATCGCTTAACTGTGCGATTAGTTTCCGAAAGCTGTCGTGAGCTTGGCTATTAACCAATTGTGTGTTTCTCTACAGCTGTTTGCTGTACAGGTACCTCTCTCTGCACAACTTCCCATCACTGCACCCTGCAGAGGGCTCCTGTGCCTATGAAAACTACCTCCACAGCCAATGTCAAGTGATACAACCCACTCCGAGACACCCACCCATGGTCATCCTCAATCACCAGCAGGTTAATCATTATGTTATTACAACGATAACTTGCACTCACATAGGATAATGTCTCGTGATCCTTTACAGAAATACAGGGCGTTGATTGAAGGTATAGACTGAGAGCTGTTAGGATGGTTTTGAAGTTAGGAAAAGCAACACAAAATAAGAGGAGTTGGGAAGAGAGTTCCAGAGAGCAGGGGTTTAGTGACTGAGAGTTTAGGTCACCGACATTAAAATGATTTGATATACATTGTAGGAATGTTCCTCTTCTGATTTAATCTGCTTCTCTTCTGCGTCCTGACCTATTTAATCTTGTGTAGATTTTAATACCATGAAATCGTATCTATTCGACGTGATGCTGGTGATGTAATCCTGACAATCAAGACTGTGGACTTAATTGTAGGAGGCTTTATTGAGGAAATCTTAAATGTAGCAGAATAGTGGTGAATACCATGGGGAGTAAAGTAACACTTGTTGTAGTTTAACCGACTTTAAAAATCTATTCTTTTTTATAAACTATCTCTGAGGAATTGACTTGTGTAATTGCGCTTCTGAACACATTGCAACAGCATCCAGGCCTCACTGTGTGGTTACGTTGCCTGCAACTGTTTTACCATCAACCATGTCCAAACCGTGTATCTCTTCAAGGCTAACATCCGATTGAGACTGAGGGTTCCTCACTCGGGGGCCTACGTGATCCTGATTGAATATGCGACAGAGGCAGATCCATCCCCGAGTGTTGACATAATTGTGAATGGGTTAGGAGAAGGCAGCCAGTCAGGCACAATCATCCTCAACGACTGCAAATACAGGTAACTGTGACTGACACACAGGGCCTCAGAAGGTAGGCTTTCCTCTTGAACGCTGCTCACTCAGCTCCTTTAAGCAGTAACCTTATCATCACGTGAGCAGAGGGAAATATTCATACTGCACTTTGCTTTTTTATAAAAAACATGTTTTTGTTCTCCCAATTTTCTCTCATCCTCGCAAAGAAGCCCGAGGCTGCCTGATATCTCACTCAATAATCATCCTCGCATTTGATACAGTGACTTATCGTGTCATCGGAACATCTCAAAAAGCTCTTGACAGGAGTTTACTGTAAAATGTACATGGTCAGTGGATCGCAATCACCAGCAGGGACTTTAGACAGGTTCCAGCCAGCCAGCCAGATGCAGCAGGAGTTTATTCAGATGTGTGGGAAAGTGTAGATAAGCTCTGAGTGTTCTGGAAACTATCCAGATCAATTATTACGCTTCTTTCTTCCCCTAAATAAATCTGGGGGCAAGTCATAGAGAAGTGTCATGTATATTTCACATGTTTGATAGAACAGAAATGTAAGTTCATAATAATAATAATAATCCTTGCAGTTGATATAGTGCCCAAGCACACTGTCGGGATATTTCAATGAGATTTTACTATAAAGTGTAGTGACTGAAGTTTATACAAATGCGAACATCTTGCAGAACATAAGAAATTGCACAGCTAGTTCCTGAGAACAACAACTTGCATTTACATAGCACCCCACAGTCTCACTGAGCCCCACTGAGTCTCACTGAGCCAACCGAAGCTGCACATGATTACGTTATCCTTCAATTTGCAAAGTAAATGCTTCTTGCAATTTGAAACAATCTTGCTCACACTGAGGCCAGAGGAGGTAGCTGTGAGGCTGTATTGTTATCACTGCCATTTGTTTATTTGTTGCCAATTATGAATCTTATTTCAGAAAATCAACTTCATTTCGAACCAGTGGCAACCAAAAGGTAACAAATGCTGGCTCTCTGCCCACTGAGAGGAGCTTGAAGAGAAATAGCAAAAAAACAGTCACTACATCTGACAGTAATTATTCTGAAGACCTAATTAAAGATTGTCTCTTGCCGCTGCCTGCAGTTAAGCCTGTGTTTTCATTGCAGTTTTCTTTGCCGAGGTGTGACGATTGATTCGTTGCAACGTGTGGCAGTTTATGAGTTACCGACAGATGTGGAGCTGCAGATCATCGCAGATTCAGCCGGACTTTTACTGGTGAGCGGTTCCCGTGTGTCCCCAAATCAGGGTGAGGGAGTGGTGGTATAATGTTTTTCTGATGTGTGACAGCTGTCAGTGAGCAGGGAAATGCCAATTACCCGAGCGAATATGAAAGGTTGTGCGTTGCTGAGTTTTACTATCAAATACATCACCATTAGATGTTCTGCACTATCAGAATAACTCTGCCTTATTTTATCTTTGTGTTGATTATATAAGCTAGTCCTTATATAACCAATATTAAAATCCCTTTTTTCCTCAGCCAAGTGTCTGACAAGTGGGGAAACCCACCACCATGCTTAAGAATATCCAAACCAAACTGAGAATCCCACCTACACATGGAAATTCCAGAGATAAATTGTTGGATTACATGGTGTTTATAAGGATTTTATATATAAAAAAGTTTCCAAACGAAGACCATCTCAAAGTGCTTCACAGGATTGTAAAGTGTAGTGACTGTGTCCCGAGCTAGATGACTAGTCAGCTATGTGGCGATCACTTCATTTAGGATGACTGCTAATTTGTGTGGTTTGTTACAGAGCAAGGTGTACCTCATCCCTCATGAAGACTTCAACATGGAGTACGTGCAGCCGAACGTCCATTGTATCAGCACACACGGGGCATTCACATCAGACGGGTAACTACAAAGCTCTGTGCTTCTCCAGTGATACCGACCGCATGGTGATTGAGCCTCTGAGGTGGTTAGCTCACATTCTCTTACAAAGGGTTACTGAGTAGTCAGAGCTAAACCAGGTTATATAGAAGGAATCTTCAAGCTCTTAGTTCGTTGTTTAGCTCCTTAAGAGTATCAGCAACAACAGCTTGCATTTATATAGCACCCTTCACATAGGACAACATCTCAGAGGAAAAGGACAAAAGTATCAATTGTCACTCGGTTTCCCATGCTGCTACTAATCCATTTGAGTTTATAATTGTTGAGCAACCCTTAGACACTGCTGCCATTGGCTGGTTCTAATCGGAGGAGTATTCATCTGTGAGGCGGTAAATCACTTTTATTGAGTTATTGGAACTAAACATTATTGACACTTATTTTCATCACCATCTTTCTTGCAGCAGTTCTTGTGCGCCCTCCAGATTTCAAAAGCCTTCCCAGTCCATCATGCTTACAGAAGGCCAGACATCATCAGCTTCAACGCTGCTGCATCTTCATCCTCTCGGAAACCATTCGATCGACCAGCTTCATCGCCCGCAGCAGCCTTCCCTCCGACCGGCCACCATAATGGACACGGCTGACGTGATCTTACTTGGGTCCCCTCGGGTAATTGGCTTCCCTTGTCCTGGCCAATGGAATATGTTTATGGTGCAACCTTCAGACCCTCTTCCCCCCGCTCCCCCTCACTGCTGTGAAGGAGTGGGTCAATAGACAATTTACTGGGAGGAGCGGGAAAGGTAGAATTGTAAATTGGGGAACTAAGAAACCACTACAAACAGTGATATCTTTATGCTTTCCAGACGGTTGTGACTTTCAGCGACCGTGTTCAGACGTTGGGTCGCTATGCCTTTGTGATACACTTTTACCAGCCTGAGCACCCCACCTTCCCCGCAGAGGTGCTCATTAATGGAGGACGGCTTTGGCAAGGTAAACAATTTGATCTATTGAAGACAGGCACACATAGTGGTTCAGGACTGTAGCTTATTGGTAAGTTGTGCTGCATAAAATCAGTCATTCCCTCCTATCTATTTTTCTCACTGTTGCTATTTTGACCAATGCGGTTTGAAGGTGGTATTTCCTCTTCAAAAACTGACCCCGACCCCTTTCTCTTCCCCCCTTTTGCGTTTAATGGCTCCAGGCTACACCAATGCCTCCTTCTGTCCCCACGCCTATGGCTGCCGCAGCACAGTCCTTGCTGAGAATAAGATTGTGCTGGACGTGACGGACAACGACGTGTCTGTTATCATCCGTGTTCCTGATGGCAAGACCCTGTGGTTGGTGAGTGGTGGTATCTGCATTGCGGTAACAAAACCCGCTGTATTCTGTGTGGGGAACATCTATCTCAGCTGCCAGTTTCTAAGAACATCAAAGCATCTCGGAGCACTGCAGAGTTGTTGTTGTAGCTGTTCTGATCATTATGAAGTATCTCAGGAGATAACAATGCTCTGAAGAACCCACTTCCAGTCAACTGGAGCATGTTTGGCCAGTAAACCTCATCTGCTCCTTCTCTGACTTGTATATTTCTCTGCTCTGCAGGGCTACATGCTTATTGTGCCGGAGACCAGCTACAATCCTAACTACCTGGTTGAAGAACCCTTGGATAAGTCATACGATTTCATCAGTGGCTGTGGAGCAAACAGCTTCTATGTAAAGTAGGTTCTCGCCATCACGGCTAAACACACTTTTAACTGTGTAACCACTGGTTCTGATAGAAAAGTGATTTTATAATGCTTTAAAACCTTCTAAAAACCTTTCCCTTAAATTGCGTTAAAAGACCAGATTTTGGTTGAATGTCTCAAACCGAAAGTCGTCACTTTCCACAAAACATCAGCCGAGATCTATGTGCTCAAAAGTCGCAAAGTGGGGCTTGAACCCACAACTTTCTGACTCAGAGGCCACAGTGCTACCCGGCCAGTAAATATTACAGCTCAGGGTAGACAGTGCTGGGGACCGGTGTCAGGATTTCCTTGGTTTGGGCAGCTCAGTGTGGCTCACTCCACAATTCGCTCCTTAAGTAAAAAATAAGTCTTAGCCATATCCAAACCTGTGTGTGTTCAATAGTAAAGGAATTTTTGGAATGTGCTCAGCAGTTTACCTGAGGGTTTTTGAAGGTTTGTTTTTACACCATTGTAAATGTGGCTGTAAATCTCTGTTGCAGCCCCGCAACTACCTCCACGTTCTGCAAACACTCTGCCATCTCTCTCTCCGCGTTCTACAATAACGGCGCCCTGCCCTGTGCCTGCCATGAGGTCGGAGCCTCGAGGACATCCTGTGATCCGTTCGGAGGCCAGTGCATTTGCCGACCCAACGTGATTGGCCGGGACTGCACTCGCTGTGTAACCGGCTACTACGGATTCCCAAACTGCAGACGTAAGTGACTCTGAAACCAGCGTCTGGTTCTGTAGCTCGTTGCAGGGTAGAATAGACTGAAGTCTGGGAACAGGTTGTTTGTCTCTCAATCTCTCGGCTGATAAATATTATTGGTATAGAAGGGGCTGGTGGGGGCTGGGGGTGGGGGAATGGAGGATGGGGGGTGGTTGACCTTTGGCACGGTTGGAGAGGTGGGTTTTAAGGTGGGATTTAAAGATAGATAAAGAGGGGGGAGGGCGAGGCGGAGGGATGGAGGCAGCAAGTTCCAGAGGGTTAGGGGTGAAGAGGCTGAAAGCACGGCCACTGTCGCCACATGGAGGGGTCAAGGGATGTGCAACAGAAATGTTACCCTCTTCACCCAGCAATCAGAATGACCCCCATCCTCATCCTGTCATCTCTCCAGCTTGTAACTGTGGCAAACGCTTGTGTGAAGAGGTCACAGGTCAGTGTATCTGCCCCCCGAGGACCATCAAACCCGAATGCATTGTCTGCCAGCCCCAGACCTTCGGCTGCCACCCCCTGGTTGGCTGTGAGGAGTGTAACTGCTCGCGTGTCGGTGTCCAGAACCTGACCAACGGGTGCAACATTGAGAGCGGCCAATGCAGGTGAGAGTCTGGTCCCTCAGCTCATGGAGTTGTTACTTGGCTCGCGACAGGTGCCAGATTGCAGGAACATCTCAGGGGGAATCACCAAACATGATAACACTTGGGTCTTTACATGAGATTTTGAAAGATGTATTTTTTCTTAAACAGGCAGTGTTACTTTGTTCAGTGGTTAGAAATCATGAGCAAGTTAAGTTGTCGAAATAGAGTCCCTTGTGGGTTTCAGGAGGGAAGTAGACATGAAAGATAAAGGGTTAAATGGTTATGTTATTGATGACTAACATCAGCCTTTGTTTAGGTGCAAACCAAATGTGGCAGGACGTCAGTGCAGTCGCTGTGCTCCTGGCTATTACCACTACCCCAACTGTATGCTGTGCGATTGTGATGAAGCAGGAACCGAGGCAAGCGTCTGTGACTCGCTCACTGGGCAGTGCCATTGCAAGGTCAGTCCCAGTCCCATGCTTTGTCACATGTCGGATTTCACTTTAATTGTGCAATTAAAAAGCACCTGCAATCTGCTCTGTACACGTACATTAACACATGCAGTAAACACGTACACACACACACACACACCTACACACAAATATACACATGCAAAAAACAAATTTGGTCACTCAATCCACGACTGTTTGTGTGACACTCACTGCCGTGTGCAATTGGTTGCCGCAATTCGTCCACAAAATACAGTCAATTCACTTACTTTACAGTGAATCCTGTGATGCGCTTTGAGAGGTCTCAACGACGTGATAATGCGCTATATCAAATGCAAGGATTATTATTACACACCGTATACTGTCATTTCCAACAGATCCATGGGACATAGGAGAGGAGAATTTTGAGCCGCGACTTCTCTGAGGTTTTACTAACTGAACCAGAACAGAATGTTCACACTTTCACTCTGTCTTTCCTGGTTTTGCTCCGAGCAGGAAAACGTAGAGGGTCCACACTGCAACACCTGCCGCCTGGGAACATTCTACTTGGATCCGGCGAATCCCAAAGGCTGTACCAGCTGCTTCTGCTTTGGGGCTACTAATCGGTGCCACAGCTCAACCAAGAGGAGAAGTCAGGTTACCATCGCTGTGGTTCCTCTTTATTAGCTGGGATTCTCTTCTGTCCTGCCTTTCCCCTTTAATTCCAGCTCCCGCTATCTGAATCACTCACATCATGGGGCCGTTGCACGTCAAAAACAGAACATTTGCTATTAAAATGATACTGTTTACCGGTCTGGAAGCTACACCCGACCTTCCCTGTGGTCAGGGAGGGTAAATTCAGTCAGGCTTCCTGCTCCGTGTCCCTCTTCAGCAGCAGTGAGCCTGGTGGGTGAGGTCAGGCTTGCTGTGGCAGTCCAGTGACCTGCCAACACTCACAAGCCTCATACATGAACAGAGAGCAACCAACAGTCTTGCAAACCCCACAACACAACAATCTCTACATATATAAACATGGAATGTTACTCACTCTCAAACTGTTTTGTGTCAAACCATTTTACCTTCCAGCTGGTCCACATGCATGAATGGAGCCTGGTGAGTGCAGATCACCACGAGCTGCCGGTGTCCTTCAACCCCATGGAGATGGAGGTTGAAGCTGATCTGCGTGACATCCCCGATGTGTACCAGGAGCTGTACTGGCGAGCACCACCCACCTTCCTGGGGGATCAGGTATGTTCAAATACACCTCAGATGTCTGCAAACCTCTTTGGAAATCAATCTTAAAATTAAAAAAAATGTGTTTGAGCCTCAAAGATTGAAGTGTATCAAAGCTCTTTACAGCCAATTACTGTCAGATACAATGCCTGCGCCAGTAGGGCATCTTCACAGCCAATTTGGTCACAGCGACATTCCACCAAGACTCATTAGGTGAGTGGCTAATTGATCTGGAGGATTATTGGCCTGTATAGGAGCGAGGGAGAAAGTGTGCAAATTGGCTGCCACATTCGTCTACAAAATGGACAGTCACTACACTTTACAGTAAAACCTGTGAAGTGCGTTGAGAAATCCTACTGATAAGAAAAGTACTGTATCAAATGCAAGGATTATTATTACCATAATTATTATTATTGAAGGTTTCATCATACGGAGGATACCTGACATTCCAGCTACGGTCAGAAGTGCTGAGGGGGGACATCCTCTCTGTACCAGTGGAAGCTCGGTCAGATGTGATTCTGAAGGTACGTTAAACAGTCGATGATCTTTATACTGGAGCTCACTACAGGAGTCTTTCACACAATAATCTGGAGAAAAAACTAGAAGGGAAACCAACGAATGATCGAAGCTTTGTTGGTAACAGGTTTTATAAGATCCTGTAGTTGAGCATATGTTAAGGCTTTGTTGCCAAAAACAAATTGTGATTCTTGATTTCTCCATTTTATTCCCCAGGGAAACCAAATGACTATAATGTATGTGACAAAGGATTATCCCTCTCCTGGGCAACTTCACGAGGACCGTGTTCAGCTAGTGGAGGTCTGAGCAAGAGGATTCTTATGGCTTTTAAGATGCTATTTGTGCAACAAGTTGACATTTCACGTCATGAGGGCTTCTCAATGCGCTTCAAAAAAGGGGTGCGTGGGGACAGGTGACCTAAAGTGTGGTAGAAAAGCAAGTTCTTAAGGCAAGCTCTGAGGTTGGGGGAAGGAGAAATGAGACAGACAGACTCTGGGATTGAGTTCTGCAGAGTGAGGGCTTTCCTGTTTGCAACCCTGAGAACATTGTCTTAAATTAAGATGTTGCAAAATTTGTTAAATTGAAGCCATTTAGCAGCTGTGGAAAAACAGCTTTTCAAATTAAGAATAAATGAAACCTAAATCAATGCCCACGTTTGGAGTTGAAGTCTCTCGCTCTGGTGTGGGGGGGATGGATACCTTCACTCATGTTTAATCCGCTTGCTTTCTGCTCAGAGTAACTTCCGACACATGCAGACACACAACCCAGTGTCCAGAGAGGAGCTGATGATGGTCCTGGCCAGTCTGGACGCACTGCGTGTCCGAGCCCTTCACTCCCCGGTGGCAAGGCTGGTGGGGCTGCGGAATGTTGAGCTTGAGCGAGCGTCTCTCAATGGGAGCGGGATTCCAGCCAGCAACGTGGAGATCTGCTTGTGTCCAGCTAATTACATGGGCGACTCTTGCCAGGTATCACATGATTCCTACTTTCCGGAACACTACCCTGCGTGAGGCGCGCTGGATAAATCCAAGTCATTGTTGCTGTTACTGTGGGTTTATGGATGGGCTGGTGGATGGGGGTATCGGGGGGGCTGAGGGAGTTTTGGGGGCAGGGGTGGGGTGGGGGCTGTTGGGGGGAGAGGGGGGAGGCTTCATTATTGCTTCTGTCTGACAATCGTGTAATATTCTATGCAGAATTATAACAGAGATCATCGTAAATCAGTAATGAAAGAATGACCCACAAAGAAGGGTTTAAGTTTGAACCAAAGCCCAATGTGGTTCATTTATTTATTCATTTATTGGGGTGTTTGTGGAGGTTTTGATGAAGGGAAGGTTTAAATGAATAGTTCCATCAGAAAGCACTGGTGATATGGAACCAAGTTGGTTTTTTCCTTGTAATCATTCATTCGTTCTTATACCTGAACAGGACTGTGCGCGAGGTTACTATCGAGACACGAAGGGGCTCTTCCTGGGCAAATGTGTCCCTTGTAATTGCAATGGCCATTCTGATCAGTGCCTCGACGGCTCAGGAATATGTATCGTAAGTACAAGTGATTTCGCTCCATTGCATTAAGACAAGCTGTCTCCAGCTTTGTTTCCTGACGTTTATTGCACTTTGAAAAGAAATCAGTTTGGATGGTGAAGTGGTTTGTTTTCTTTAAAAAACACACCAAAGTCTTGCTTGTCCCCAGAACTGCCAGCATAACACTGAGGGCGATCGCTGTGAGCGCTGCAAGACCGGTTTGGTGGAGCATGTTCCTGAGGGCGAGCCATCTCTCTGTGTTCAGTGTCCGTGTCCCCTGACGGTGGCTTCCAACAAGTACGTGTTCGCTTCTCTCGATCCTGAGCCAAAAAAACATTTAATTGCAAATTAAACCTTTTCTCTTCAACTGTCGACTTTGTTTGTTTTAATCATGTTTTTCTCTCTCTGTTTTACTCCTTTATGCTCCTTTCTGTAGCTTCGCAAAGGATTGCATTGACCGAGGGGATCACATGCAGTGTCTGTGCAAACCGGGCTACGCTGGTGTGAAGTGTGAGAGGTTTGTTTTATAAGTCCTGTATCTTCGTGTTTAGAGCATTCACCTCGCACGCAAGAGGACCTGTGTGTGATTCCTGGGCAGGGCGAAGCCTTAGGCAAGTTTCCTTGCTCCATACGCTTAGCTCTGTTTACCCAGCAGTCAGTAGGAACCCACTTGTTAGTCGATTGGATCACTTTTCCGATGGTAATAATCCCTTCAAAAAAAAATAATAATAATAATAATTTGGTTCCTCAATCCACGACTGTGTGTGGGACATTGCTGTGCGCAATCGGCTGCCGCGATTCGCCCATAAAATATACAGTCACGACACTTTACAGTATATTCTATGAAGCGCTTTGAGACATCTCAATGAGATGATAAAGCGCTATAACAAATGCAAGGATTATTTTAATTGTGACTGCGTTCTCTCCCCGCAGGTGTGCACCCGGGTACTTTGGGAACCCGCTGGTGTTGGGGAGCCGGTGCCAACCGTGTACCTGTCACGGCAACACGGACTCCAACATGCTCTTCAGCAGCTGTGACTGGCTGACGGGGACTTGCCAAGGATGTGTGCACCACACAGCCGGACATAACTGTGAATTCTGTGCTCCGGGTTTCTTTGGCGATGCTGTGGCAGCCAAGAACTGTACACGTAAGAAGCTTTTATTGAATCAATCGTTTCTTTAAACGAACTGTGAGGCTGAGAGAGAGCACTTTACTATCAACCCACCCCACTCTCATCGTGAAGTGCAGTGTCGGGGGTGAAGTTTGGCACATGTTAGAACACGCTACAGAGTTAACACACAGACACACAGGCACGTGCACACACATAGTGTCATGTCCGGGGAAAAAAACTAATTTTAGAGGAAAAGAATCTCAAAAGTGGACCTGAGATTTCTGACGTGACGTGGTAATTGAAGGTGGTGTAATTGAAACTTGTCTCATAAATGGCTTTCCTTCCTCTCCTGCTGATTGCCAGCCTGCGACTGTTTGCTGTGCGGCACGGAATCCTGTGACAGGAGGACGGGCGAGTGCCGGTGCAAGCCTGGCATTACCGGCCATCGCTGTGATCGATGTGAGGTAGGAAACTTCATGTGGCTTCTGTAAGCAGTGAGGGAGGAGGCAGTGAGGGAGGAGGCAGTGAGGGAGGGAGGGAGGGAGGGAGGGAGGGAGGGAGGGAAGCAGTGAGGGGGGAGGCAGTGAGGGAGGAGGCAGTGAGGGAGGGAGGAGGCAGTGAGGGAGGAGGCAGTGAGGGAGGAGGCAGTGGGGGAGGGAGGGAGGGAGGGAGGGAGGGAGGAGGGAGGCAGTGAGGGGGGAGGCAGTGAGGGGGGAGGCAGTGAGGAGGGAGGCAGTGAGGGGGGAGGCAGTGAGGGGGGAGGCAGTGAGGGGGGAGGCAGTGAGGGGGGAAGGTGAGGCAGAGAGAGTTCCGAGGAGCAGTGCTCAGTGCCCAGTGAGCTGATGCTCTTGTGTGCGAGCAGGATGGACGTTTCGGGTACGACACCTGTGCCGGTTGCCAGCGCTGTGCCTGTGACCTCGCTGCCCTGGAGGAAACCTGCCACACGGTGACCGGACAATGCCAGTGTGCGCCTGGCATTGGCGGCCGGCAATGCCAGCAGTGTGCCCCAGGGTACTGGAGATACACTCCACATGGCTGCAGAGGTGAGTGCAATGGTAAAGTGTTATTGTAGAGCTGATCTGTGCGTGTGTGTGTGGCACAGTGGGAGTGCTTTTACATCTGAGTCAGAAAGTTGTGGGTTCAAGCCCCACGTCGGGATTTGGGAGTCACGTTGTCTAAGCTGACACTACAAATACAGTGCTGTGGGGGGCTTGGGTTGTCGGAGATGCCGTCCTTCGGATGAGACGTTAAACATCACTCCCCATCTGTCTGTTCAAGTGGCTGTTCAAGATCTTACGGCGTTATTCAAAAAGAGAGTCGAGTTCCTCTCTGGCCAACAATCCCCCAAATAAAATCGGTCACTCACTTCATGGCTATTTGTGGCACACAGCTGCGCACAAAATGGCTGTTGAGTTTTGCCAACAAAATACACAGTGACTACACTACCGTGAAGCACTTTCGGACGTCTCGATGTCATGATAAGGCACAATATCAAATGCGAGGATTATTATTATTTCAGTCCCTCGGGACGAATTCCTAAGGTGAACAGCGCTATATATATATATATATATATATATATGTTGTTGTTGCACTGTTAATGTTATGTTCTTGTGTGCAGAGTGTGAGTGCAATGGGGGGCCCTGTAACCCCCGCACTGGGGCCTGCACGTGTACTAATGGTTTGGGGGGCCGACAGTGTGACACCTGCCTGCAGAGGTACCAGATGCCCATCGTCGATGCTGCCAATTACATAAAGTGTGAACGTGAGTTGTTCCTCCTTGCTCTCAGGTTTTTGAAACTGAAATTCTTTTGAACATGGAGCCGTGTAGCGTAGTTCAGGGGTTAAGGCACTCGCCTCGCAAGCGAGAGGACCCGGGTTTGATTCCCAGGCGGGTCGGGGAGAAACCTTAGGCAAGTTTCCTTACTCCACACACACAGTCTGTTTACCCAGCAGTAAGTAGGATTCCGGTTGTTAGTCAGTTAGTGGATCCATTCAAATAAATAAATACATAATTTGGTCACATATTCCATGACCATTTGCTGGACACTGTTGTGTACAATCGGCTTCTGTGTTTCACCCATAAATTATACACTTTATAGTATATAGTAATAATAATCCCTTAAGAAAAAAATTACATTTATTATTTAGTCACTCAATCCATTACATTTATAATTTAGTCACTCAATCCCTGTTTGTGGGACACTGCTGTGCGCAATTGGCTGCCGCGTTTTGCCCACAAATATTCAGTCAATTCACTTTACAGTCTATTCTGTGAAGCGCTTTGAGACGTCTAGAAGATATGAAAAGCGTTATATCAAATGCAAGGATTATTATTATTATATTATTCTGTGAAGCTCCTTTGAGAAGTCTCAACGACATGATAAGGCACTGAATTAAATGCAAGGATTATTATTATATATTCTCGCCCGCGTCGCTGTTGAGCTAAGAGCAGTTTGTTTCCGGCCTGGCAGCCTGTGACAGTTGTGTGTTGGCGCTGCTCGAGACTCTGAACAGGACGGAGCAAATGCTGCCAACACTCAGTGCCCAGTTGGCAGAGATGAACATCAGCTCCATCGCATGGACACGGATGCGGAGTCTGAGCAACAGCATCAGGGCCGTCACCGTGAGTAACACTGACCGTCTGTGGGTAACACCCGGCCACCGTAAACACCCGGCCACCGTAAACATCCGGCAACTGGTGTAAACACCCAGCAACTGATGTAAACACCCGGCAACTGATGTAAACAACTGGCTACTGATGTAAACACCCAGCCACCTTAAACACCCGGCAACTGATGTAAACACCTGGCAACCGTAAGCACCCGGCCACCGTAAGCACCCGGCCACCGTAAGCATTCGGCCACCTTAAACACCTGCCCACCGTAAACACCCGGCAACTGATGTAAACACCCGGCCACCATAAACACCCAGCCACCGTAAGCACCCAGCCATGGTAAACAACTGGCAACCGTAAACACCTAGCAACCGTAAACACTCGGCAAACGTAAACAAGCGTACAGTTCAGTGTACGTTTCTCGGGCTGTTCATTCCAAGTCTGCTGCTAATATCCAATCATCGCCATCCCTTACTGATCACATACCCACCACACTGAGCACATCAGCATTGCTTCCTGATCGTTTCCCCCCCCCCCCCCCCCCAACTGTCTCGTTGCTCTTTAATTCAATTTGTTGTTGTTGGTGTTTAATGACCTCTGAACCCTTCTCTCGGCAGGACGAGCTGAGCAGATCCCGAGAATCACAGGAACTTGTGAGAGACGGTGCCGACGAGCTGGAGACCGACAGCATGAACCTGACCCCAGACCTGGACGCACTAGAAGAAAAGGTCAGTGGACTTTCCTCTTGGTGCCCGTCAGCCTGTGAATGTGGATGCTAGTGCTGGTGCTGGTACAGATGCTGATGTTGATGTGTACTATCCTGCACTAACCCCTTTCCCCCTTTTCATTCCATCTAGGTAACCGTGACAAATAGGAAGGTCACAGCCCTGGGAGAGAGCATCGGACAGACCTACCGGCGCTCTGGAGACTTGCTCAGTAATATCCAGGACCTCAGAGAGCACATTTTAGGTACATTCCTTTAAAGTTAGATCATGTGGGTTCATTCACAAAACACTACATGACAACACTGTACATAAATCCTGTAAAGTACTAGGACACATCCTCTCAAGCTGCCAGACTCTATAATCGAATGATTATTATTGTTAGTCTCTTGAATGAAAATATTATAATCTAGATGAGGAATCTGCCTCACCTGGCTTTGTGCAATTCCTGGTCAAGTGGTTTGAACTGGACCTTTGTAGCCTTCAAATGTGTTCAGTATAAATCTATGGAACGTATATGGACCAGAGATGGTGGAAGCAGAAAGTGTTGATTCTTTCAAATGGAAATTAGAAAGATTCCTTTTAGGAAATAATATTTTGGAATACAGTAAATGAGTAGTTCAGGTCATGAAACGTGTAAGTGACAGCCCGGATGGTGGAAGGCAAACTGGATGGACCTTGGTCTTTTTTGGTATAGCATTTCCTATATTCCTATGTTGAACCTGTTGGCTCTCTGTATGCAGATCTCATTGCCCAGATGAACAAGACTCAGTCGGACATCAGTGCGCCCTCCACAGAAGAGTTCTTGGAGAAGTTTGCTGAGGTTCAGAAGCTACTGGAAGAAATGAGAATGAGAGATTTCAGGTCCCAGCGGAATGTGGCGGAGAAGGAAGAGGATGAAGCAAATAAATGTGAGTATATCTGACGGATAAGTCATCAATACCAGTACAATATCAACAATTTGCAATTATACAGCTTCAAGTGCTTTGAGATATCTCAACAATATGATAAAGCGCAATATCAAATGCAAGTATTATTATAACATCACAGACTGATTAAGATCACGGCCTTTTGTTGCACAAAATGTTACAACGGGGAACGAGCATTTGGTGTAACTAATCCAAGCCAGATTAGACTGATATCCCTCCCGATCCCCTCTCCCATTTTGCTCTCTTCCCTTTCTTCCCTCATGCATTCCTTCATTTGTTTTTGCTCCTTTAGTACTTGAACGCGTCAAGGAAAAGATGGAGCAACCTTTGCAAGAGATTAAGGATAATGCCGATAGTATCCGTGATCAGATAGCGAAGCATAATTCCAAACTGATGGACCTCAGGGATGCCCTTAATGAAGCTGTTAATAAAACGAGCCAGGCCAACGAGAAGAATAAAATCAACCAGCTTTTACTGGCGGAGAACAAGGTAGGGGTTTATGGTCATGGTGGCTTCAATGGTTCCTTGGGGGAGTTTTCTTGCCCTGCCGTTGGGGGGCAGTGTTTGTTCCCTGTCACCATCACTGGAGTGATGATGTCCATAGGAAGTCAACATCACCTTGTTCTACAATTTATTTGTAGCAAAAAATCGAGGAGTTGGAGACCCAACACAAGCGAGTGACAGACTTGTTCAGGATGGCAAAAGATGGGCTGGTTCAGGTTTCAGACCTCCTCCAGATGCTGGAAAATGCCAAGGAGGTAAGCACTACTGAATTGAGAATCATTTCCTCACACTCAAAACAATCTGTAATGTGTAGGTACCTGTGATGATTCCATCTGCTACTGACGGGCTGTTCTCTCACAAGGTCTAAAGCTACGGAGCATGCAAGTAAACTCTACATTGCTATCCCGTGTTGCACATTTGACCGCTTGATTTTTCTTATAGAATTTAACTATAATTCAGGACCGTCCAATTCGTTCCATTGGCAACAAAATTATATGAAGTATTTTCCAAATCAAATCTGAGTTGCGGTGACCCTGGTTTTAACTGTAAACAAAAAAATTCTCTTATCCTGATTTACCAATTCAAGCTGTCGAATCCACAGAACCATGGGCATTTACAGCACAGAAGAAAGCCTTTCAGCCCATTGTGACTGTGCCAGCTCTTTTAATGAGCAAATCCTTTCAGTCTCATTTAACTGCCCTTTCCCCTACACTTTTCTTTACTGCTTTTGTTTAGGATATCTATCTTTGGAAAACTCAGATGGTTTCTGCCTCAAGGCAGGGAATTGCACATCCTACAACAACACCATAACAACTTGCATTTATATAGCTCCCCTCACGGAGGGTAGCGTCCCAGAGCGTTTGACTAACCAGGTATATGTTGCATCGTTACTCACCAGGAACAGGAGAGGCTGGCAGCGATGTTAGATGGAGCCAGGATGGCCCTCATTGAGAAGGTAAAGCACTTCTCACCGGCTAGCACCAAGATCCCAATTGTGGAGCGGGCGGAGGAGCATGCACGCTCCCTGGATCAGCTCGCGGCTAACCTGTCCAGGTAAGGTCATTGCAATTAACCTGTCCAGGTAAGGTGGTTGTCACTATGGCTGGTCGATGGCTTCAGGCTGAGATAACGTATCCCACACATCAGGGAGCCTGAGCTGCTAATCACTGAGAGCATTATTGCCACTGACTTAGTAAGACACCGCTGTGAGGAATTTTGTTCCTTGTAATTTATTAATCATACTCAAGGACAACAACAACACCTTGGAGTCCCGTAGCTTAGTGGTTAGTGCGCTCGCCTCGCAAGCATGAGGACCCAGGTGCAATTCCAAAGAGGGGCAAAAACTTAGGCAAGTTTTCTTACTCCACACAGTAGCTGCTCAGCTCATTATTATTATTATTATTAATATACAAGCTGGACATTTAATCCTATGTCCTGCTGGTTGACAGGGTGATTGAAGATACAAATCAGGATGGATTCATTCTTCGTGCAGTCAGTGCCTCCAACGCCTATTCCAGTATCATTGAGGCAGTAAAGAAAGCTGAAAATGCAGCCAGGGACGCAAACAATGCAGCTGTCAAAGCCTTGAAGGTAAGATGGGGAATTTGGGACATTGCTACGTTGTCCTGTGGGATCTCGGTTCTAGGTTCCAATGAGACAAATTTCTTCTCCCTCGGCCCACTTTGTGGTTTGTGATGTTGATAATTGTGACTTACGGTGATGAGGACAGAATCTGCCATCCTTTGTGTCCAGTGCATGTTGAGTGGGGCTGAACAGGATCCAACCTCTCAGGCTGGGCAATACTGAGAGAGATTTTATTTAGATAATTCCAGCCACTACAGAACGGCCTTTTAAATTGCGGCTGTTTAATTAATTTTCGGCCGTTACTGAAGGAAGAATTGAGCAATCACTTGACCCAATTTACAATTTCCCATTGCTCAACGCGTGTGAGTAGTGCAGTGAGACTGCAGATGGGCAAGATCTCATTCTGTCTGTGCCAAGTGTTGGGAAGTATTACAGCTTGTCTTTTGAATTGGGCTGTTTTCTGTTTCTTTATTCTCTCAGCAAGTGGTGGACAGGAATCTGTCTCACAAAGCTGCAGCTTTGAAGGGCGCGAGCATCCAGCTCGAGAAAGAAGCTAAAAAAGCCCGGAAGAAATCCGAGGATGGTAAGCGGACACTTAACACTCTGAAGTGATCAGCCTGGCTCAGTACGTGTGTGTGTGTGTCAGCCTGGCTCAGTGTATGACAGCCTGGCACAGAGGTAGTATTCTTGCACTGAGTCAGAAGGTTTATGGGTTCAAGCCCCACATCAGGACCTGGAATCACATAGTCTAAGTTGACGTTCCAATGCAGTGCAAGGGGTGTCTTGTATTGTCGGAGGTGCCGTTCTTCAGATGAGATGTTAAACTGCCTGTTCAAACGGATGGTAAAGATCCCACTGCATTATTCAAAAAGAGAAGGGAGTTTCTTTCTCCCAGTGTCCTGGCCAACAATGGCCCAAATAAAATTAATCACTCAATCCATGGCTGTTCGTAGAACATTGCAGTGTTCAAACTGCCCACAAAACACACAGTCACTCCATTTTATAGTATATCCTGTGAAGCGCTTTGAGACATCTCAACAATGTGATAAGGCACTGTATCAAATGCATGAATTATTATTGTAAGTGATTTGCATTTTGATTTTTACTTGAATTTACTCATTTGAGTGTTTCCGCTGTCTTTTTGGTAGTCATAAAACCAGCACTGAGCGATGCAAAGAAAAGGCTGAGTGACGCAAGGGATAAGAAAGGCCGACTTCTTACCCAGCTGAAGTCTGTTCAGGATTTTCTGAAAGGAATTCAAAGAGGTTTGTACCAATTGTGCTGTGGGAGTTTATAAAAGCTGCTGATCTTTGTGGATGAAATGGACTTTGTTCTTCTTCAGTTTGCTTTTAGAGGCATCTTGTGGCAGGGTCTGTCCACTGGCTCCTGATGGTGATGCTGGCTTTGTTACAGGGGACACGGCTGACAGCATCACGAACGCAAAGACAATGGCTGCTGCCGCTAACAGCACAGTTACTAGTGTGGAGGACGTTCTGGGATCCATGAGGAAGAACCTGAACCAGTGGAGGGAGAAGTATGGTGGAGCACCTTCAGACAACGAGAATTTCAACAAAACTCTCCAGGAGGCAAATGCATCTGGTACGTGGCAGCTTAGCATCTTCTGCAGGGGAGTCTAGCAAAGCCTCTCACATTGATGTTCTCACACTGAGGGGTTTATTCTAACATTGTTTCTTGTCAGCTTTGGTGCAAAGTTATCGACCATGAAAGGAAGTGAGAGTTAGCATGAATTAAAAAGAATTACAAATACTTAGTTTGCAGTATCAAATGCAAGGATTTGTATTATTATTATTAATATTATATTAAAAAATCCTGTTGCATTCTTAATTTTTTACCTTTGAGTTTCTCAGCTTCAAGAGGTGATTCGTCAAGCGTGAGTGTGAACAGTGAGTGTGAGCAGTATTGTTAGCATTAAAACCATGCACTCACTGCCATTGCCAAGTAGAGGTTTGTATGGTGTTTGACCACCAGGGGGCACTGCTCTCTATTAAATGCAGGACACAGATAGATAGCAACAAGCACAAGTGATAACAAGAGCAGTGAGTGTGAGCGGTGAGTGTGAGCAGTGAGTGTGACTCTCTTTGCATCCCATGTCTCCTGTACATGTGCATACAGGTAAAATGGCCATTCATTTTGTGCCTGTTTGTGGGGCATTGCTGTGAACAGATTGGACAAAATACACAGTCACCACACTTTACAGTAAATCCTGCAAAGCGCTTTGAGACATCCTGACGACATGAAATGACATGCTGTATCAAATGCAAGGATTATTATTATTTATACAGACACATGCACATACGCGCTCATATGTAACAAATGTGTTTTTGTTCTTCCTCTCTTCCTATAGTGAATACCCAATATTTAGCGCTGCGTTTGTGTAAAGTAAATAAATGTTTTTTGGAAGGAAAAAGGATTTTTTGTTTAAAAGCTTGTGTTTCACTCGTATGTTTTCACAACAGTCGCGGCTCTGAACGAAACCATTCCCCTGCTCCTGGACAAGCTGAATAAACTGGAGGTCAGGAACCAGACTTCAAACATTTCTGAAAGTATCAATCGTATCCGAGAGCTGATCTCACAAGCCAGAAGTGCTGCTAATAAGGTAAACAATGACTCTCACGAGTTATAATCTGTTCAGCATTCAATTTGCCGATTGGAAGAACTAACAAATGAACTAAATTTGGCAGATATTTAGAACGAACCAATATATTCTGAACCCCAGTGATTGCTGAACCTGCCGGACTGATTGTGGCGTAATGTCTTTGCTGACCCTGTCAGGCTGGTCGTCAAATAATCCACAGAAATGGAGCTCCTCAGATTGGGGGAGGAGTGGGTGAGAGGAGAAACTTCATCCCAATTTAGGAACTGACGTCAGTGACAGACAACGCTGCCAATTAGTGCATAAACAGTACCAGACATTAATGCAGCCCAGACCACCTGCACATCGAGAAAGCAATCAAATCGAGAGCCTCGGACATGGTGACTGGGTGGGTGGAGGCTTGTGTGACTAGTTGCAGCGCTGTTAATGTTCTGTGTCATTCTATGTAACTTATTATTCCCAGGTACAAGTACCAATGAAGTTCATTGGTACATCAGGCGTGCAGCTGAGGTCACCCGTCAATCCTGACGACCTGAAAGCATACACGTCTCTGTCGTTCAGCATTCAGAGAGAGAAACAAGCTCGGAAGCGAAGGCAATCAATAAATTCCTCCAATCAGTTTATTCTGTACCTCGGAGATCAGAAGGTAAGACCCGGAGACTTTCTATCGCTCTCTGTTTTTACTCTGAGTGCTTCCTGGTGCGTGGGACAGTAACGAGCTTCTCTTACTCTCTCTCTCTGCAGACGGCTGGCGATTACATGGGGGTTGCCATGCGGAGCGGAAAGCTGGTCTGGGTTTACAAACTGGGGAGTGCTGGAGAGGCCGTGCTTCAAACTGACACTGAGATCAGTGACGATAGGTTTGACACAGTCAAACTGGAAAGGTACGTTGATTAGTCTTTCCCTCTTTAATCAAAGTGTTAAATTGTTGGAGTATTTTATAATAATAATAATAATAATCCTTGCGTTTGATACAGCGCCTTATCATGTCTTCGAGACGTCTCAAAGTGCTTCACAGATACACCATAAAATTAAATGATTGTGTATTTTGTGGGTGAAAAGTGGTAGCCAGTTGCGCACAGAAGCGAGTGTCCCACAAACATCATTATAACAACTATTCTGCTTGTAAGTTAGAAGTAAAACTTTTTTTAAATGTGCTTGAAATTATCATCAACTTTGAAGAACAATATACAGTATATGCTGTATGTGCTGGTAAAGCAGGGATGTTGGATTTGAGTACTGACTGACCAAGAGCCAGTACAGACTCAATGAGTCTAATACGGCCTCCAGGGCTGAGATGAGTTGCTGTTTATTATGAGTGCGAACACTGAGGTACAATGAGAAAGACATGTTATAATCTGAGTGAAAGGAAAACGAGTTAACGTTTCAGGTCGATGACCTTTCGTCTGATGACCTGAAACGTTAACTTATTTTCCTCTCACTGTAGATGCTGCCTGACCTGCTGCGTGTTCCCAGCGACTTCTGTTTTTATTTCAGATTTCCAACATCTGCAGCATTTTGCCTTTTGTCGTAATCTTGTTGGGATCAGATTGGGATCATGAACAGATGTTAATGTGGTCCCTGTGGTCAGTTAATGTTCTCTCTATCCAGGATACAGCAATATGGCCGCATCTCTTACACAGTAGAAAAAGGCACCATAACTGAAACCAGGGGAGATGGGAAGTCTAAAGGCAATGACACTTTACTCAATCTGGATCCTGAAGATGTTGTTTTCTATGCCGGTGGTTATCCTCCTGACTTCACTGTAAGTACTGACTGAGGGCTTTCTGTCTGTTTAAACCCAGCAGTGTGGCTGAGCATGTCATGACTTGATTGTCACCCACATCAGGAGTGTGGCAGAGTGGCATCAATTGAAAGCGTCTGTGAAATGTGCTGGGCCTCTATAGTGAGGAATTTGGCTCATTTGCACAGTGTTTGGGTTGGGCAGTAGCAGTGTAGGATCTTGAAAGCTGCGTCTGTGTTTTCATATCCTCCGACGGGTATAGTGCTCCCAGAGGTGGTTCTCCCGGCTCTGTCCCAGCGACTGAGCTCAACATTGGTACAAGCACCAATTGCCACCATCACACTGTCATGGCTTTTTGCCGTGACCAATGGCGCTCTCCTGTGGACAATTCACTGATTGCTGAAATTGGGCTCATTTCTGCTGCTCCAGGACATTGATTATTCAATTACTTTGAACAATTTGCAGTGACATTCGAGCTGTTTGTGTTTCATTGAAGAAATGGTTTATCTCCTGCAGCCCCCGGCAATGCTGCGTTATCCCAACTTTGAAGGATGTATTGAACTTGGAACGCTGAACGAAGAGGTCATTAGCCTCTACAATCTCATTCAAACATTTAACCTGAACACTACAGCTGATGAACCCTGTCGAAGGTAAACATTGGTCATTAACAGAGACTGTTTGAAATCCTGTCACTGGATTATAAATTGATCTTATTATAAATGGTCATTTTTAGCAGTTAAAGAGCGTGGAATGTGTTTAAAAAAAAGGAGTCCAATTTGGGAATCTTCAGGGCTCCCTCTCACCTTCCCTCTTACCTCCCCACTCTGTCTGTCTTGATAATCCTCCCTCTTCGACAGTATCTCCCCTTTCCCTCTCCTGCCCTCCCTTGTTTGGTCTCTGACCCAGTCCCTGTAAAGTATTCAGAGATGTTATCCTATGTGAATAGAGGATGAAATTCGATTCAGGCTCCTCTTGTTAACAATTGCCCAATGAAACAAAGTTTGTACCACGATGGACTGAGGTCCCAGCTGAATGAGTGAGTGAAGTTTTCAGATTTCTGTCCTTTATCAACACTCGGGAGTCTCTGCTCTTTGTTACAGGTACAAATCCACTCAAGGGGCAGAGAGTGACAGCTCGTACTTTGATGGCAGTGGTTTTGCAGAAATCAAAATGTCAAGTACGTTCTCGACTATATCTCGCTTTGAACAAGAGGTTTGCCTTGCATCCTACAATGGCATCCTGCTTTTCATGAGGGAGAAGGTCAGTGTTTCTATCACTGTATAGACCGGTGCAGTATATACTAATCTTACAGTCGTGTCCAGAATAGCTGCCATTCTTAGTATGTTCATGTAGATCAGCACTAACTACCCCACAACGACTTGCAATATAAGCTCTATTGTGTACTATATTGGAGCGTTGACAATACCTATTGAACAGTATTCCTATATGGTATCCCAACTCCCATCAGGACAGGAGAGAACATTGGGAGCAAAGATAGTTTCAGTCTCCTACAAATCTGCTGGGTATGTTAGAGGATATAAAGTTCAAGTCGTGAATCCAGCAAAAGCTCAGAACATGTGGCATCAAATTTGTGAAAAGCCATTAACAATAATGACCATCATGCCATCAGGTGCAATTGTTTTAGATACACAAGCAGATCTGATCTTTTGTTCATAACCATTCTGTGAATTGTGGTGCATTCTCTCTCTCGCTCTCTCTCTAACCTACACACCACCCACACTACACACAAATTCTCTCACTCGCTTCCTCTCTTGCCCCCTTCACAGGTATGGAGACTGCACCAAGGCTTTATTTTGCTCTGCAGGTTGGCATATGTTGTGACCTGTCAAACCGCCTCAGGTGTTTCCAACCGGCCTGGTGCAATTTGCTTCATTTTGTTTCCCCTAATTCCTTGTGGAAGAAGCGTCCACTTGTAATTTAAAACACGTCAAATCAGGCCTGTAAGGAAGTTTGACAGAAACCCTTTTTTTCTTTTGGATTGTGCCAAATGTAGAGGATTGCAATTTAGATCAATATTGACAAAACTTCAAAGTACACACTTAAATCCATGGTTGAATCTGGCTTCTGTTGTAAATATAACAGAATAGCTTCAGTTTGTTGAATTGTTTCCCAAACTCTCTTAAACTGTGGGGCAAAAACAAATTATTGTTATTGTTTTTCTAATCTAACATGAAGTGATTTCTTTACCAATTCCTTCAGGACCAGTTCCTGTCTGTGGCCGTACAGAATGCACGACTCGTTCTATACTGTAAATTAAACCACCAACTTAAGATTGAACACAACAACGGCAGCAATGAAAAGTCTATCAGTGATGGATATCCTCACCAGGTAATTCTGCTGTCTTTGAAAGTAACCAGCTTCTAAATTAAGAGAGTCTCACATTTCTGCATGAAGCCAAACTGATCTTGCCAGCTCAGACTAGGTACAATTTCATGCTTCTGGTGAACCTATCACCCCCATCCTCGCCGGGATACACTGGCTCAGGTGTGGATCACTGACGGTCCAGTGCCTTGGGATGTCGTCCTGGTGTGAATGGCACTGTGTAAATTGTTGTTATTGTTGTTTATAGTTCAGTGTTGTTTGATTGTTCTCTACTTCCCTGTGGCCGTTGGTGAAGATCCCCTTTAGTTCAAACTATCCTAAATTAACATTAACATAGGAGAGTCTTCCACACTGTAGTTAGTTAATTGGTCTAATTGACTGATTGTGTTTGATTTTCAGATCCAGATTATTATGGTATACAGTGGGGCCAAAATGAAGATCTATGTTCGTGTGGACAGGATGACGGTGCTGGCCACTGAGCAGCAGAATGTCGCTCGTCCTTCATTTTCTCTGTATTACCTTGGGGGGGCTCCTGTAGACAAACTTCCCGAGAGGTAGGAGTCACAAATAAAGAATTTAATTTAATTTCAATTCACTTTCAATGAATCCAGTCTCAAAGACGTGATAAGGTGCTGTATCAAATGCAAGGATTATTTTTTTTGCGCAGATCTTGTACTCACCCTGGCTTAACATATAGATTTAATGTATGTAGAATTTTTAAAAATATTCTTTTTTTAACTTGCTTAAATTTAAAATATAATACAGTTCCTCAAGGGAATTACGTTAAAAGGAAATTTCATATTGACAGTCATAACTGATGAGTTTTGGTGAAAAGTGGTTAAGATTAAAATTGTTTATTACAAGATATCACAGAGAAACTTAAATACTTCAATGTCTGTCTAAGGCATCGGGTGCATTAGCGGGATAAGGCACAATGAAATCTCTCACTAGAATCTCACTGCAGCTTCCTTTTTAACAATCAAGTATCTCCCCTGGTTTGAGCTAAACCATCATTACAGTCAATGTAAACACTCAGTGGAATCAGACTCTAGGAAGAAACCTCTTGGCTATTCCATTCAAGTTGCTGACAATGAGGGTTTGACTATGTTCCTTTCAGCTTGAGAAGCAAGTTCCCCACAGGCGGCTCAGTCAAGGGCTGCATGAGGAGTCTGAAGGCCATGGAGAAGAACCTGGACCTGAAGAGAGAGAAAACGATTGGTGTCAGTTACGGCTGCTCCCTGAGCCTGTTGGTGAGTGTAACTTTTCGGGGATAATAAGCCCTTCAAAAGAAAAAAAATAAATCATTGATTTGGTCACTGATTCCACGACTGTTTGTGGGACTGCTGAGTGCAATTGGCTGCCACGTTTTGCCCTTTTTTTTCCTGTTCAAGTATATATCCAATTCCCTTTTGACAGTTATCGTTGTATCAGCACCTTGGGACATGAAAGGCGTTCTATAAATGTAATTTTGTTGTTGTTTGTTGTTGCTGCTGAAGTTTGCTTTCCTTCTCTTATCTCGCTTCAGATTTCCCGTTCGGCTGATTTCAAAGGCCAAGGATATCTCAGTCTAACTCCTGAAAACGTGCCCGCACTTGACAACAACTTTGTCTCAGGCTTTGGTTTTCAGACCCAGCAGCGAAATGCACTGATGTTTTACTACCCCACAGAGGTAAACATGTTTATATGTTGACGTGTGGGAACTGCACCTCAGCAAGGCATTAGTGACATGGATTTGCACACTTAGGTCCATTCTACACGAGTGTAGAAGCTTAATGCATAGGTGAATCCATTAGAATGTTAAAGATGTCTCAATGACTTGATCAGGTGCTATATCAAATGCAAGGATTATTATTATAAACTAGTTTTGATACCTGTAATAGTGGGGTCTGCACGAGGCTCTGTCAGACAAGAAAATTGCATTAACATTTCGTTCAGCAACATTAGAGAGAAAAAGAACACATACACACATCCCACACATACACACACACACACTGCACACACATACCCCACACACACAAGTTGCTGAACTGGGTCCTGTCCAGCTGATCACGCTATCTCTCTTTGTGCTTTAGAAAGGACATTGTCAAGTCTCTCTGAAGCAAGGATTAGTGGCACTTAAAATGTTCAACACTGAAGTCAAAAGCAAAATTGAGTACACTGACGGGAGCCTTCACTACATCTCGTTTGGGATTCACAATCAACAGTAAGTGCTTTGCTTTGTGAATCGCAGGGTCAGTGGCAAAAATGACTGAATTTAAAAACTCTTGGTGTCAATTCTGTGCTTTTTTTTGTAAAGGTCCTGACGTGTTGGCTTGTTATTGTTAATGTATATTTATACCCGCAGCGGTTGTAATATTTACCATCCAGCAGCTCTTAGCAATAAATTAGAATGTTTTGCTTTCCTTCCCAAGGATTAAGATGAACATCGATGACATGGAAAAAGTACAGTCACAAATCAGTAGCTGGACACGGAGTCAGTCCCGGGGGTTGGAGCAGGGCCAGGTGTATCTGGGGGGGGCTCCGAGCTCCAGTTTAGGGGCCAACCTGACGGGTTGTATCGGCAACGTTTTCATATATCGGTAAGTGTCAAAAACCTGCAACAGGATATGAGGAAGTTTAAAAGGCAGCGATGCTCCCTGGAGTAGTGTTGTAATGTCTTCGTCTCCTGTTGATTATTTTTGATATAACTTACAGCTCACACACTTAGTTAACAAACATTAAATATTAAACAGTAACATACTTATGATGTTATCAGTTATTTTCTTTTGTTACTGGAGTAGCTCCCAGAGACGCAATATAGTAACCAAATGTCTAAATGCATGTCTGAAAAATATTTTGCAATGATTCCCTGATCAAACGTTAATTAAACAGACATTATTGTCTTTATCAGCAATTGTTGTCCTTCCTTTTTCCCATTTGATGAAAAAGACGAGAATTCGTGCTTGAATCACGTGACTTGTGTGATACCTTTACAAGAAATAGTGGACAGTTTTGAGTTTTCGCCCACAAAATATACAGTCAATTCATCTTACAATATAACCTGTGAAGAATTCAATGATGTCATAAGGCGCTATATCAAATGCAAGGATTATTATTTGATGCTCCTGTGTCTCCTGCAGGAAAGATTCCACAGAACAGTCCGTTGTTGATCTCCAGCAACACAAAGAAATGGTGGAAACGGAGCTGAACAACTGTCCCAAAGAGAAGCCACCACAACAGATCCGATCGCCCAAAAAGGACAAATCCAAGCAGGTAAGTGGGCTGTAACACTTTCCTCTGAGCTGGGCCAAAAGGCTTGTTTTTATGCTGTAAGATGCTCTGTCGCATACATTGTGATCTTCTGTCTATTTGAACCTCAAAGGCTGTTATCAATCAGCAGAGCAAGCAGCAAGTGTCTGACAGTTGCCAATTACCAGCACAGCCAACCAGCAGCGCTCATCACTTTAGGGGATCCTCTCTCAGCCGTTTGGAATATGACAATGTCCCACAGACCTTCCGGGAAAGGTAAAGTTCCAACTAGAGTTAAGCTCTTTCCCCCCATTAACTTTTAATTGTTACAGAGTTGTTGGTGTGGTTTGATCTGTGCTCCCTTCCAAGCTGATATTTCTCAAAAAAATGTTGGTTGTAAAAAGTAATTGCAAGAAGATGGGCAGACAAGGAAATCACATTCTCAATATTTCTTCGTACCTCAAGAGTTTCTAATAATTTTCTTTCCAAAACATTCATCCTCCAGGTCCAGCTTCTCTATGGAGGTTCGTTGTAACTCATCCCACGGGATGCTCTTCTACGTCTCTAATGAGCTGGAGACCTCCTACATGACTCTCATGCTCTCTAAAGGACGATTTGTTTTCATGTTTAATGTGAAAGGGAACAAGCTGAGAATTCCGAGCAAAGAAAAGTACAATGATGGCCAATGGCACACAGTAAGTACAACAACAAATTGCAATTATACAGTGTCTTTCGCATCGCAAGGACATCCCCAGGTGCTGGACACTATCACAAATACCGAGCACATTTCACATCAGTCATTCTTCTTGTTTCAGTTGTAACAGATGTGCAAAGGTAACTGCACAACTGTGGCTGAGCTTAGTAAATGCATTCCTGTATATAGAGCAATTCTCTGGTAATGTTTAGTCTGAATCCATCACAATCTGGGAAGCGCTGGTAAGTGCTGAACTGTGTCGTTTCCAGGTGTTTTTCAGCAGAGAGAAGAATCGAGGGCAGTTGGTGGTGGATGGTCTCCGGACACAGACCAGCACCATGTCTGGCACTCCTTCCTTAGACGTCCAAGCTCCGTTCTACGTGGGTGCGGTGCCACTGGGCAAAGCCAGAAAGATCACTCAGGTAAAGACAAGCGCTGATGAACTTTTTGACAAACATTACAGCTCAGAAATTCTTTGTCTAGAGCTAAAAGTAACAGCCCCGCTTTCCTCTGTTTTGGTAGAGTCCTTCTGCCTCTAGTTTTGATGGCTGTATCCGCAACTTCCAACTGGACGGGAAGCACATGGTGGTTCCATCTCGCATGTACAATGTCATCCCATGCTTCGAGGGCAGCCTTGAAATGGGCACCTTCTTTGCTGCTGGTGGAGGATACGTCATCCTAGGTATTATCATAATAATAATAATAGAAGTATTACACAATTCTCTCTTCTGACAATTGATGTTTAGTGGCTACAAACTATATTGATGACAAAATAGATTTAACATTGTCAAGATTGAAAGTTTGAATCGCAATTTGTTATTGTTGCCTATTTTTGCTCAATAAACCAGACCAAAGAGTTTCTCAAAGGTCTGGATAATTCAGCAAAAGCAGGCAACGATAAGTACTTGCTATTCAAACTTTCAATCTTGACAATGTTAAATGGTTTGTGTTCTCTTTAGATACTGGCTATTTATTCTTATTCTAGTAACACCTTTTTTTCAAACCTCCCCCTTTCAGATGATGCCTTCGTTATTGGCAAAAATTATGAATTGATGTTTGAAGTACGTCCGAGGAGTTTGTCTGGCATCTTGTTCCACGCTGGGAGAAAACAAAGCCATTACTTCAGTCTGTATCTAGAAAATGAAAAGGTGAGTGACAAGAACTTTATCTCATTTCAACAACAACAAATGACATTTGTGTAGCGCCTTTCACGTCAGGACAGACCGGGAAATAGTTTGGGGAAATGAAGCTTTACTCTTTGAGGTAACTTAACAATCAGTAGTGATGGTTTATGTAGGATTAAATAATTGTTTAAGACTAAAGCAAAATGCATGTTATTAACAACCAATGATTTGTAAATGCTGATTATCACTGTCTAGGTTAGCACATGTAGAATGAGCATTTAGATGAGGTGACTCAGTCCGTGTTACTCACCCTGTTGCATTTCTGATTTTATTAGGTTATCTTACAAATAAATAATGGAGCTGGGGCCTTCTCCGCAGCAGTCACCCCACAGCACTCTCTTTGTGATGGACAGTGGCATCGCATTGCAGGTGAGGCTATGGTTGGAGGACTGTGTGCTTTGTGTGTTTGGGCAGTCAGGGTGGAACTCTTATTGTGGAAGTTTATGAGGTGAGCCCCTAACTATTTGGAACTCAAGTCACTGAGGAAAGCCTTCATTCTGAGTTAGACTAAAATTGCTGAGATAGAAGGGCAGCCTCCTAAACCTTAGCACATCTTTTGTATTGTGTTTAATGCACTCAGCCGTTGTATCTGGAGTATTTATTTTATTATATCTGGAGTAAACATGACAAAAAAAGCTTTTAAAACCAATGTCCTCCTTTCATTCTAGTTATTAAAGGAAAGAATGTGATTCAGCTCGATGTAGACACTAAGAGCAACTATACTGTGGGCCCAGCACAAAGTTCTCGTAGCAACAACAAAGAAACACTGTATGCAGGAGGCAAACCAGGTGAGCTGTACTGACTGGAGCAGTTACTATTGGGAGTTTGTATTTGACTTAATTACGCGTCTTAATGTGAAACTGTTTGTTATTCTTCCTTGTGAGTTCGTTGTACAGCCCTTGTCAATATGAACCCTCTGAGCTTATTTCAGGCAACGCACAGCAACAGAATCTAGATTGTGGAGACTCCCATCACAGACGTTTTAATTGGTCTGCGCAGTGCAATACAAGCCTTTTGGCCCAAAACTCCATATGAGCCTCCACCCATCCTATTCCACTTGCCCCTCCTTATCCCTCTCTGAATATTCTGAAGGCACTGGTGAATTTTTACCTGTACCATAGCAATGAATTATTTGTCAAAGGCAGTTTTCAAATAATGAAATCAATGTTTTGTTCNTTTTTTCCTCCGATTCAGTGCAAATTTCAACACCGTCTTCGATACGTTCTCCATTTGTTGGCTGTATCAGGAATGTCCTCGTCAATCAAAGATCTGTACAGTTAAACCGACCTGGCTCACTGCACGGTGCAGTCAGTGCCAATGGCTGCCCAGTGATGTAAATAATATGGAAACTAAATCAGGAAAACTTCAGCAGAGACAGCTTAAGAATTCCAATCCACTTGTGCACTTAAATATTTGTACTGTATTACCCATTTTAAAGAAAAAAATCTTGCTGTGGATTTTATGTCAAATTTAAGCTATTGTGCTACTGATTATTTGGCATTTTGGGAGGAAATATATTATGACACTGGTTTATATTATTGTTTAGACCCGTTTTACTTTTTTTGCACAATTTATGTGCAGATCAATGGTACGAGTCAAAATAAAGCTATCTGTATTAAGATCCCGTGGTATGTGGGGGGTTTGTTCTATTTGGATTAAGTAGCATTAAAGCTGGATAGTGTCTCAAAGCGCTGGAAAATCAGAAATAAATCAAATTGAACATAATTTGCTTGCACTGAGAATATTTTAATATTTAGTGTCCAGGATTAATAGGCACATTACATACATTAATAATTCTACTTTAAATTGCATACTCTATCCTTTACTTGAATATCATCATAAACATTTAAACAAAATGGACCAGTAAACTTAGTCCAAACTCATATCTTCCTCTTCATCTTTCTTGTTCTTTGATTCACTTTCTCCCTCCTTTTCCTCTGCTGTTGTGCTCGGTGAAGAGGAGCTGTTCTGCATGGCTTTAGCAAATCCTTCAACATCTGAAGAATAATATTTACCAAATTGCAGTAAGCAGTATTCCATAAAATCATACAATTGTTAAATCCATGAACCCTTGCATCTCAATTCATCTTAAAAGATTCCAGACCAAATGTTTTAAATTATTTGATATAGCGCATTATCACATATCAAAGTGATTCACAGGATATACTGTAAAGTTAAAGCCCCAAGACAGCAAAGAAAAATAATTCACAATATGTTTGATGTGACCTTGATTTCAGAGTAAACCCAGCCTCATCAAATCTTTTGTTCTTAATGTTCACTTGGACTGCAATTACATCTTTGTAAAGCTATTAAGTGGAGTGCAAGTCCAGATAAAATGCATGGAGTTTAAGTGAAACAGAATAGAAATCATAGCAAATACTGGTTCCACCACGAATGCTTTCTTATGTTAGGTTTCTGTCAAAATAATGAAAAAACACTTGGTTTCAATATGAAAAGTCACTCACCCCCTTTGCCAGCTGCTTCCACAGCCTCAACTGGCAAACCAAACTGGCTCATTAATGGCCCCAACTGTCCTGAAGCCAATGCTGCGCTGAACATGCTCATGGCCTACAGGGACAACAGAGAGAATGTAAAACCCTCACAGTAAAGTGTCCAACACTAAATGTTACAGGTTTTGTAAAAACTTAACATTTTGCATTACAAAATTCTATAAATGAATAATTCATTTAGAAACCTAACACTTTAATGTCACCTGTCAGTGTGCACAGCAGACTTGCAATTGTGCTGTTACGTGGCATTTCACTTGAGACAACCTGCACACCATACGTTCACTCTAACCAATATGCTAAAAAGAAATGAGGGCAACGTAAGCTACATTTTACTGGCCACGCACTCCAGCTTCCAGGGATTGCCCAGAGACCCAATCGTGTGCTACTTCATTACTTGTCTGCTGCATGGTCTGATCAGTGCATTGAGTCAGATCTGAACCTCCCAGTCAGTAACAATGGCAATTTAAGTTTTATGTTTCATAAATATTGATTTATGGAGCATTCCAGACGTGTTACTCCATTTCCGAGCCACTACATCAGCCAGGAACCTGAGATGATTCAGATTTGGGATCTTCCTTCCTGGCATGAACCATTATATTTCACCCAGCGCACTGTGGGTTAAATGGCACCAGAGTATATATATCTGACTCATTCAGGATAGTTTGCTGCAAAAGAAGTCCTTAAAAAAAAGTTGAGCAGAAGCATACTTGTTGAAACTGGGGCGAGGTGAGCGTGTTCTGGATTTCCTCGGCTGGTCGTGGCAGCGACTCTCCTGACGGCAGGAACGGCACCAATCGCTCCTGAACCTCTGCATTTGCCAGAATGGGCGCCATAACCTCTGGCGTCAGCACGCTGGCCAGATCCACGGCTGGGAAAACACAGACAGATTTCACTTAATCTAGTTCTGGATTATTATTGATAGTTTGCTGAACACTGTGATTAATGGCCTCCATTTTGTTTGTGAATGTTGACAGCCAAGATGGTGCCCTATTCAGCACAACTGCTCTACACCACGGCAACAGCAAACTGGCCTATTCACATTCTGCTACTTTATCTTTCAAGAAAATAATGCACATACTAACAGCAGATGAAACATTCTTTTAAAGTTATTATACACTGAAATCAAATTAGTCCTAATGTACAATTTGTTCAATCTTTCTGAATTTTTCCTCAATATTACCATCTTAACTTACAAATCATCAGATTTGCACATTAACCAATTGTAAATACACTATTTAAAGCCCTCACAGAGACGCGCGTTTCATAGGTTATCAAATGCAGCCAGAACCGAGCCCTTACCTTGTGCTCCTGACCCTTCTCCAACGGCAGGAACATTCATGCTGGCCAAGATAGTCTGCAAATCCCGCAGCTGAATGTGCTGAGTCGGGCTAATGACAGAACTAGAGGTAGAGCTAGTGGTGGCTGCAGCTGCAGATGCAGTGGTTGGTGCTGTTGGTGTTGTTGGAGTAGCTGCTGCTGTTGTGGTTGCTGGTGTGCCCACGGCGGGAGCTGGTGCCAGGGATGGGATGGGTGTGGTCGCTGCAGCAGCTGAAGGTGTTGAGCTCATACGAACCGCAGAGCTGGCCGAAGTTGGGGTAATGGCTGCAGACTGGCTTCGGGAGCTAAACACGACACAACACGCCACAGGGTTACACATTAGTGAAATGTAACCTGAAGAACAAACAGTAATACTTTCGGGGGGGTGGGGGGATGGGTAGACAAAAGCCATGATGGATATCAAACCCCGGACTAGCTCTTATTTTTCCATGAATGAACACAAGGCAATTAACTGGTTATATTACAGAACAAATAGATTATTTATTAGTGTACATGGTTCTGAATTTCACAAGGATAAATTCTGTTCGCTGTGACAACAATATTCACATCTCAACTGACTGCACCTTAATAACAATAACCTTACCCTGATGAAGAGCTGGTACTAGTTGTCGGCCCTCCACTGCCGAGCAAGCCAGCAAGTCCTGCTGGCCCAGCCAGAGCCCCCAAGCTACCTACAGAGAAACAAGTCAACAGCGTCACGCGATGATCCTTCCAACACTCAAGAGACACAAAAGCCTTCTCACTGAACCAAATACATAACTGGACCATTTACACTGGATGTATAGTGATGAAAACAAACAATAATACAAGCATTCAACATTACAAAAAAACCTTTCAGTAACAGTGTCCTCGCTAATGTTCAAAACAAATTCTAACCCACGCACATTTGCTCTATTTTAAAGCTATTTTCACTTCCGAGTACTTGCGTGCAGTTTCCTCACAACCCAAAATAGGAGATACAACACGTGGTTACTTTCTTTTTCCACCCTGTATGAAGTAATTATCCTGGGTTCCACCCCCCCTCCAACCCAACAATGAACATATTCACCTAGAAATAAAAGAAGCAAAACACAGCTTTCACTATTTAGAAAAGGTTACCAACCTAGTCCACCTAAACCAGTTGCTCCCATCAGCTGCATCAGTTGATTGTGGCTCATGTTACCAAGAAGACTTTGCAGACCACTTTCTCCTGAAATGAAATGGCAGAACAAATCAGGCAGAGAAAGATAGTGTTCCTAAAATCAATATCAAACATTTAGTTATTGAGATATTCTGTATTGCTCATTGTTGTTTTAACCACCACAAATATATACTGCATTTTGCCACAGAAAGTCATATAGATAAACACCCATTTCTGTTAAGAAAATCTATATTCTGATGAAATCAGTTATTTTATTACTTTTCTTGCTTCTACTCGTATTGATTGCACATCAATCCACTATTTAAGCAAAAATGTCTAATTTGTAGCCAGGAAAGAAAGCTGGAACACATAGTACATAGTATCCCATCCTAGAAAATACACAAGGAAATGTCTTTCATAGCCATTATTATTAGAACATGGGATCAACCAGAGTCCCTGTCAAAGCAAATCACGGTATATTGACACAGGATATGATACTGATCATACTTCAGCAATGCAGTACCTCCAAGTGCTGCCAGCTCGTGCCCCCCACTGCTGCCACTACCCAGAGCCCCAGGCATTGGGGGGTTGTTCAGGTATTCATTCACTTTACGACAATACTCCTCATCTTTGTCTGATTTGGGTTCCTGAAGAATTAAACAGTCACAGTCACAACCCAGCATAAAGGTAACTTTCACAATGTCCTTTGGCAAATGCACAAAGGAGAATATTCAGAGTTTATATTCAGTTTATAAATATTCTAATTTTTAAGGGGCCTAAAATGTAGGTGAGAGTAAATCGGTGGGAACAACTCCTGACAGGGTTTTTAGGCTCTGTGTATTCTCTAAATTGTGATTATACAGAATCTCTTCAATGAATGATTTTATCCTCAAACCTGGGCAATTGTACACACCGGACAATATCTAACCCGTTATGATTATAACTTCTCTTTTCAGTTTTCTTGAAACATAACATGGGGATTGTCACTGCTGGGAATGGAATATTTTCCAATTTGTATTCAGCCTCAAGCATCCCAGGGTAATGTAGCACATACAGACACTAAGTAATACTCCAAATAGGCATTCTCTTCAGAACTAGACAAATGTGTATTTCATCAATAAATACATATCCAATTACCTCAGCAAACATCTTTAGGACTGAGTGTAAATGACAATATGTCTGTGAAGTTTTGTGCTGTGGATTAGCAGTCAAGGAAGTGTCTGAAATTGCCCAAAACTTTATAGTCTAACCTTTATAGTCAGCAGGCCCACTCCAAGATATAAAAAGAACAGTATGTTAACTTACTGTGACATCTAATCACCCTAGGGNTTTTTTCAGCTACTGAAAGAACAATATTGGTTCTATATTTAAAGACTTCCGGAGTTATATTGGAGTTATCCTTCCGACGTGATATTATACCAAATGCAAGGATTATAACCCCAGAGCGGATTGTAAAAGAAAGCAACAGTCAAATGAAGAGATAAGTGCATCTTTTTACCTGCATCCAAAAGAAGAGACGCTTTGATCCTGCTTTAAATTTGAGTACGTAGACACGCCCAGTGGTACACTGGGGCACGCGCTTGAACTCACAGTCATCAGGGAAAATGATGAGATCCTGTGGAAATAATAATTTAGGGACTTGATCACAACGGCTGCCATTGTAAACATTAAACTATAAAGGCTTGAAATCAATGGAACCTGATAGTTATTGTCGAAAAGAGCTAATTTAATTCTCCACCCCAGCAAGTCTCTGCTCATTCCCCCCACCCTCACTTCCCCCACCCGGCCCTCTCCCCCCCCCCCCCACCCAGACACCCTGTCCCCCCCACCCTCGGCCCCCACAGGCCCCTGTCCTCCAGGCGACCCCTTTGTCCCTGTCCCCCAGGCCCCTGCGCTCCCCCAGGCCCAGAGGCCTCCCCCAGGCCCAGGCCCCAGGGCCCGGGCCCCCCCCCCAGGCCCAGGCCCCCCCAGGCCCAGGCCCCCCCAGGCCCAGGCCCCCCCCCCAGGCCCAGCCTCCCCCAGGCCCCAGGCCCAGCCTCCCCCAGGCCCCCAGGCCCAGGCCCCCCCAGCCCCGGGCCCAGGCCCCCCCCCGGGCCCAGGCCCCCCCCAGGCCCAGCCTCCCCCCCGGGCCCAGGCCCCCCCCAGGCCCAGGCCCCCCCCCAGGCCCAGCCCCCCCCAGGCCCAGCCTCCCCCAGGCCCAGCCTCCCCCCAGGCCCCCCCCAGGCCCAGCCTCCCCAGGCCCCCCCCAGGCCCAGCCTCCCCCCGGGCCCAGGCCCCCCCCCAGGCCCAGGCCCCCCCCCAGGCCCAGCCCCCCCCCGGCCCAGGCCCCCCCCCAGGCCCAGCCTCCCCCCAGGCCCCCCCCCAGGCCCAGGCCCCCCCAGGCCCCCCCGGGGAGATGGCTTACATCCTCCACGGTGTTGGCGGTCCTGTCCTTCCAGCAGAAGTGTATGAGGGAGTCGTCTGTTTGCTGGATGTAAACCTGCCCCTTGCGCTTGTCGGGAGTCACCGTCGAGCCTTTCAGTGACATCTTCCCGGCCCGGAATTCCACCAGGTATTTGCTGGAGGAGCCGCGGCTCCCGGACACCAGAGTGGGGAACAGCGCGCCCGAAGCCGTCATGGTGCTCTCAGCCTGTGACTGCAGGCCTCAGTGTGTCAGGACAACCTAACCTTACCACTTCCTGACCCGCCCCCTGCTCCTCCCTCGCCCCCTCATTGGCTGGCGCGACGCCCAACCCGCTCGGATTGGCTACCGCCGCCGTCCATCAGTAGGCGCGCGCCACTTCCTATAGCACGTTTGGTGGCGCTTTGCAAAGTGCTGTGTCATTGGCTGCCGCTCGTCCCGCTGCCGGTGGGCGTGGCCAGATTGGGCGGCTTTCACGCCCAATCGGGCGGGTTTTTGTTGACACAGCATTGACCGAGGAAACAGGTTCAGGTTCAGTCAATTACAAACTCAACAGAGGTGAAATACATGAAGTTAAACAAACATACAAATATATACAAAAAAAAACACACTTCATAGAAATCAAACAAAGCTGCACTAATTCAACACGAACAATCAAACATTGTGAAACAAATTACTTGAGCTTTTACAATGATACAAAATGTTTCTTACTAAATTAGAAGTATGTATCCTCATGCTTCAATGTGAACTGAGGTATCATTTCATTTCTATCATAACTATCATTTCAGTTGCACTATAATAAAGAAAAATAAACCGCATTCTGGCCATTTTATCAACACTGACAAATAAAAACTTGGCACAAAAAACATTTCAAACTTTTTTATTTTAAGTAAATATTTTTACACTTTGATCTGTTAAACGTACATTAATTTAGAATTATGCACTCTTCAGAAAATTATTACAACTGATTTGGAGCTATAATAATGGGCCTTGACAATCATTTAAATATTATAAAAATAAGTCTATTTTACACAAGTGTTTGTGTTTTATGAACTGAACTCTCTTCATGCAACATGTCATAAGGCAAAGCAATTGTTTGAATAATTCAACCAAAAAGCAACTATCCAATAAGGCAAAATTATTGGTTTTACCTAACTCAATATTGAATACAAATCATAGTGTATGAGATTATGTGGTTGTAAACAAGACAACAAAAGAGTTAACTTTTTTCACAAAGAGTTCATAATATACACTAAGCGTGAATTAAACATTAATTGTTCGGTTTAAAATACCCACAGAGACTGCAACAATCCACAAATAACTGGTATATTTCTAAATCATATTTTTGAAGGAAACAGGGCCAATAATTTTAAATTAATATAGTGTTTTGATATATTGCTTTCTAAAAGTTAATAATTATCCCCGTGAACATAATTCAGATCAAAAATGTTGCCATTGTAGTGAATACAAAATACGATTTGGACAATGCTTACACATTTCATTTAAAAGGAACAATACTCTTTTTAGCAATCAATTATACCTAGGTTTTGGTTAATAACTATCAAAATTCAACCATGTTCTGCCATTTTTTTTTAAACCTGGAGTACCATACAATGTCAGTTACATTCTAACTTTTAGAATCGTACCACAAGTACAGAAGACCACTTTACTTCAAAAATATATTGTTTAGCTACAATGATTATAAAAAGCACTGCATTGAGAGGACATGCAAAGTGTTCTATATTTTACTTCTGGTAGTTTTTAACTTCAGCCTATATACACACACCACAAAAATAAATATGGTTTCTTTAAATAGAATATGCTTTCTTCGCAAATCTTCAATCCAGCAATCTCTGTAATCCTTGCATTTGCTTACTGTCACATAATATTTAATTCACAAGTCCTGAATTCTATAAGATGTATGTAAAAACATCAATGTTGCATGCATTATAAAAAAAACCTTAAAAGCAAATGCAGGTCAAGGAACTTTTAGAAAACAAAATGGCTAATATGGACTGCTGCAATTTACTTTGGAAGCAGCATGCTGGCAATTGCATAGTTTTTGATAATGGTGATGCTGCAAATAAAATGTGCAATACTAGCCTCTATGGCTAAAATACCTCAGGTCATACTCATAATATAGAATGCCATTTGGTTAAGTTATACAACACTCACTGCCAGACTGAACGTGGAAGACTACTGACGATATAAAATAAATCAGCAGGTGGTGCAACCATCCCAATCCCAGAACGATCATACCCAACACCAAACTTTAAAGGGCGAATTACATCTCCAGGTAAAGATTTGGAGCCATCTTAAGGAAGTGTCAAAAAACCTATTTGTTTGTGCTCATACAAACATCATGTGCATCTGTCTCCACAGTAATGTTAAACAATTTGCTTGTTCAAAGTGACATTTTAGCGTCTCATTTGTCCTACAAGTACTTCTGTCGTCCACAGTACAACTACGGTGACAACCAACTGGTTTCAGAATGTACTTAAAATTCCTCATAACATTGAGAGGACCATTCATTTTATATCATTTCTTGCCAGACTACAAGAAGTGATGGACTTGGACTTGAACTTCCAGTTTTGCTTGTATAATTTATTTACATATAAAAGTGATCACCAGTTTTAGATTTTTCTTTCTGGGAGGCGAAAGAAGAGAGAATTAAAGTCGTCTCTGTCCGCAAATGAAAATGGTAATTAAGAACAGCTGCTTACAGAAACAGAACTCTAGAACACATTGTTTTTCCTCACCGATAGGACTGGTACTGCTGCTGTTCTTTAGGCTTTTACCTATTCATTGATTTGCAGACCAGTAACAGAGTAAAATATAGTCGACTTATTTAATACCAAATATTCCCATAATTTCAAGACCATTGAAAGTATATTTATCTCTGTACAATTTGATTTCCCCCGCCCCACAAAATTGTTTATATATACACACTGTATAGATTCAAGTTGAAATAATATTTAACATTATGGCTTCAAAACATTCTACACTCGCAGACAAAATAAAATAAAGATCACTTTGGCAATAAAATACACATACAGAGATACACAATTTTTGGGGGAATTGCAAATTTTCAGTAAACATCAATGATGTAAAGCAGCTCCTGGTTTTGTCAATTCAAAACAGTCCTTATTTGTATCTGGGAGACATGGAAACTTATGCACATGGAGCAACTCTGCAGAAGTACTGCTGGGGAAAGAACAGCCCTTCTCACAGACAGGGACGATACTGTGGGAGTACAAGTGAAAATGAGCCATGTTAGTGAACTTCTACTTTCTGCGTGCTTACACATGTTGAACAACTTTCCTCTGGTGTACTGTCAGCCGTGCTGACCACATCTGCCCATACCAAATGCTCACCAACAAGAATTAAGCATATTTCCGCTGTTCTCAGCCCCCCAAATCATTTTGGGCTTATACCAAGACACCAATCACGGGAAGGTTTAGTAAGAACAAATGGGAGGAAGATATTCTTTTCAAAGGAAAAAGACTGAATCTGAAATGTGGAAATTTGTTTTAAATATCTCAGTAAAAATTCAATCAGTAAAATGTTTGTGTTTGTTTCCAACTTTCTTTATGTACTAAAACCTCATACAACCCTACTAAACTGTGCTTTCGGGGTTGTTGCTTGTTTGATTACTTTTACAACAATCAATACATGGTCTTCAGAAATTGCATCCATTTCATGAATAGGCCAATTCCACTTCCACAGATATGGAACTGTACNTTTTTTTAGGAATAAACAAGGAAATGCTACACAAAGTCTTGGGTTTATATCATTCCAGAAGGAGGAATTCTACATTTCTGTTCAACCTACATGTAGGTTTATGCTGATGAAAGGCTTAAAAAGCAAATATGCCCAATTGTAAAGTCATGGGAATCAGATAAACAACATTACCATAATCTGGGGTGTCAGATCTTGTACCAAAGTCCATCATATCCGTTGAAAAGTATTACGTAAATGAAGTGGAAACTTTAAACTGTTTATGGTTATTGCACATAAAATATTATAGCTCTGAAACTAGAACACATCAAGACAGACTGATACATGACCCCACTTAAACAAAAAAAAATGGCACAGACAAAACCAAAGTAGAAGATTTAGAAGTAGAAGTACAAGTCATTTCGTGGAACATTCTCAATGACAGTGCGAAAATAAAAATCCTCAGTAAATATCAGGGGAATCTTCGTAGTTTCTTTCCCAGTACTTTCCTGTATAAATCCAGTCTTGTGTTCCTGTATAACGATTGAGGTCTTGACGAAACCACCTGCAGGAAGAAAAATATTTTAAAATATATAAGCAGTGTCATATGAATCAAATATTTCAGGCACACTTCTCAAAAAAGTGGTCACTTTTCTATGGTTTCTTACAAAAATTGTCAAAGGTACATTTAAAAAAGTCATAAAAGGAAATTCATATCAATTTAACTTTTAGAAATTAGAGTTTTCAGTATCTCAAAATTATTTGCTACTTAAAGGAGTCATACTTGGCTTGGTACAAATCATTACAGCAGCTATTTTTTGCCAAAAGTCAGTTGCACACAGCAATGTCTCTCACACAGCCATGGAATGAGTGACCAATTTTATTGGGGGGGGGGGGGATGGGCGGTTCAGGATTGTTGGCCAGGACACTGGGAAAAACTTTTCTTTTCTCAAACAGTGCAATAAGAATTTTAACATCCAGCTGAACAGACGGTTTAACGTCTCATCCAAGGGACAGTGTCTTGACGTCACTTTTTAGCAGATAAGAAACTTTCTTGTGGCAGCCCGTGAAATCCGAGCATACTACACAACAATAACTTTCATTTATATAGCGCCCTTCATGCCGGACAGCATCTTGAAGCGCTTACTAACCTGGTTGTCCACTCATCTTCACCTTTGGCTCTTTCTTTACGTGCAGCTCGTTGTTTTTCTTCAAGTCTTTCTTTCTCCACACCAGCCAATTCTGTCAATTATAAAACCCAACTTTTTTTCGAAATCTTTAGGCACAGCCAAATCATACTTTTCTTACAGAATCTGTTTGTGTGTTATGCACTTATATCGCATTTATATTTTGCTTAGTGGGTGTAGATTTTTATGTTTAAAAAGATTTATTTCATCTCACTTAGAACCTTACAACACCTTTTTCCAAAACATACACACATAAGCAAGTTGAATAAAATGCATTTGGTGCTATTTATTCTTAATGCATACCCATGTTTCCAGATTCCATTGCTCGAATATCTGGTCGAAAGCGGCAATCAGTTGGAGCAAAGGAACTCTTCATTTCTTCATCTAATTCATTCAGCATCATTGCAAAATGAGTAAAATTATACATCTGGAAACAGGAAGCAAATTTGTCTATTAGTCTTTTTGAGCAATATTCTATAATAAATACAACCTAGAAATGTAACAAGAGCAGGGCTTCTACACATTCACTGGAGTCCTGTAGCTCAGTGGTTAGCACACTCGCCTCGCATGCGAGAGACCTGGGTTCGATTCCTGGCAGGGCAAAATGATGTGCAAGTTTCCTTACTCCTCATGCATGTGTTTACCGAGCAGTAAGTAGGAACCCAGTCATTAGTCAATTGGCGGAATGCTTTTCCAGGGTAATAATTCCTTAAAAAAATAATAAATCGGTCACTCAATCCACGACTGTTTGTGGGACACTGCTGTCGCAATTTGTTTCTGCGTTTCACCTGCAAAATATACAATCAATTCACTTTACTGTATATTCTGTGAAGCGTTTTGAGGCATCTTGTAGATGTGATAAGGCATTTATTCAAATGCAAGGATTATTATTATATAAAAATTTCTATGAATTCAGTAACATTATCTACTGGTCAGCGAATGAGAATAAATTGAGAATCATCACCTGAACAATAAAAAAGGGAAGTTTAGGAGAATTGGGGGAACACGCGCTCTGGGACGCCGCCAGGCATGGAGGGCACTATATAAATACAAGGTGTCGCTGTTGTTGAATTCTTTGCACACATGAGGGTTGCTAGAATATGGAATGTCTTGCCACAAATGGCCTTTGAAGCAAAGACAATAATAGCATTTAAAGCAATTGACAATTACTTAAGAATTTATAAAAACTGGAAATGTAATCGGTCAAAAATTATATTGTGCACTTTTAACTTTCCAGAAAATAATACTAGTGAAAATCAAAGCATCAATCTCATGTTCAACAGTTTAATTCTGAGGTTGCAATGTCCACATATTCAGTATTCGAGAGTATGCACATACATAATCTTTACAGGTCAAAAACCGGTACAAAAGGAAGTCTTTTATTCTTACCTGGGAAGAGTGTGCAGGTCTGGCAGTTATCCTCCACAGCAACTTGCTTCCAGGAATAACTTGGACAGTTTCTTGGATTTCAGGCATATCATCAGCTTCATCATTTTCAGTTCGGACAACATCTTCAGTCTGAAATACAGATCAGTAATGTCCTTTAGAAGATAGCATTCCAGGTACAACTATTCCATTCCAAGCCTGAATAAGACTACAAGCTGTAATGATTTTGATGGGAAACTTAAAGGTCACAGACGTAGGGTGCTGCAACACCGTTGAGGGATTTAAAAATGAAGATAAGGATTTCAAACTCAATCCCCTGGGGGATGGGGAGCAGTGGAGTACAGTAATGTACATTCTATACAGCACAACATTTGAAAAACCTGAACAAACTACATTGACAGAGTTAACAACTTTGTAACAAAAGGATCTACCTCCTTGGCTTTCTTCTGTTCTCCACCTCTTTTATCATTTTTTCTGTGGGTCTCATACGTGTTGATGTCTATACACCAAAGGCATTCAGTCCATTTGCCATATATCACACACACCTTCTTTTTACTGTCAGACAAACACACAGCGTCACTTTAATACGTTGGTACAAACACGACTGAAAGGCAGCAGGGGGACATAAAACTGAACTGGAAATTTATTTCAGCTCCACCTCTCATTTTATTTGCATACAAACTATCCATACAATTAATAATGGTAAAAAATAATCCTTGCATTTGATAAAGTGCCTTATCACATTTTCGAGACGTCTCAAAGCGCTTCACGTTTTATACTGTGAAGTAAATTGTCTGTATATTTGATGGATGAAACGCAGCAGCTAATTGCCCACAGCAGTGTCCTAGAAACAGCCATGTATTGATTGACCAAATTATCATTTTTTTGAGGGAATTATTACTCCGGATCAATTAATAAAACATTAATTGAAGTACCAGCAAAAAAATAAGTTATGTGCTTACATGAAGTCACAAGACTTGGAAATTATGGGTCAAGTAACTTTGTACACATGAATAAAACCTCATAAATTGTTTTTTTTTGCCAGTAGGTCAAAGGTAAGTGTTCATAATTTTACATATTATTGTGACAGACAGATACAGAATGAAACAAAGCCAGAGACAGAAAAGGCCTGGCATAGTGTAACACTAAAGTAACAGTATAATTCCTTATGGAAGAATGCTGTAAACAAGTTGTATTTTTTCATGATGATGAATTGTATCCAGATGCATAGTGGATCCAGTCCTAATTAGTGTAGATAATTGGCTCTCTGGTATAACAAATTCACGAATCATAACAAATATTAATGTTCTAACTAGTTTATTCAAAGCATTATGACCTATTTTCTTGGACAACCTTTTATCCTGAATGTATCCTTCAACTCTGTGTAATTCTTTTCCAAAGAGTCCACATGATTTAAATTGCAGCACACATTTTTCACCAGTACTGAAAAATAAGTGAGAAATAAAACATTAATAAAATATCAAGGGTATAATATTTTCTTTTAAATATAGTGTAATTTTCTCAGCCATTAGCTTATGTCTCTCTGCTCCCAGTCTGGCCTCCTCTTGGGTTTCACAGATACTGGTTACGTCTCCAACACTCTGGCCAAGTGGCCATTGTTCATGTGTGAACATCAGCAGTGAATGTCAGCAGGGCAGAGGGCATCCTGCTGCCACAAATNCCCCCCCACAGTCACACACAAACACCTCTCCTACCACAAACCGCACCCCCCACAACCCCCCAACATGCACACACCCCCACTCCCACATGTAGAGGACGTTTCTACATTTGATATAATGATACAATGAAAATTAAATCACCCACATAGATTAGTAGCTTTACGCACAGTGGCTGGGTGCATGTGTTATCTAGATACAACATTATGGATAATTTAAATGGTTTGAAATACTAAAATAAGTGTAAGGAAGAATTCAATTTCAGTTAATCTTACCTGTGATTAATGATTTCTACTGTTCCATACTGTTCTATCCATAATTTGCCAATTATTATATTATGTACACAACAGGTAGGATTTGTCCAAGTATAGGTCTCATTGTGCCTAAAAGAAAAGTAATAATAATTATTAGAATCATTATTAATTTAAGCATTACCATTCTATGTGATAAACATAGCGGAAGTTGCAGCAGTAACCTTTTGCTTTTGATTGTCCTTTCCCTAAAAGCAAATATTGAAAGAAAATTCCCTCAAATGAAGATTTTACATTCTTGAATTGAACTCAAAAACTTAAATCAATTATTTGGTGTAGCCATAGCTAATATATTTAGCAATTACATTGACTTTCCTTCTGTCTCTTAACTCTCAAGTCATCTTTTAATCATGTTAACCTTCATCAGAAATCACCATTCAGGACACACCAGCAGACTGGGAAGTGTGTAAAAAACAAATGCAATTTACCCACAAATTCAAAATGTACTTACTTTCTCAGCTCTAGAGTGATAGTTCCTCGAGGCTCTGCTTCTACACTTTTCCCCCAAAATTTAAGCTTTGGGTAAATAGAACCATGGAAAACAAAATCCTTATTCAAGGCTTCTGAATAAAATGCGCTGACTGGAGGGTGATGGCTGACTTGTTCAGAAACGAACCTGAACCCCAGATCTTCCCTACAGGAAGAAGCTAAAATGTTTAAGCAAATATTTTAAAATAGAACATTTTCCTTTACTTAGCAAAATTATAATATCTTATAAACCGATCGACAAGATAGTAATGAAATAATTGCCTCCTAACACAGCAGGTTACTTTTTTTACATTTTTCTTCCAGCTCATGAAATATACGCTATGCTGTAAAGGAGGAATGAAAACAATATTTTACTAATTCAACAGCTTTACCAACAACAACAACTTGCATTTATATAGCGCCCTTCAAACAGGGTAGGGTCCTGGAGCGCTTACCAATATTACTTTTAGAGAATTGGACCCATAACATTTAAAGAGAATCAAAATATCCAATGCTATTGGTATCTCACCTTCTAAGTTCATAGGTTTCACCTAATAGTGGGTTGAATGGTTTGCCAGTCCTCTCCCACTGTGAAGCTACAGCAGAAACCGCAAAAGCAGCTACAGCCTTTTTGGAAAAAAAGCAGATTACACAAACAGAACTTTAGAATGATATCTAGGTGAATAAACTAGCGCAATCCAGTCACTTGAAATTTTATACATAGTAAGTACATTATATTTGGTATCAGGCAACAGTCAAAGCAAAAAGGCTCACTGCCGACTTTGGAACTTATAACCAATTCGTATTCAAAACATCAGACTTGTTTGCCAATTTTGCTGAAAACAACATGCATGGAATATAAAATGCTGCAAAGTTAACAACTCTATCAGGGAACAAACTGTCCAAGTCCCCACATTACAATCATGGTCCAAGCCCAAACTAATTCAGAATTCACATTAGTAATTTCCACACTTTCTTAAAAACCTGATCTGTCCCTACAGTTCAAATTCTGAATGTCACCAGTTTGTGCTCTTACACATTGGCTGCTGTATGGGCACCAGTAAACAAACAAAGTTTGAAGATATTTTCTCCCCCCCAATCAGCCTCACTTGAAACGTATTCACCTGCAATCTCTCCACTGAGTCCGAAAGTAGAGAAGCCTTATGGAGAACATACGTGTGTTCCATGTATTCAGTAATTCGCTGGAGAAAGCTCAGTGGCTCATTGAATATAATTGGCATTGTAATTTTTGACAGTTCCTAAAGACAGAACATAAAGCTTTAATGCTTTGTTAAGTCGCATATCAGTTTTTTATATTTTACTAGATTCCATTACTATTTTGCTATTACTAGCTATTTCTAGGTTTTAGCCTCACATGTACAAAAGTATATCCTCTGAAGCAATTTGAGACGCCTCAATGATGTGATAAGTCTCTATATCAAAAGCAAGCATTACCATTATTATAAAATATTCTGCTGACTTTTTAACTCTTCAATGCTGTCAACTGCACCCATTTCCTATAGAATATTACAGATAATACCTATAGAATATTAATATAGAAAAAAAATACCTAGAGAAACCAGTTATAATTAATACAAGTCAGCTGTTAAGTGTAAATTGTAAACAGTTATCAAAGATAATATTATTAAATAAATAACTGTTCCTTCTTGAGAAGCACATTCATTACTGCAATGGAGACTAAAATGGCCCAAATCTCTTACTCACCAACCCAATGCATTTCTTTAAAATGCTCCACAAACTGAACTGACTTCTACTAAACATCGGAGCTGGCAATGCAGTTCTACAAGAACAACAAAAGCAGACACTGTCAGAAACACATCTGATACAAGTAAATAGTATGTTTCTTAGTCAAAGGAGTCTAACATTTTACACTTATTATCAACATTTCACATTAACCTTTTTTTTCATTACAATTCTCCACTTGGCAATACAAATAGAAAAACAAGCTTAGATTTCCACAGCACAACACACAGTGGTTTTTAATAATTTCTCTTTTCATTGATGAATTCCTAAATAAAGAGCATTTGTTTTTAAAATGATTTTTCGTGAGGAAGAACAGGGCTGGGAATAAAAAATGCCATTCAGCTACTGAGATACGAACATCCAAGTCCTGTGACATAATCATCAGAGTAACAAGATCAATTTTTAATCTTTTTCTCCCCCAATTAAACACACCCCTCTACTATTTGCTTGATGAAGAAATCATGTAATTACTTTGGGAATGTTTCAGTCCAGTGGATTGGATGCCAGTCCATTAACAAGTTAATAACTCAACATGAAGAAATGTTTCTAGGTTTTAGCCTCACATGTACAAAAGCAGTTTTGACTGGCGTACAATATGATGCTTGAACTTGATTACGCCACCAACTGAACTCACCTAGGTTGCTTAATTCCGTTTTCTTGGGATCCTGGTGGGTTGTGCATCTTCTGTTCACACAATTTGCTCGCACCTTTGTTAGGAAACTTTACTGAATCTCCTGCTAACATTTTGCTTGCTGTGGATTCAGAATCATCCGATTCATAGCCTGTATAATAGTGATATAAATCATTATACCTCTCTATGTTCACCCATAATACACACAGCCATGGCACTTTACTGTACATCCTGTAAAGTGCTTTGGAATGTCCTCCTAACAAGAAAGGCACTATACCAAATGTAAGGATTATTCTTATTATTTATTATAGCGGTGACTTAAACCAAAAAAATGAATAATTTGCATTGCGAATTAAAAAATAAAAAATGCAATGCAACTTAAGAATGCATTATTTTAAAGGTACAGCTTCATTTTTTAATGCAAGACACACATTCAACTAACTTTATGTAAACATAATACCACACATCGGGAGCATTAAAGGACATATACATTAAGAGCTGAATCTTACCCAAGGCGGATGACAAAACAAAAAAATTAGCATTAGCATCTTCAAGGAGAAATACAATAACAACAAAATTATATTTGCATAGCGCCTTTCATGTGGGGAGGATGTCCCAATGGGAGGGATAAATTTTGCAACAAGCAATACAAAACTTCAATTGTGTATGCATTGTACCACAAAGTCACATTAGTTATACTTGTTCCCATAAAAGTCTAGCATTCATTAATGTTTAATAAAATTTGAAAAGCTTTAAGAAATTAAGTGGAACAGAAACAATTTTTGAAATTATAACTATTGCTGATCTCTCATCCTTGAACTGCAAAAGTTCTGTGTCCTTTCATTTCACCAAAGATTGTCTATGCTAGTTAATTCCTCAGGAGATTTTCAAAACGATATAGATTAAGGAGTTAAAGCTTCTGAAGTGGTTTTAGAGTGCCCTCAAGATTAGAATAGTGCCAAAAAGAGTTCCTATAATATTAAAGTGTATCTCAAAAAGGAAGTGTGTGCTATTCTTATAATCACAAAAAAAACTCAGAAGCTTATGGTTAAATCCTCTGAATTTCTTTCCCATTGGTTTTAGAAACATTGGGCAGGTTTCCCACCAATTACTAAATCCATGCTCACCCTTAAAAACACATTTACCGTTAGTACTTGACTTGCAACAGTGTATGCAATAACTGTAGGACTGTACCTCTTTAAATGTCAGATTGCCAGTGTGTGGGCGTTATCTGAAGAGTTCTAAACTGCCAGTTTGCTGAGGATCTGCTCATGGCATTCACTGTCTTGCAGATTGAAATATAGTAAGGAGGACAAGAAACTGTTTCAAAGCTTATCATTTCACTGTCATTACAAAGGGGAAAAAAATGGACTGCAGCCACAAGAAATATTTCAAGATATATTTTTGTACATATGCAACTCCTGTAATGACCAACTGCTACAATATTGAACAACTGCAAAATACAACAGTTTACTGAACAGAATAAATCTCAGGCTTAAACATCAGTCACAAGATCTTTTCTTGTGGCTCAGTCTTGTCACCCCCTCCCTTGCCTCCTTCAAGGCCCATCTCAAGACCTTCTTCCTCTCTGACTGTACCTTCGGTAATCCTCCCAACTCCAACCCCCTTTTGCCCTTCCACACCTTTGATCTCAGCCTACAAACCCTTGATTGTCCAGTGGCTTGGGTTGTACTCCCAATGTGAAAGGAACTATATGAATGCAATTTGTTGTTATTATTTTCCCCCCACTGATACTTACCCGTAACTGCATCAAAAAACTCCTCCTCGCTATTCATCTTTTTAAAAAGGAAAAAATAACTTCTTCCACTGACCCAATTTAGTACATTGTTCTCCTTAAGCTGGTATACAAGGTACAGTTTCTCGATGTTTTCTTCTGGATTGATCTAAAAGTTTACCGAAGACCTAAAGTGAAAACAAAATCAATATTCATTCATCCGGAATATACGTTTCATCACTGATCAACTGAAAAACATTTCAGAAATAAATGCAGCAAAATCAGTATTGCATCTTTCCTGATGTTGTGCAAAAGAGCTCAACTACAGTAACAGTGAGGTTAACCAAACAGCAATAATTACAATTTTTCTCTGATGCAACATAGAAAGCTTTTTCTTCTCCATTATGCCAACAAAAGCTTTATATGTTTAATAGAATGTCTTTAACAATAAAGAGTACTTTTCATATGCCTATTTTACCTCAATGACTCGATCAGCATTTGCTTGTGTCTAATCATACAATTTCCCTGAGTAGAGATTTATAATTCATAGTCTGTCCTTGCTGATTTCACTGAATGGCAAATTATTCAGCCAAATAAATACTTACCCAGGTCAAAATACAGGAGGCAACTATAAGATACATACATCACATAGGTGTAAAAAAGATCAAATAACCAGAAATAACTTTTCAAATTAGTAGTCTTCCTATAAATTATTATACTAATAACACACAAGATCAACCAGAACTTCCTATGGATCACAGATTTACTTAAGCTCTATTTAAATACTAAGATCTACCCACAAATATGTACAACTTCCTGATCAAGTTTTAATTTACATTCAACAATAAAAATAGTTACTGATATGCAGAATTACACAGCACACAAACTGCTTGCACGATCATGTTACTTGCACACCTTTAGTTTTTCTTCCAATGAAAGGTTACAGGTGTGTTCAAAGCTGCAAACAATCCACTTTCAATCTGTACATACATGCATTCTCAGCACGCCAAATTCATTTTTAAGATGATAAAAGCAGCAATGATAACCTTCCTCCTTCATTCTTGGTGGAAAGGAAGCAAGACCAATCAAATTCAAATAATTAAATTGGGGTAACTTTTTTTTAATCTAAACTTTGTTACTGTGGCTAGTAGTTAAATATGAAATGAATTTTCAAGAGTATTTGTATTCTGCAATGTTAGTATTTAGACCTAGGACTGTACCAAGGGTAATTTATTACTGTCCTTCTCTTCACCTTGGCTTTTGGCACTGTAGCTTTTGGCAAACTTTACGATTAGTTGCGGGATATTGACAGAGCTGACACTTAGTTCTGTTGCCTCACTACTACCTGGAAGCAAGACTATCCCAGATTTCATAAACAAAAAGCAAAATACTGCAAAATAGATGCTGGATTTAATTCCAGATTCCGTAAAGCAGTTGAAATGGTTCTAATAATAATGGTTTTGTTCTAAATGGTTTATTTTCCCCTGCTTCTTGTGGGTCAATGCCTGGGCTGAAATTGGCGACTTCTCTTGGTGGCATGCTTAAAAAGGAAACAAGTCCCACCAAGATTTCAGGCTTTATTATAGCTATATTAAAAGATATCAGATGGGTGAGAATTTGGTCTAATTCCTATGAATAAAAGATTGTCTCAGTCAAATAACCACAAGCTTAGTTGATTTTATAACAATGAAAAGGGAAAGACGAGACCTCCAGACATGATATAAAATGCAATAATGACTACTATTTAATACTTAAAAACCTGCACTCTAGTGACAGGACTATTCTAAATCATGAAACTTAGTACAAAGTGAAATCCACACACACTTGAGTCATCAAACCAGCGTGACATTCCACCAGAAGGACAGCTCCACTTATTTTATATGCCATGCATTTTTCCACCCCATTCACTGCTCAAATGAAATCCCAGTTTATGTAAAAACATGCAATACAAAATGAAGTATATTTAACTCAGATTAACAACTGATAATTGTACATCCGCACTGTGAGAGTGAGCAGAATGATTTGGCTCAGACTTGTGAAAAGGAATGGTTTGATTAGCATATCAATACTTGAGATGAAACTTTTATCACTACAAGTAGTAACATAGCATTGACACTGTAACTTATTCCAATACATAGAATCCTAAAAGCTTTTTTACTAATAATATTCCTCATGTCAGTTGTCAACTGTATCTCTGAACTCGCATTACAATCTTATAGAACCTTCATTTCTTATTGCAATCTACTTACATCATAAAAGTTGCCTTATTGTCACTCCTGTTACTGTAACCATCACTAACTCCAAAAAGACTCATGGAGGAAAGTTAAAACACTCAAAAAGGGTTGCAAAGCATGCATATAATAAAAGATGCCTTTGGATCATGCATTTAGACTATAACACAATCTCAGATTTCAGATAATTTATACACCATCCAAGCTTGTGGCCTTCTGATTCATGATATCATCTGAATCCTTGAATTGTATTACAATCTTACAACACATTCCAAACCAGCTAATATTTTCTGTATAATTGCCATTCAATCCTGTAATACTTAAACAGTGAAAATGAACAGACTGAAATGGGTATGAAATAAGGATATCTTGATGATATCATAATGGCATACAAGGTCATACTGCATTTAACAACAATGAGTGCATCAGAGCCATACACAATCATTGTCTTTAGTAAGGGAATTTTTAGCATCAAGAAAAGTAGGTAAAGAGTCATGAGGGTGGGCTATGAAATTCTGAAACGCCAGCTACACATGAATACTATTTGTGGTACTTCTGATTAGATGAAAATTCTAAAGTACAACAATGAGTAAATGTGCTCATGTGTATTACCTGATTAAGTTATGGAATGGTTGGATGGAAAACTTAACCCAAATTGGTTGCACAAACTTAAGGATTAGATTTTTAGGCTTGGGAGTCTTGGCAGGCTACTGAACAAAAGGGACATTGCAACTGATTCTGTCTTCATGAAATATCCACCTCCAGCTGGGGTTACTGGATGTTAATTAGCAGCTAAGCAGTCCTGTTAATTTTCCCCTTCCCAAACCTAATCACTAAAGCCAAATTATTGAGCATTCAAGTTTCTAAAGTTAATCTATCAGAGCAAATTATGTCTAGTGTGGTCAGGTTATTATCCAGTCACCAAAACATAACTCCTTCATACTTGTGGAATTGAAAGGCTGCAAAAAAATAAGTAATAGTGAATTACAAACATAACGTATGTTCTATTCCAGTCAATACCTAATGGCACTCCCTTCCAGTCAATAACTAATGACTCAGATCCTCCTGAGTTAACAAGTAGAACCAGGCGGGACCATAAGAATTTTTATGACCACCTTATCACTGATATTTTGTGGTAATCATTATTTGTTGTGCTAGAGTCTGTTTCAAAATAATTTTAGTTCTAGGACAATGGAAAATTTACTGAAGTAATACCTAATGTAAGCATTGCACATTTTAATTCAGGGGCATGTCTAGTACATAAAATGCAGGAATGTTAGAGGTGACCTAACGACCCATAAATCGGCCTTTTGTCGTTTTAAGGATCTGAAATACATGAGCTAGATCAGTGCATTATTTGTAGTTGAATTGCCCAACATTCACTCAGCTGCTGTTGGTTTCATGGGATAGTCAACAATTGAGGCAAATCTAAGGTGATTACAACAATAACAAATTATACTTGTATAGCACACTTCATGTTGGAAAGACGTCCCAGGGCGGTGGACAATGAGGGGTTTTAGACCTGAGCTAGAATAAAGCTGGATTACCAATAAAGGTCAAAGTTAAAATTCAATGAACCCTTTATAATATTCATATCTAATGATTTAATATCTTTTACATTATTATCTTTTAATTATAATAATGTAGGTTTAATCTGCGTTACTTTGCCAAGTACCATACAAACACTTATTACCACATATTGAATGATGCTAATGTGGAGTCCTGTAGCTCAGTGGTTAGAGCACTGTCCTTACAAACGAGACACCTGGGTTCAATTCCAGGCAGGGCGAAACCTTGGGCAAGTTTCCTTACTCCACACGCCTAATAATAATCCCTTCAAAACAAAACAATAATAAATTGTTCATTTTCAATCCACGACTGTTTGTGGGACATTGCTGTGTGCAATTGGCTGCTGCGTTTCACCCACAAATATACAGTCAATTTACTTTACAGCATATTCTGTGAAGCGCTTTGAGACGTCGAGAAGACGTGAAAAGCGCTATATCAAATGCAAGCATTATTGTTATATTATTATATTGTCACATCCAGAGGTATAAGCAATGTTTATTTTTAGATCTTGTTTAAACGAGTTTAAAAGCATGGCTCTTTGAAGAATGAGTATTTAAAAAAACTTCCACACAATATTATTTTAATGTTTTAATTCTTTTGGTGGGTGTTGTAACTCATTTTTAAAATGAGCCAATAGGTGAAGCCTGACAAAAAGAGTTCCAAATAATCTTCTAATACACATATCTGATTGTATTACAAAGAAATTGAGTCACAGGAATTGCATGGATAGCTGCAAATTAGCAGTTTTCAGTCCTTAAGGAATATGCTGAGTGGGGAGGAGGGCTATATTTGGAATGTTGAATAAATTCTGCTGTTAATACATTGCAATAACTCCAGGTGGAATTCATTAATATTCACACTCCAATCAGAAATTATCCTGGTGGCTTATAAGGCCTCCTTTTCAATCGTAACAGTTCAATGATTTACATTCTCTTTGAAGTTTCCCCAAGATACAAGGGATCCTTGTTGGAAAAACATAGATATTTCTCTCCGTCTCCCATGAGCCAAGCACTGCATTATTTTTTGTACAAAGCTTTTCGATTTTGATGAGGAAGTCATATACATGCTCCTTCTAAAAACTGATACATTGTAATATTACTATGCTGATTTGAAACCACTTTATATATTTTAAATAAAATATTTTTGTGGGAGAGCGTTGATGAGTGAAATGACCAACTTCCAGTTTATGTCCTCGACAGATTAGCAATGAAAACGCCTGTGACCAAAACCCGAATCAAAAGTGACAACTGCACCACCACTTTTTATCAGCTGCAACTATATTCTGAAAATTCTATTTGCTACTAGTTAACCCAATCAGAAGGCTGTTTAATGTTTAAAAACCTTACACTTTAGGCTGCAGAAAGAGTAACTTGTGTTTAGCATATTTCCTTTAAGCTTGTGCTGCTTCACATTACACTATTGGAAAGGAAGAACTGGGATTTGTAACCAGCTAATTTCATGACACCTTTACTGACCAAAGAAGAAGAAGAAAATGAGNAAAAAAACACCCAAAGAATACTCAAGTTTAGTCATTTTTACCCCCAGGTGGATTTAATATTGACTAGATTCGGCAGTGGATTATTTCTGAAACTGGTGCATGAAATTCCCAAATCACACATCTCCAAATACTCTTCTTAAACCGTGTATTTTTGACTGAAATATTTTACCAGTTACATGTTCTTTTCAATAATTTTGTCACGCTAAACACATACCTCAAAGGTCAATGAGCTTTTTATTAATAAAGTAATAATACTTGCATTTACTATAGGACCTTAGCACGTCGGAAGGATGTCTCAGTTTATTCATTAACACTGCATTTCAGAAATAGAAATAACTAATTAAGAGGAACTTTTTTTAAAAAGTTATAAATAATATCCTTTTGTACTGCCCTTTTCTGAATATTTTGGTGTCAACTTAGTCCAATGACAGAGGTATTTGTTTGGAATGGTTACTAAACCTAACATTGAGGGGGAACTGAACAAACTTCAGAACAATCCGTTTTGAATTAGCCCTGGGTGACTGCATCCATATTCATAATAATTCACTTCCCTAACATGGCCTCATTAAATCTTTAAGGAAGTACCTTACTCAGTTCCTCACCACTCATTGTTTAAAGGATTCTTTTAAAATCAGTAGAAAAAGACTAAACAAAAGAACGGTAACAGTTATAATTCTTTATAGCTATTTAACTTTTAATATCTTTTCTTTACTTTTATAAGCGTTTGTTCCATTAAGTAAATAAGAATTATTCAGTATTTGAGATACAACATTTTAAGTACTACATTTTCTGTGCACATGTGAGGTGTGAAAGAAGTTACTTGCACACCATTTACTGTATTAAAAAAATGTATGACAAGGGACTTGGAGAGAGTGGGAAGGTGGAATTGAGTTGCGAATTTGGCCACAGTCTTCAAAAGTGGTGGGACAGACTCAATGGACCTGTTTCTATGTTCCTATTATCCTTGCCTGAAGTTTTAGCTTTCTAAAGAAAACAAGAAATGTCTTCACAGTCATGTGTTCTCGTTGTGTACAATACGACAGATGACAGTTTCTGTAACAGAAATGCAGCTATTCTGCTCATCATCATCTGGAATGTGGCTGAACAAGACACATCACATACAGCACAAGAGCAGGTCAACCAATACAATAAGTGTAAATGGTGCACCACCCAATGACAAATATCACACCATAATCTGCTGTAAGTGAACTTTGAACTATTCAGCTACAGAACCAGTTTGGCAGCTTAGTAACTTTTACTGGACCACATGTTAATTCTGAAAACTACAAGTAGCAAGAAGTTCCAACTCCCCACCCTCCCAAAGAAATAAGAAAGAATGGTGCTTGAACCTACAACCTTTGGACTCAGAAGCAAGATTGAAAAAGATGTGTGAAGAAGTGGTTAAGCAACCCCAAATTGGGGCTCCAAAAAGTCTAAAACAGGAAATTATTGAAAAACTAATTATTTTGAGGTATCAAAATGGTGTTGTAGACATATATGCCATATATTGTGCAGAAGAGTAAGACAGACATGAGTTTCTCCCTTCAGTTTTCCCACAAGATGAATTCCACATTTCAGAAGGTGCAGTACTTTGATAAACAAAAGGCACTAAGCGCGACAACTTCCCTATGGGAAGGAAAATGAAAAGTCAAAAAATGAAAAATACAAATACAACTCTGCACCCCTTGTATTAGTAATATATAAGGGGTGCAGTCGTGTAACTCAGGACTGCATCCCTTGTGGAGTCCTGTAGCTCAGTGGTTAGAGCACTCGCATTGCAAGTGAGAGACCTGGGTTTGATTTCCAGCAGGGCGATACCTTGGGCAAGTTTCCTTACTTCACACGCCTGATGATAATTCCACAAGAAAACAAATAAGAATTTGGTCACTTCAATCCACGACTGTTTGTGGGATACTGCTGTACGCAATTGGCTGTCCCGTTTCGCCCACAAATATACAGTCAAATCACTTTACAGTATATTCTGTAAAGCGTTTTGAGACGTCTAGAAGACATGAAAAGCGCTATATCAAATGCAAGGATTATTATTATTATAACCTTTTTCCTACAATAATTCAAAGTAGAGACCTTAATTTCTACATATTTACCCTATAATTTAATTATTTTCAAGTTCATTATTTTTCCCTACAAGCTTATGAATAGTATATTCTAAAAATGATATTATTTCAACATTGTGCATTATGAAAAACACAACTCAACTCAAGCAATACAAAATTTAATACTGGATAATATTGGTTATATGCTGTCAGTTACACAAATGGCTAAAACACAAACAACAAGATTACATTTGTATAGCGCCTTTCACGTCGAGAGGTCGTCCCAAGGCGCTGGACAGAGTACAGCATTTCAGCAAAATATAAAGAGGGAAAAGAGAATTGGAATCGTGCACAGGACCTGCAGACTAAAACACCGATTTAATTCCAAGAAAACAGATATATGTCAAAACATTCTTAAGGAAAAAAATTGAGAAGTACAGAGTAACTCGGCTGGAGGGAATTCTTCCCTTTGACGTGATATTGTAGTTAGTTTGAACATGACCTACTTTTTTTAAAGTTATATTTAATAAGGAAAACATAACCGCTTGTTGAGTCATACATACACACTTTAAGGTAACTAATGAAAGGCAGCATTCCTCAACCCTGTACCAACACAACACTGTAAAATAAAATACATCTCCCTGGAATGGAAAGGAAAGGGAGAGAGCGCTTGTAGTTCAAAAAACTGCAAAAGCAAATGGCATGTGGAGAATCTAGGAAAGGCCATTTGGATCAAACTGTGGGCGTTTCGCCCACAAAACATGCGATCAATTCACTTTATAGTGTATCCTGTGAAGCGCTTTGAGACGCCTCGAAGACGTGATGAGGCGCTGTGTCAAACGCCAGGACTATTATTATAATTATTATAGAGAGAGCAAACTCAAGGGCAAACGCCTCATGTCCTCTTAAAGAAGGGGAAGGAAACACACACACATCTCAGCGCATTTCTCAAACAACGTGCAGCACATAGGACATGTTTGTGAGGAGAACATTACCTTCCGCTCTCTGAGGGCAGTGCCGGGCCGGGAGTGGCGGGTGGGGGGACGGAAAGGAACCGAAAAAGGGATGGGTTTTTTTTTCGTCAGCGCTCCGTTCCCGGGCGATGCTTGACCTGGTCCCGTTCTTATTAATTAAATGATAACCAAATGTAATAATAATAATAAAGAGCGAATGATATTCGAGGAAAAACACACACACAGACAGGACGCACCAGACGCTCAAGTTGACAAATCAGCCCCCGATCCCCGTTCCTCGGGCGGCCGGAAGCGCCAGGCTCGCGGCGCTGAGCTGACTTGGGCTGAGTGGCAGCCGCCCCGACCAATCACAGCCCGGTGTTTACCCGCTTCGCCACATGTAGACCAATAGGAGCCGAGATTTTCGAAGCAACGGCCACGCACGCGCGAGCAACCCCGCCCTCCCTCCTCCCCCGCCCCCCCGCCCCCGGTCGGGAAGGCGCAACTTGCGCAGGCGCCGTGTGACGGCGGGAGGGACGGGAGGCCGCCCTGACAGCAGCCGCCGCGGCTCGTGCTTCACCTTCACACCTCGATTTTACTCCACTTCGTCGGGGCTCCGCCTTCGCGGGTAATATAAACCCCCAATCAAACCAGAGAGACACAGACAGGTAAATCATAGTCTATCTGCCCGACTGAGGAGAGACAAACCAAACGCCGCCGTGTGAGGCGGCCCTCAGCGGCCCTCAGCGGCCCTGCGCTGCCCGACACTCGCCGGTTATTCGTTTGAAAACAAACCGACGACGGTCCCCCCTCCCCCTCCCCGCCGCCGCTTGTTGCGCAGTTCTGGTTTGGAAGCCACTTCCTCCACTGCAGCACCTTGTAATAATAATAATAATAGTCCTGGCGTTCGACACGGCATCTCATCACTTCTTCGAGACGTCTCAAAGCGCTTCACGGGATACGCTGTGTGGTTTGTGGGCGAAACGCGGCAGCCGATTGCGCACCAAATGTCCGCAATAATGATCATCTTTTGGATGGGACTGAGAGCCAATCTGTCCGCTCAGGTGAACGTTCAAAGGTCCTGTGATCCCTTCGTGACTTCTTTTTTCTTGTTTTGGAACATGGCTCTGACGCCGCTGTGATTGCCAACAAATACAGTCATTTATAATGTCAAGTCAGCAACATCCTGTGAAATGCCTTGCGATCGGTTCACAGTGTGATAAGGTGCAATATCAAATATAAGGATTACTATAAATCTCGAAAATGTGGCTCTTGATGTCTGTCAAATCAATCAAATGCGTAATCATTACACATTACAGGAAACTGAAGCATTCGAGAGGTTAAGATGCTATATTAAGGATCATTTATTTTTAGAAATGAATGCAGGTTAATATCTACATGTAATTTGCAATCTGATCACCAATATGACACTTTGACCTTGTCTGTCCCTTCCCCAGTTTTACTATTTCCGCAATGTTGTCAGTTGCATGTGACCAGAAGAATCGCTGATAATATCCCTCAGAGTCTTAACACTGTTAAGTCACAGAAATGATGGATTTTTTAATGTCCATTCCATTAGAAACAAGAAAAGTAACGCCTCATTCAACTGAACCTTTGACAGTTACACCCAGTCTGTATTACAGCACTAGATTACAAAGTAAATGGGAGAACGTCATAAACACCAGGAGCTTCAGGCTATTTTAGTACCAATTCTGTTTAAACCAGTTCTGAAGTATCCTACAAGTTAAATAGTGCATTAGAGTGACACATGGGCTATTGAATTTAGTGAATATCTTTCCAGAGCCTCAGAACTGCAAATAGGCAGGAAGCTTGCAGCCAAAGCATGTCCAGTATGTTCACTTGTAATCCTGTTGAGTAAGGAGTGCCAATGTATTTGTATCTGGTGGAAGAATTCTTGTATGAATGCCATCTAAAAATAGCTATAAACATTAAAGTTTGTTTTAGTAGAAGTGCAAATATTGCTCTTGGAATTCTGATAACTACATGAAATTTGGGTCAGATTAAGACAATTATGTTCTTGTTCTTCATATTCTTGCAGTAAAACTTTAGTTGGTATTTTAAAAAAAAAATACATTAGACCTCTTTTAGCTGCATAATGTAACTACAGTATGTACTGTGGGCATAAACCACGGACACCATTCTGTTCTAGGATGGGGCGGTTATCAACACATACTCAGGTCGGCAAACCAGTACTGTTAGCTTGTCTGTACCTTTCCCCGAGATGGGAGAAATGTCGTTGCAAGTCAAAACTTGGAAACTTACATAGAGTTGTTTGCATTTGGCCATTAGTTGCTTAGATTCCATAAAGCAAATAGGGCAAATTCCAGGCACCAACAGCCTCAGGCTACTTAAGAACCAGTTCTCAACTTGTCTGAAAGCTAAATGTTTTTAAGGAACACTCCCTTTGGTCAATTCTGACTGTCACAGATGGACCACTATCAGTTTGGGTTTACTTTCTGCCTGGAGAACAAATGGATGTACAGAATATACTGTAAAGTGAATTGACTATGTTTTGTGTGTGAAATGTTTTATTGACAGTGCCTGCTACAAGTACATTTCAACAAACCTGGACTCCACATTGAGTCCATTAATTTTCAATTCAGTTCAAAGCTTACAATTCACTTCCACAATTCCAAGGGTGAAAAAGCCAAGTTTGGAATAATAACAGCATCAGGAAGAAAGAGTAAAGTGAATAGCTATTGTACCTATAGAAATTCTGCTTCTCGATTCAAGAGTTCCCTGATCTTCAAGAAGCAGTTATGTGCCAGCGACAGCTGAAAAGCAAAAAGGTTGGCTTTCAACAAGCAACAATATGCGTATCTCAATACCTCTTCTACTACACTTTCAGTAATACAACTCACCATCTGAGATATAATCTGAACAAAAACCCAGCAGGTACCTCATTGTAAAATGATATACCCTTCAGTTCTGATTATTTTTATTCAGGTCAATCCAAATTTAAAGTGAGCGACACACTTTACTGAGGAATAGCAAAGATGAAAAATGACAAACCATTTGGATGAATGTTATTTGAAGCTCATGCGTATTTTCAAAAGGTGCAAAGACTGTCCTGCCTGCTCATCTTGAGAAAAATGAGCAGTCAAATGTGGCTTCATTTCAGCTCCCAAAGCTGAGAATATTGTTCAGTAACGTCCAACAAATTAATGTTGCCTGCCATGCTAGCCCCAAAGAAAAAAAAGACTAGTTAAGAATAGTCTGTTAATAATAATAATCCTTGCATTTGATATAGCGCTTTTTACGTCTTCTAGACGTCTCAAAGCGCTTCACAGAATATGCTGTAAAGTGAATTGACTGTATTTTTGTGGGTGAAATTCAACAGCCAATTGCGCACAGCAGTGTCCCACAAACAGTCATGGATTGAAATGACCAATTTTTTTTTTTTTTGAGGGATTATTATTAGGCGTTTGGAGTAAGGAAACTCGCCCAGGTCTCTCACAGGCAAAGCGAGTGCTCTAAACACTGAACTACAGGACTCCACAATCACACACACAGACCATCACACACACACACAGACCATCACACACACACACAGTGACCATCACACACACACAATCACACACAATCTAACACACACACAGAAAATCGCACACACACACAATAATAAGGTGTTTTTGCAACTATCTAAATTTTAGTAAGTTTCAGCAATGTGTCAAGTACCAGGGTGCATTCAAGCTAATTTAAAAATGTGTTTATCAGGAAATGAATTACCATTGGAACAATAAATCATAAAAGGAAAGTAATTCAATTAACTGTAGAAACATGAATCAGGATTTCAACACACACCTGTGCATAGAGCACAATACAGTAATATGTCTTAAGTGAATACATTGTTTTTGCTTGGCAAAATAAACTTCAGATTCTGTTTGCTGGCTAATTATTATTATCGTTCTTTGTTAATTGCAGACTTTGAAACTATGAACATTAGGGCTGTCACCTGCTGTACAGACAAGTGCACAAATTACAATAATAAAAAAAAGCTTGCATTTGATCGTGTCCTTCAAGTCAATAACATAAACAACAACTTGCATTTGATATAGTTCCCTTCAGGAGGGTGCCTCAAAGCACTTCACAGGATTTACTGTAGGTGAGCTGTGTATTGTGTAGGTAGACACTGGAGGCAATTGGCGCGCAACAGTGTCCCACAAGCCATGAAGTGTTGTCTTGTGTTTCATTGCAAGATTAAATCACGAGAAGATATCGCTACCTCAATATTCTTCAACCAAATATACTGGCATTGCACAGTGCACTGTGTTCAGTGTGTATGGTATCTAAGCACACTGCAAAAGTAATGCATTTTATATAGTCTGCTCCACCCATCAATCTCAATGATCATTCTGTCCAGACTCCCCCTAAAGAGATTTGAATGAAAGGAAAAGCCAGCGCGTTACATTGTTTGACCACCAGGTGTCAATATAACACGGTTTGCACTGTAACTGCTTTGATATCATTTGATCACAAATAACCATGAAATGAATGACAACATTTAATTTGAATGTCCACCTCCAACAATGAAGCACATCCCCAGCACTCATTGGCGAGTCACCTGGAGTGCCTGGACTATACCAGTTCAAAGTCCGAGGTATGACTCAAAACATACAACCTTCTGATGTGACCGACTGAGCCAACCTGACACTAGAAGCATCCTGAAGACATTATTCAAGCGTCATTCTTGTAAGTAGGCACTATAGAATGCAATCATTTTATTTTTTATAATATTTTATTATAAAATAACAGTGCAATTAATATTGAAGCGTGATGTCTCTTATTATTCTAAAGTTCTTTCTCCAAGTATGGCTCATGCAGTTAGTTCTGATTCTTAACACCTGACTGTGCAGTGCAGTGTGTCTCCTACTGCTGAATTGAGAAGCCTTGATAAATGTAGAATTTTCAATATAAAAATTAATTTGAACAACTATCCAGTGCAAATTCAGTGGCGGTGAAATGCAAAATCCTTTTGGTTAAAAGAAGTCTAAGCCATTCTAGGTTTTCTCTGGGATGTGTTTGGCTTATTTTGGCCGGTAACCTGTTTGTAGAAGCTTTCGATAGGCCTCCCAAACCTCAGGGGAAATGTCTTGCTCTACTTGGAAGCCCTTCTTCGGGTAATCACGGATTCGTTCTAAAGCAGCTGGATGGAAACAAAATAAACTTAAGGATTAAATATATTAGAATAAGACTGCAGCCTCTGAAAAACACAATCATTATTTAATCAGTTTTACCTAAATCTCCTTTATTCCTAACCTTCCCCATATCTCTCTGTGTCTCCTATTACTTTTGGTTCAAAGGTTGCATTTTAGACGGTGAGCATTTGAGGCCCCAGCAGAGTCTCCAGACATTATTACTGAACGACAAGGATTTTTTTCCCAAAAGCGCAATTACCTCACCAACACTCAGCAGTAGGATGAAGGTTTATTTTATCCTGTGGTTCTGAATGTTCAATGGTGTACATTTCCCACCTGGCAAGAGACTAACCCTTGGCACATTTTGACACAACGTAATATCAATCGTACAATTCTGGGAAATAACACTAACATTCCTACAATAACAACCAGTACCTTTGAAGACAAATTTACATTCAGCATCTTCATTTCAAATACTGTGCATTAAATATTGTATTTCATATAGAACTGTTCAGCTTACCCAACATGTATCCAATCAAGTCCACCAGAGTCCCCACACTCTGGTTTGGGTAGTAATCAAGTTCCATTGGTGGAGAAGTGACGATAACCTGCACATTCTCTTTGTCCCCTGGCCACTGACATAGGTATGTAGCATATATCCGTCGTTCCATAAAAGGCTGTTGGACCAGAATAATCCTCTTCACTGGGAAGACAAAGGTAAAGAAATAACTACTGAACACGAGCGGATTTGTATAAATGTTTTCTTTCAACAAAATACCAAAGTTTAAGATTTTTCCAACTTATCACTGAAACAATTTTGGGATGTGCTCTTTATTTCTGAAAGTTTCACAGACTTGTGTATTTTGTAGGTGAACACAGCAGCCAATTTGTGCAACAGCAAAGTCCCAAAAACATGAAGTGAATGAATAATTGTATCTGGAGGATTTTGACAAGGACACTGGAAGAAACTTCCTCTCTATTCAAACAGTGCCATGGGATCTGTAATGTCCACTTGAACAGACAGACATGACCTCGGTTTAATGTCTCATCTGAAAGATGACAGTTCTGACACCACTGCATTGGTGTGTTAGCCTAGATTATACGGTCAATTCACTTTACAGTCTATTCTGTGAAGTGCTTTGAGACGTCGAGAAGACGTGAAAAGCGCTATATCAAATGCAAGCATTATTATATATATTATGAGCTCTAAAACCAGATGTGGGGCCTGATTTCTATTGTTAACTAAAGGGAAAGAGGAAATATCATTTTTGTTTTGAACTCCTGTCCATTTCACCTGTGAGTTGTATTTTAATGTGATTTGTGACCTGTTATTGTAGGGTAGTGCTGTTCGCAGTGGCATCTGTAGGATCTGAGTGGTATTGCTGTTGCCATCTCCCATCACTGGGCTCTGCCACACGTCAAAAACAAACATATTTTCATTCCAATTTCTTCTCAGTGCGTGTAATTGAGGGAGGAGTTCCACAGCATATTTTGGTAAAGGTGCTAATTTTATCTGATCTGCTAGAAGCAATGGGCTTGATGGACTGAACAGTCATTTTCACGTTATAATAATAATGCTTGCATTTGATATAATGCCTTATCACATGTTTAAGATATCTCAAAGCGCTTCACGGGATTTACTATGAAATGCAGCGACTGTATTTGTGTGTATTTATGTGCTGCAATGTCCCACAAACAGTTCTAAACAGAATGACCAGTTTTATTTGGGGATTTCTATTTTTAGTCATCATCAGCTTCAAATGCAAACGGTTATGATATGGCGTGCTCTATTCTTAAACACAACTAATAACAATTGGCATAGTCAAAGGTTAAAATAGCAGTGTACTGTACTGTGGCACATTTAAGACAAAAAACTGTATCCTGAACCAGTCTATCAGTCAGGTTTCTATTGTAGTGAAAATCCTATTTCCTTAACACTTCACTACGCCATATAAAGCATCTCCTGTCACAATGACGTCTATTTGAGATGCTGATTGACCCACTGCTGTGTATTTCCAGCATTTTCTCATTTTATTTCAGATTTACAGCCTTCACGGTTTTCTTTCCATCTCTAAACCCCTCTTTCAACCATTGAATTTACATGCAAATCTCCTCCACCTGAAAAGAAAGATGAATAAAACTCTGGAGTGCTCAGAAACCTGAAAGAAGCCGTCAGGAAATGTTTCCCAAAGGGAGACAGATGCCAAATACAGATCTGCTGCTCTGCACCTTCAGGACAAGTCACATTGAAAACCATCAAAACAGCAGCATCTAGAGGCAAGAGTGAACTTCCGCTGCTGAATTAACATGGATCTGAATGGCACCAAACTACTTGCATCATCTACTGCAGCAACCTACAAGCTTGTAACCTAGTGTGTGGTCAGCCGTGTATCTGACACATGTAGAAACCCATTGCCATACTTAATCCAGTTCTTCATGTTTATGCCACTTACAATAGAGTGCACATTCTGCAATGGAACACAGAATACTGACTAGAGTTTCAGTCACAAGTCCTTGTGCTAAAAGGACAGTTACCCCGCCAGAGATGTCTTGTGTATATCAGCAAAGAGCCATATCAAGTAAATGCCATAATGAGTGAAAGCTCACACTGTTATTTACCCGGGATGTGCTGTTCCATCAGTGTTCGATATGCAAACCTTATATTCTCGCCTGTATTTGTGGCCTTTTTCTCAAGAAGGATCTTGTGAGCTGGAACACCCAATTTAATAGCAGTCTCGGCAAAAACATCTGCTTCTGGCAGATTCCATACTCCTGTTCATACAAAAAAAAGGGATAATGGCAATAAACAGAGTGTCTATTATTCCTCAGAGCATTTTTTTAAAAAAAAGCCATACTGCAATTTATCAATAAAGAAAAATAGCAATATCAGAAATCCAAGCTCACTGGAGGAAGAGGGCATTAACACAGACAATAGCCTGGGAGTCAATGCGAGGCATAATCTACTCAAGAGATTTATAGCTCATCATAAGGTGTGAACACAAAGCTCAGGTGTTTTTTTTCATAGGAACATAGGAACAGAAGTAGGCCATTCAGCCCTTCGAGTCTGTTCCGCCATTTAATTAGATCATGGCTGATCTGTACCTCAATTAATCTTTTCAATTCCAATTTCCCGCTTTCTCACCACATCCCCTTAACACCCTGACATACCAAAAATCTATCAACTTCACCTCCTATGTTTCACCACTACAACAACAAAACAATAAGATTCCATTTATTGAGCGCCTTTCACGTCGGGAGGACGTCCCAAGGCGGTGTACAGTTGGGTCAGGACCCGAGCATTGGGGGGAAATGGTCAGGGTGAGGGGAGGGAAGGGAGGGAGCGAGGAGGGAGTAGAGAGTCGAGAGGGGAGCTGAAGGCACGGTCAAAGAGAAAGGTCTTGAGACCGGCCTTGAAGGAGGAAAGGGAGGAAGCGGCGAAGGCACTGGGGGATAGATTTCCAGAGCCTCGGGGCTGAGAGGCTGAAGGCCACCGATAGTAGGGCGGTTGGGGCGGGGGATGTGGAGCAGACCGGAGCCAGAGGAACGGAGGGTACGGGCGGGTAGGTAGGGGGATAGTAGGTCGGAGAGGTAGGAGGGAGCAAGGCCGTGAATGGCCGTGTAGGTGAGGATGAGGATCTTGAATTCGATCCTCTGGGGGATGGGGAGCCGGTGGAGGCGAGCGAGGGTGGGAGTGATGTGGTCACTGGTGCGCGACAGTACACGAGCTGCAGAGTTCTGAATGACCGGCAGTGTGGAGGGAGGGCCGGGAAGGCCGGCGAGGAGAGAGTTCCCATAGTTCAGCCTTGAGGTGACAAAGGTGTGGACCAGGGTTTCAGCCGCGTGAGGGGTGAGGTAGTGCCGTAGTCTGGCGACATTCCGGAGGTGATGGAAGGCGGTGCCAGTTGTGGCGCAGATATGGGGGAGAAAGGACAGCTCAGGGTCGAACAGAACCCCGAGGTTCCTGATGGCTTTGAGAGGTGGAGAGTGCAGCCTTGGATGCTGATGCTGTCAGCGCCTGAGGTGCGGAGGCGCTGACGTGAGCCAATCAGGAGGGCCTCAGTTTTGCGCACGTTGAGCTGGAGAAAGTTATCTCTATCTGAACCTCTACAATATATTATTGTAACAGTCTTTATGGTTTCCTTCTGTCCCTGATATTGTCGTTACTATCACCGCACCACACAATTCAAGAACTAACTTAGGATGTATCAAGCCAGTAGAACAAGTGGACATAGGTTTAGTACGTCAGTTACCTTTAGTGTGGTTTCCCAGGTAACCAGTGAACAGTATCTGTGGAGCCCATCCTTCCAGGTAAAGTTCTGCGGCTCTTTCTGCAACTCGGATGTCGTGACACCCCAGACCTATTATTACATCACTCTGGAAACATAAAGATACTCACGTTACTCTCTTTAGTTACTGTGAAACTGTGAGTGTAATAATGCTTCCATTTGATATAGCAACTTGTCACATTGTCAAAACATATCGCAGCACTTCACAGGATTTCACTGATACCCTTACCTAACAAATATATGTCCACCTCAGTCTTGAAAATTTGAATGGATCCAGCATCCAGAGCCATGAAGGGAAAGACCAATTTTATCTGAAGCAATGTTGACCAGGACACCAGGAAAAACTCCCTTCTCTTTTCAAATAATGCCACAGGATGTTTAACATCCACCTGAACAGGCAGATAGCAAACGTGGCAGCCAATTTGTGCACAGAGAAATTGCACAAACAGCCATGAAGTGCATGATCAATTTGTTAATAGATTGTTGACCACATAGCTGCCTAGTGCTGCACTGCTGAATGTTGGTGAGTGCCAAGGCAATGTTTCCTATACACCACCAAAAAGCAATTCTAGAGAAATAGAAAAATAAAGTAAGAATTCTTCAAAATCCACATGAGATCAATCAGCATCTTAAAGAGAAAGAGGGGCTACTGTTTGAATTATGATGTTTCAGTAATTACACCTGAAACTTTTAATCGCTGTGCTTCAGATACCTCACAAACACTCTCTAACGTAGATTTAGAGCATTTTCTGTTTTATTAACATCATTGGTTTTGTTTGTCTGGAAGAACATTCTCATCTGCAAGGAACTGCGAATGTTTGTCTTCTTTTTCATTAACAACCTTTGAAGTTTAGTTGGCTTCACACTTTCAGAAAAGTGAAATCCATTTTAAATATTTCATCCTTCTTGTACAGGTTTATTATTGGGGTGTGGGGAGTTTTATTTTACCTAAGCTGTTAGTGAAGCATTCCTACCTTAACCAGAGGTTGTCCCAATTTCAGATACTTCCATAACAATAGTGCCCATCGTTTGCAATCATTATCCATTCCAGTCACATCATCCCTATGGGTAAAAAATACACTCAACAGAGGTGGATTCTTCATTTCCTTCCAAAGAAACAGACTTATAGCAAAGGAGAGTGAGAGTGGTGGGAATGTGGAATTCTATGCCGCAGTCAATTGTTGGGGCATCAACTATTCAAAAGAGAATTTCTTACTAAATAAGTTTGAATTTTTTCATAATTAATATTCCTGAAACAAATCTATAAAAAGTTTTAAAAGGGAATTAGATAAATAATTTGAAAATGGAAATACAGTGTTAAAAAAAGTTAGGAGGAAAAGACCGGGGAGTGGGATAGAAATGGGTAGCTCATTTCAGAAAGTTCCACCCATAAAATACAGTCAATTCGCTTTATAATATATTCTGCGAAGCGCTTTGAGATATCTCAAGGACGTGAGAAGGCGCTGTGTAAAATGTAAGTATTATGACAGTGGCCTCTTTCCAAGTCATAATAATAATCCTTGCATTTGATATAGCGCTTTTCATGTCTTTTAGACGTCTCAAAGCGCTTCACAGAATATACTGCAAGTGGATTGACTGTATATTTGTGGGCAAAATGACCACAATTGCAGCCAATTGTGCACAGCAGCATCCCACAAACAGTCATGAATTGAAATGACCAATTTTTTTTCGCTCTCGAGGGATTATCATGAGGCGTGTGGAGTAAGGAAACTCGCCCAAGGTTTCGACCTACCGGGAATCGAACCCAGGTCTCTCGCTTCCGAGGCGACTGCTCTAACCCCTGAACTACAGGACTCCTTCATAAGTTATAAAATTCTATGATTCTATAGAATTCTGTTCTTGAGAAACCATTGTTTTTTTTTTGCTTTCAAACAAACACTGACTGAGTCACATTGAAAGGCATTATTATGTTACTTATTGTGTTGCTCTGAGACATTCTCTCCCAAACAGGAAATGTTGAATGTTGGACACGGGGGTTTATGAAAACCAGGGAAGCTTCTCATTTCACAAATACAATATCTGGTTCAGAGGCCAATCACGTGATCATCAGCATTGATGTTGATGAACAATACCGGTTGTTATTGTACTGTAATGTCTGATTGTTTCTGTTACAGCAAAGATCGGCGCTGGATTAACGGTATCGATTCAATGATCGCGGCTCCGCAATGCGCTGTTTCACTAAACTCCCGACACTGATGTGTTTAAAACACATTTAGACACATTAACACACACATTTACACACACAAATCAACGGGGGGTTAAGGTGGTTGTTGGTGGGAAACCCGCGCAGGGTTTAGGAGACAGCCTTACCTTGGCTATGGCTATTGCTGCAGACACACAGACAGGACCACACTCCAACACTTGCCCTCACTGACCCACATGATCTCAGCACCTCAACTGCTCTCCTGGTGAAACAGCATCTGCTTCCCTTTGTTTGCTTCAATAATAACTCTGTCATCTGACTGAGGTCTGTGTTGGCTGAGGTGAGGATATACCCTGATTTCAGCTTCTCTCGCTGCTCAGCGTTTCTCCAGCCTCTGGACAGGCAGTGGGGGACTTGCTCCAGTTCTGACACAAAAGACATGAGATGATCGACTCTCACTCCTGACGTTGCGTTTCTTACATTCAAGGAGACAAATTGCCTCAATTTTAACCCACTCGAAAGCCATATCACATTAAATGGAAACATTTAGCCCTTAAAGGATTAAAATGAAAAACAAGCCCCAAACAGGATCGACACATCATTTACATTGTATAACAGGTGCCAGACTGTCCTGTATTTTAGCAGCTAAACCCTGCTGTTATTTTTCCAGGACATATTACATTTAGTTGGTGTTGTGCAACTTAAAATGTCAGTAAATATGAATACAAACGTTTAAAATCTCTGTAAATGTCAATAATTTAAACCACGACATTTAACATCAAAGGATTGGGATTGTTGTATCACATGGACTTGGTTGATAACCATTGGCGCCTCTGGGTCACCAGGTTCAAGCCCCACCTCAGGGTTTGAGCTCACAATCAATGCTGACACAGGACAGAACTGGAACAACACTGCATTGAGTGATGTCAAACTGAGATCCCATCTGCTTGCTTTCAGATGGACATTAAACGCCCCAATGACAATATTCTTAGTCACAATCTTGGCCAGAAATTCTCCAGATCCACTGGTCAATCATCTTGAGGTTATTTGAAATAGCTGCTGTGTTCATTTAGAAAACTTAGTGCACTTAACAGTAATTACCTGTGAGAAACTTTTATTTTCTATTTTTGTCAATAACATTGACACTGGAGCCCTCACACAGAGCAGCGTGCCAGAGCGCTTGACAGTGGGGGGAGCACGACACTGAGCCAGGGGAGGTGACCGAAGGGACGGAAGAAGAGGAAGGTCTTCAGGCACGTTGTCTATAAGGGGTACAAATATGCACCATCCTTCCTTTCACTGAAAAACGTTTTGACAATTTTTGTATTTTGAAAGAAAGGAAGTTCAGTGGCACAATGATGCATTTCTGCATGACTTACAGCATTGTATTGTCTTTGTATACAAACAAAAAAAAAGGTCTGCCAGCACTTTTCGTGAAAACTGGCCTTTTAGATGAATTTAGAATAGAGAAAATGGTTTTCTCACACCCAACTGCTCAATAGACAATCACATTCAGCACTTTGACCCAGGGTAGAGTACAGATGTTAGGGCATTTTTCTTACTAAAGTACAATTTTAAACAATTCCTTTAAATTATGGATGTTTGATATGTATAAAAGGCATAAAAAATGTATATGGTGATTTTTGTTGTAAAATCGCATAAATTGAAGGTCCATCCAGTTCGCCTCCACCATCCTGGCAGTCGTTTGGCCATGTCGTGTCCCAATCGATATACTGCTAAAACCTAGATTCAAAATAAAGATACCGCCCAATTTGTTTGCAATCATTTATTATATAGATATAAGCTGGTAGGTAGCTTTTGCTTCTTAATTTTTAAGAATTAATTCTATTTCTTTATCCTGTAGGTCAGGTTTTACCACTTGAGCGGCTTGTGCCCCTGGATATACGAGCTCTCCAGGTACCCATCATATAGTTCTCTCAGATGTAGTACAAGCTCTTCAATATTTGCCCCAGTGAGTGCTGATAGGGGAATGACCCGCTGGCTTGCTTTTTGCTGGAGCGCGAGGAGATTGGCTCTGGATTCAGGCAGGTCTATCTTGTTCCCGATGATACAACAAGGCCTTTCTGACAATCCTTTCTCATATTGTTCCAGTTCGTATCTTAAATCTTCCAGCTGCTGCCAGGGTTCTGCCACTGACAGATCCAGGACAAAGAGAAGAAAGCGGCAGCGCTCGATGTGCTTCAGGAAGGAGACTCCCAGGCCTCTGTTTCTGTGGGCTCCTCTGATAATCCCAGGGATATCGGCAACTACAGAAAGGGGAAAAAATACAAGGTGTGATGAAATTCTGTTCAGATTAGCTTTCTAGAGTCGTCGAGACCATAATGAGATTTGAGAATCGTTGAGACCATAAATTCTGCCAATCCTAATTTTGGAATCAAATTCTTCTCATCAAAAACTCCCTGAACTGCAGAAAACCAGGTCCAACCTGGTAGCCTCATAAAGGTAGTGTTTACCTGCTACTTGCTCAAAGTCTTGATAATGTATCACACCAACATGAGGATTTAATGTAGTAAAAGGGTAATCAGCTACTGCTGGTCTGGCCCTTGAGATTGCTCGCAGAAGGGAAGACTTGCCAGCATTTGGAAAACCAACCTAAAGATAATGGGAAATAATATGTAGTTTTAATCACAGGCACTGGTAAACAAAATGAGTAAATAAAATAAAAACAGGAATATATAACTAAACTCTAGAAAAAATTAACAAATGTTAATATGTATTTATAATATTTATAGCACAGAAGAAGGCCATTTGGCCCACTGTGTTTGTGCCGTCCCTTTGAAAGTGCAATTCAGACCCATTAGATTTGCAAGCAGGAAGTTGGCAGTGGAATCCTAAATGCCATTTTAAGATGTCTTGGAAACATTCTGTTAAAACCTGGTCAGATTTACGAGTACGGTAATCTTTAGGACCCACTGGAGAATAGCTATCACCTTTGTATTCATATGTGTATGTATTGCTGCATATTGGACATTTCTGTCCCAGAATTGCTGCCACATTTACCAACAATTTTGTGGGAGGCAATATGAGATGTTTCACTGTGATAAGTTCCTATATCAATTGTAAATATTATTTCTTTATCGCTGAAATGACATTTGGTCTTTGTAACATAGTGAGTGCGATGCTTAAACCATTTTTTGGTGAAGATCTTGTACACACCATCCCAGCATGAGCCATGGTCCTGAGCTCCAGGTACAGAATGTGTTCCTGACCAGGGTCTCCTTGGGTAGCAGTCATTGGTGCCCGATTCTCATTTGACAGAAAGAAGCGATTCCCTTTCCCACCGGACCCACCGTAAGCTGCCACATGTACCTCTCCATGAGCGGAGAGATCAGCGACCACCTTCTCATCTTCTTTGACTACAGTACCAATCGGAACCTGAGAAGACAACAGCAATTGAGTTGGTAGCTGTAATCACAAAGTGGCAGCATTATAAAGCCGTTAGTTACGGTAACTCACCAGAATATAGGTGTTGTTTGCATTCCTTCCGTAACAGTTTTTATTTCCTCCAGATTCCCCATCATCACCGTGATAAACTGGCACAATGGCAGTAAGCGATTTGACTTGTCGGGCAGCTGAAAATTCATCACTCATTAAAAAAATCATAATCCTTGCATTTGATATAGCCCCTTTCATATCGGGAGAATGTCTCAAAGAGTTTAATAACAATAATAATCCTTGCATTTGATACAGAATCTTATCACGTCTTCGAGACATTTCAAAGTGCTTCACAGAATATACTGTACAGTGAATTGACTGTATATTTTGTGGGCAAAATACGGCAGCTACAGCAGTGTTCCACAAACAGTCGTGGATTGAGTGATTAGGGTTCACAGGATTTCCTGTGAAGTGTAGTGACCGTATCTCGCAGACAAACTTATTTTAAAAATGAAAACTGCAATGAAGTGAATCAGTCTCACTGATTTAGATTTGATTTCTTTAAAGACACACATTCCTCATTGCTGTTCTCACCATCAGTGAGATTTCCACACCAGTAAGAATAGTTATTGCTTACAATCGCTACTGTGCACAGCTCTGAAAATTAATATCCCGCTGTTCATTGACGATAGAGACCAATGAACACTGACAGATGGTCACATCGTGAATTCTGATTACCAATGGTAACACTATCACTGATACTGCACTTAGAAATACAATCAATAACCATTTTGCATTCTGGAAAAAAAATGTCTTTGGTGACTTAAAACAGCATTAGGGCCAAACATTAAAATGAAGGAAATCTTTTAAAATGATACATCAAAATGTATTGGATAAGATATTTTATTCCCACGTTACCCCTCAGTATGACGTGTCCTCCATCCCCTCCATTTCCACCATCGGGTCCTCCAAACTGTTTGCGAGGTTCACTGTGAAAAGTGCAGACCCCGTCGCCCCCGAACCCTCCGACCGCACGGACCCGCCGCTGGTCCACAAAGCACCGAGTCTGTGTCGGAGCAGAAAGATGATGATCGTTGCAGTTGATATACAGTGCGAACGGCCGCACACAGTGGATGACAGACGGTTCCGGTATCCGCAGCGCGAACATTACCAGTTTCTTTTCAGAAAGTTCCTTTTTCTTCCGAAGCCCTCGAGCTTTGGAGAGTTTGACATCGCTGACGGTGAAGGTCCGCACCAACGTGTTCGCGCCGCAGAGAGCGGTCGGTGGGCGACTCACCGCGGGAACAGCCCACAGAGGAACCCACGTCCCCAGAGCCACGGCGCGGACCGTCAACATCGGGGCGACCGGGACCGGGACCGGGACCGTTAGACAATCTGAAGCGGTGTCAAACATAACCGGTGTGAGGTTCCGGTGCGGAATGTTCACGACTTCCCTTCGCGGCACAAAGATCCCGAACCGCGACCGCGACTCCACACAGAGACCGACCGTCTCCTCAGGAGCTCCGCCGCCGAGACTCGTCCTCAGCAAAACCCCCGAGACTGAGGTCGCGGGACCGCAGCTCAGCGCCTCGGTCAGAGGTCACCGGTACAGAGGCGCTCCCGCGACCCATCGCCACCGCTCCGGATCCCCGGTCCCGCACTCCCGGAGCGCTCCACAGAACACACGGCCGAGTGTAGTGACTGTGCATTGTGTTGGGGGACAATCATTGACTCGCGGCCTTTTATTCATTTGAAGTACAGATTTTTTCCCGAACTTTTTCAAACCATTCTCTGAATTCCCTCATTTATAATATACAATATAACATATATATATATATAATCCTCCCCTCTCCCCTCTCCCCTCCCCCCGACCCTCCCCCTCCCCCCGGGTGTCGGGTGTAACTCGAGGCCGGGGATCCGGGGCCTGTGCCACCGCCGCCGTATTAAGCGGCTGGTGCGCGGCTCCCGGCGGGTCACGGCCCGGTCCGGCCCCCTGACTGACTGTCCGGCCCGGGTCCGGCCCGCGGGAGGGAGAGAAGGAGAGAAAGAAAGAGAGAAATTGTCCCCAAAATCCGCTTCTCCACTCACCGGGGCAACCGCGGCCTCGCGCGTGCGCAGTTCGTCCGGCGCCTTCAACCCGCGTTTGTAGCCCAAAGTCCACTGACAGTAGCCCCAAAAATAGCCCAACTGGAGGTGTTACAATAATAATAATAATCCTTGTGTTTGAGATGGCGCCTCATCACGTCTTCGAATCGTCTCAAAGCTCCACAGGAAACACTGTAAACAAATAAACAAACAAATGACATCTGATGAGCGCCTTCACCCCGGAACGTGTTGGGACTACAGTCAAATGCACCAAAAGTGAACTGACTGCTCTGTGGGTGAAACGCCAGAGTTTGATCCTTGGGAGTTTGATCCCAAATGGGATTATAATCTCAAGGTCATCCCTTGATTACGTGTTATTAAAGTCTTGGGGGTTTTTTTTTTGGAATATTTTTCCAATGACGACGAGGTTGATTTTGAGCGATCGATCAAACCTATTGAACGCGTAGAGATGAATGGGAACCACCACATTAAAATATAATGAACTCGGTAATTTATTGTTTCCTTTTCAAAATTAAAATGTAACAACTTTTAAATAAGTAACAGAAAATTTCTGGTACAGGCAAGACATCAACTCATTTGCAGTTACAACAATTTCTTCTGATCACTAAACTCAAACAGCAATCGCCTCCGTTTATGAAGGCTCACAAACATCTACTCAACGTTTACTGTTTTGCTGGGCAATGATAAAGAGGGTAAAGACTTAACATAGTACATTACAACAGGTTTCATTGGAGAGAGAAAAAAATCTTCCTAAACTCTCAAGTTTTTTGTTTCTTGAAAACAAGCAGGTGATTGTCACAGTACAATCTAGATTTTAGCTATTTGGCTGTTTGACAGCGAGACACAAAAAAAAAACCATTGGCTCTATCAGCAAATGAAATGCAAAACATTCATATGATTGCACATTGAAATACAATTTTTTTTACAACGAACAGTATGACCCCCCTCAGTGCCTGTGGATCCTCCTGTTAGACAAGGCGGCTCATTCTCGAATCGATGCTTTAATATTTACACAAAAAAGGTTGACTCTGGACTGTACATTTCAGAATATCTCATCACTCCCTTCAACATATTTATAACAAAGAAACTTTCCTGTGTAGCATTGGCTCAACAAGTTATCAAATAAACTTGAAAATGTAATACTGTACATATATTTTAACACCTTTCAAACCTTTACCCCAAATTGTCCCATTTTGTCCTCACCCTCCACCCCCCCACCCCCACCACTGCCCCTTCTTGGAATCAGCTGGTTGTTTGTATGATGGACCCTTCAGTTTGGAAGATGGGTTTGTTGAATAAAAGCTGCTAACATTGTCCGATTATCAGCAGGTGCATTTGAAGCAGGTAAAGAAAACTTGTTAGGCTTTTCCCTCCTGCGAGGGTGGAATTGTCATAATGGTGGTTGACTCCCAGTAATTCTGTCTCTGACACATAATGAAATGTACATAGTCTCGGCACTCAAAACTGTTCCACTGGACTGTTAGACCATCTGATGCCGGTTTTAAGTTAGACCCTTTACAGCAGTCAATCCTGCATTAAGTGTTAACAGACAACATACCACAACATGTACTGGTATGTCAACATTGATTAGTCAATCACAGTATCATTTTCCACAAGATTTTAAGTGAAGAAAACTACTGAAGAAAATCATTCGAGGCACAGCAACACTAACGTTTCACACCATGTGGTCCTCATTATAAGGCTCAGCACATAGTATCTGCTAAACGTTTGCTGGACTCAAGTTTGTATGTTGGCTTTTATTCATGTCATGTGGCATTCACCTGGAGTAAACACCTCACTAAAACGCACAGAAAGATTGGCTTATTTAGGACAAGAGTTGCCATGAGAGTGGCGTACGCATGAAACAGTTCCTTCACTTCAGGAAACTATATCCCTATCATCATAAAATGGAGTCAGCAGTTTTACTTTTCCATATGAGGGTTTCATTTCTAACATTGTAATCATTTCAATGTGATGAATTTCATACCGTTTCCATCTGACTTGGGGTATGCAAGTACTGCAGCATCTTACATTTTTTCCTTATTTCGTCCACATTGAAAAAAATTTTAGGATGAATTTAGTTGGCCTTTTGCATACATGCTTGTAGGGAATAGGATATCGAATGAATGTTCTTTCTCAAAGAAAACTAATGCAACAGCAACTATCGCTGACAACAATATCCTGTCTTTCATATAAAGTACCCAAACTTTAGGTCAAAAGTTTTATGTGCTCTCTCATACTTTTGTTTGAGAAAATAAAACCGCACACCCCATGCACAAATCTAAGATGCCTTTTTCGGGTTTGATTTCAATGAAAAAGAGTCCTTTAGCAACTTGTAGCTAAACATCCAATACTCCATTGCTGTATATATGGAAGAAACAAATGTCATCTTTAGTGCAAACGTTTATTATACACACACACAGGCGCTTAAATCCACAGGGCAATTCACTGCTTGAGAGAATACCTACCCAGACACTTGCAAATCTAACCATTGTGTGTGTCCCGTGGATCATTAGAAGTGCACTAGTATTGGGCTTGAAATGCTATTAACAAACAGATGCAGTCATACAACAGTGCAACAACTTAACATACAATATTCACAGCACCAAGTCTAAACTATTATTGACTTGTTATTGGTAGTGCAATGTCACTATTCAGCATGAAAGTAATGAATATTTTTACAACATCCAGAAGCTGCTTTGAGCTACCTCTCAAACATGAAATATGACAGTCCCATGCTTCAGTTAGTCTGTTAAAAATCAACAAAGGATGTTGTGTATATATAATATATATATATTATATTCAGAGATGGCAATCAGCTGTTTCCTATTGCTGGTAGTTTCCGTACTGCGCCTGTGAAAGAAAGTAAAATATCAGCATCAATAAATTGAGATTAAAACCAATACAGTTGTGTCCTTTTACCCAACATGCATTTCCAGGGATAGTGCTTTCATTTAAAGTTGTGCTTTGCTTTTGCAGGCCTGATGCAGCAACCCAGTGACCATTTTGATGGGTCAAATGTCCTCCTGTGTACAAAATATTTACATTTCTAAAATTCCTGCATAGGGAGGGAAGAACGATGAACCCAGTTGGCCCTTCCCCATTCCATGCTTCATGTTTCTGTTAGTGTAAAACCAGGAAAGTTGGTCCGAATCAAGCTCCTCCATACACTGACCACCAATGGCTTTTTTAAAAAAAAACAGGACATTGTATTCCTTCATGATGAATATCACAACCCCCCTGAACATGCTCACTCTACTTCCATCTTGTAGCTGTGCTTTAGCAATCCCTCCACATACCAGAAAACAAATTCTCAATAAATTACAACAAAGAACCAAGTGACACATGGAATGTCAGTCTATCTTGCGAGGGAGGCAGTGTATTGGGTGAGGCAGGAAGAGTTTGCTTATCAGTGGGCTAAATATGGCATTTCAGAGTCAACCAGCATTTATTTATTTTATCTATACTAGCTTTAAAAACAACTGATCTTGCTGCAAGCACAGCACTTTTAATCATGATGGGGGAATTTTGCAAGGACTTGTATATTCCTCATACATGGTAGCTTTATCCCCCCTCACTAATTTAATTTCCCCTCCAATCATTTTATCGCCAAGAAAACAATTAAAAAAAACTTCTTCCAATCCTTTTGCAACGCTGCTCTGCGATCAGTAGACAAGATGAATACCCTCCAACCTCCTACTCACCCACCCTACAAGCACATTCCTCCCACTTGCCCTGATGGCCTCAACAACAACAACTTGCATTTATACAGCTCCTGTCACGCAGGGTAGAGCCCAGAGCATGTGTCCTGGCACCTCACTAAGGTTAGGAATTTGCCAAGTGCCAACGTTATACTGTTACTATGTGGTGCCAAACATTGGAACAATGTGCATCAACTCTGTCCAACTGTTGGCAGATCTCCTTCCTCCAACATCCAGCTCGGGCAATCAGTCAGAAAGATGGGCTGCCAATCTCTCGCTTTCAAGCTATTACCACTGGACGGCGTCTTAAAAGTGAAACATATTAAGTTGCTTTTGTTTCTCTATATCCTTGCATGGAAGCCTCTACAACTCTCCCCCTCCATGTTTTCTCCGCCACCATCACATACTGGAAACTTGCTCCTGGGAGATATTTTCCTACAAATCTTTGTGCTGTTAGTCTAATCAAAACAGATTTTGATTTGGCTATTTTCAGAGAATAAACAAACTCTACACTGATGGTAAATAGCTGAGCTGTCACCTCTTGGTACTTTGCTTTTTATACAGGAGAAATGTCCTGCTCTATGGTCCATCAATCCTGTCTTCCCCCCAAAAACCCAGTAAATTCTCCATGTTCAAATGCAAGATCAGGAACAGAATTGTCATTGAGCCACTATTTTTAATGAATGCAAATGCACAGAGATGCCAATTGGATGATTTGTGCCCTGGATACACTATACCGCCCTTCCTCCAACTCCCACCCCACACTGCTTTTGTTGTGAACCACACAAGCAAGTCAAGCTGGGGTCTGGCTGCCGAGACCACCTTGAGGGGGTTGGTTTTGGAAACACATCGATTCCCACCGGGCAGCATGAGTGTAGATGAGAGAATTAAATTTCACCTCTGCTGAAAAAGTGCCCAGAGGCATTTAAGGCACCTTTCTCAAATGTAATTAAAGATCCTTGCATTCAGTTGGCCGTTTCATAACATTATAAAACTCTTTGCTGTACATTTACAGAGTTTTCCTGAGTCCATGGTCAGAGTGATGGGGAGCGGGAAATATAAATCTGCTTTACTCTGAATCACTCTGCTACTGGCAACCGTATTGCATTTCTTCCAGCGCCATAAACAAGGCAGTGTTTGAAAATCAACATAAAATTGAATAAAACATTGAGGGAAAGATTTACTATTGAGTGAAAATAATAATCTTTCCCATTTAGTGTGCAAATACATCTCTCGCTGTTGATGATTTATGTTGAAGAGCCTTTTAAACAATCTATGTACCGCAGTTAAGGAAAGTTTTTTTTAAAAAAACACAGAAATGTACAAGAAGTTTCTCTCTTTGTTAATCCATAGGCTCATTGTGGGTCTCGCGGAGGCAGGAGGCAATTTCATCATCAAAAACACAGTCTCACCCATAACCGAAGGGATTCCTGAGCAGTAAACATTAACTGTAAATGGTAACAAGTTTAAACCCATTGAAAAACACACAGCTAAAATGATCCAGAAGAATCCCATTGGATTTCACTTGATCAAGTAATAGCAGTCTGACCTAATATCCTGTGAGGAGAGAGAGAGAGAGAGAGAGAATACAAGAACAAATTGCAGCTAGCTGACTGCTCAACTCCCAAATCTCTGAACTCTTCCCACAAGGTGCAGAGATTGAACCAACCTCAAAACCTGGAGGCCAAAGAGAGTTCGGGAACTCTTTTACAAACTACCCAGGCCGTGTGTTCAGGAGGCTGGTTTATAGCCATTGATCTTATTTTCAGAGAGAGAGAGAGAGAGTGGGGTGAAATCCTACAGTAAGTGGAGAGGAACAAGTTTAGAACTTAATCTCAAGTTGTTTCCAAGTCAGTTTGTCAAACGATTTTGTCAGTGGCAGGATTTGTTCCTCGGGATCCAGCTTTTACAAATCAACTGAAGGATGCTCAGACCTCCTCCCTGGCTCTCCGGGATAGTGAATACCACTCAGCTTGTGCCTCCTGTTCAGAAAGCCTCGGAATCTGACCTGACATTGGAGATGAGTTTCCTGGCAGAACGAGGACCATTGCAGTCTCTCTGCTTGGACAGACGTCACTCTGACCCGGACAGCGATTGAGACGATGGCATCAAGTCCAGCTGCTGTGTTTAGCACCGGTTTCACACTTTGTGACAAGACACAATCAAGTCAGCAGGTGCTGTGAGAATCCATCACCAGGGGCTTCAAGACAACATCTTCAAATGAGGATTCGGGTTCAATTGGAGCCCGAGGAGACATCAACCTGAACCCAACTGACCAACGCAGGCCGGCCGTGAAGGGCAGACGTCAGCAGAGAGACCTACAAAGCTGGTGACTCAAACCTAGTCAAATGTCACAAAACTTTACCAGAAGTTTGACCACAAACCTACACTGACTTATATAGTGAGCAAAAGAAACATCGAAGGCAGAATTGCTGCTAAGAACAGGAGGAAATGAAGGGCAAAAGGCATGGCTCAGAACAATGTTTTATGGATAAGAGGAGGGCAAATGGTACAGTGTCATTAGGTAATAATCACACTGATCGCAGAGACCAGGGCTTGCAAAGTGACTTTTTTAAACCCAATAATCGTTTTTTAATCAGGACAGAGTTTTACAGAAATAGAAGGCAGGAGATTCCTCTCGACTCAGTAGATAAGTGCTCCATGTTGTGTGGCTCTGCGCAGCACAGATTGGGAAGTTTGACCTCTCTCTACTCTGTGCCCAGTGCGCCGCTTCCATCCCTGATAGCAATGGGTAAGTTACAACTGTCCTCCTTGTCTCCAGCCAAGAGGAGAGGTTTAAAGCCAGGATTTCAGGTCATAATCACTAGCCAGTGATTTCCATGTGTGGACAATGTGTGGTTGTCAAACATCTGACACTGTGGTCTACGCTGACACATGAAGAATGAGGCGAGGTACACAAGGAAGAGCTGGTGCCGACACAATGATTAGTCACCACAGCAGGGAGAAAACCTTGTCAAATCCCCTAAGAACAAACCTGAGAGGGTGACCAAAACTCCATTGAGCCCATTTCCATTGATCAGAAATAACTCAATCCACACGCATACAAAAATGCTCAGGACTAGTGGGACCTCTAACAGCAGAAAGGAACATGGCTTTGCACTTTAATGCCACCGTTCAAATCTAGAACATACTTTTTGCTCCTGGGAAGGGATTCAATAGACTGGATAATGTCAGCCACCCACATAGTGACAAGGCTTTCTATTGTCTTAGGCTTTAACCCTCCACACCATTACAGCAATTCCTGCCTTCTCCCCTATTCAAAACACGGGAGTCTTGTCAAATACCTTTTTTTAAAGATAATATCAATCAAATACATACAAAGAATTATAATCAACAATCAAAACATCCTTGGCTTTTTTTCAGGTGTTCCCAACCATCACAGCAGTGAGCAAATTACTTTCTGTTTTCTTTGTAAGAAATTTAAAGTGAAGCTGTTCAAACAGTGTATACTGATCATATCAGCACCGTCTTTGATCAGTCACTGAGCCAAGAAGCAAGGTACAAGAGAACAATGATATCATAACAACTGATTATTATACTAAGGTGCTTAAGTAATCACATAATTGGAGTTGTGTGGATTAATTCAGCACTTGTCCTTGAGGAGTTCAGTAACTCCCAATCAGTCTTACCCAATGCTGATGCCAACAACATGTTTCCCCTCTCTCTGAGTTCCTCAATGCAAGAGATATCAACCATGAGGCTGAGAACAGCGTTACCAGATCTCAGTCACTTGGTTACAGCTCTGAGCTCTCATGGGTCACACACAGCGCTGGGAGCAGAGTGGAGCTCCCTGGCTAGTGGCAATTGGTGCCAAATTAGGGCCAGTTGTGCGTGTGCTGTTGGCCCATTGGGAACTTGGCTCGAGATTGCCCAAATCCCTTTCCGGTGCACGGAAGGGCCATTCTAGGCTGGATTCAAACCCAGTGCACCCTCCCACTGCATTAAAACAAGAAAAAAATCAAGAGGATGTTAATCATAATTCTTCATACTGTTTGATTTTATTCTTTTACAAAAAAAGTTATCTATTATGTTATGGGGTTAGCTGTAAATCTAAATCATACCACAAAACTCTGGGATGTTCAGACTTAGCTGAAACCCTGAAGATGATCTATACCATCCTCTGTAGCATGCAACAGAATGAAGGCACGAGAATGCATTTTAGACAGCAACGTATCACATGGGGGAAGTGGCTATAAATGTAGTCAACGTTCAAAGCAAAGCCATCCCTTTAAACAGGGGGATTCACATTCCTGAAGGATAGTACCAACAGTGGCAGAATACTGAGTAATTGCCATAACAGTATTGTTCTAGCCCAGTGTCCAAATTCCAGCCATTTCTCTGAAGCAAAAGCTCCAAATGATCCAATATCAGAATGGTTTCGGAACTCATGTCCAAAACAAAGAACTGCCTTTGTTTCCACGATCCACCAGAAAATAGCCAATGCTGACAGCCTGCCCGCTGATGGAGGACAAACATGGGGTTAACAGAAGGAATGCAGACTATGAGGGGACATAGAAAGTTCACTGTCCTTTTCATCTCGTCCTTTTTATCTCTCCCTCATGGAAGAAAGAGTGACAGCCTTTAACCTACCCTCAAACCAGTCTTCAGCCACCCTGACCTGACCAGCGTGTGCTGGGGACGAGGGGACGAAGACTTCAAAAACAATCTGCAGCCGAGGTCAGGGACATAGACAGCCAGGTTAGAGCAGGGAATGGGGGGGGGGGGTTAGAGCATTAGAACATTCCTCTTGGGACACATCAGACAGAGGAATACCTTGAGGCACAACGTCAGATGGGGAAGGTTTAGACTGAATGATTCCCTAAGGATTGAATTAGACCCAAAGGGGATGCTAAGCAGTCACTACACGTTCCCATTAACGAGGCTGGGGCTGAGGGCCCACATCGCTGCTCTCACCTGTATGCAGTACCTCCAAAGCTGTGGCTGAGGCCCTTTTCTGATTTGAAGTCACGGTGCTGGCGGTGTTGATTTGCAGTCCCACACTCACGTCTAGCACCTCAGCTGGATTATTGCACTGAGCACAAACAGAAAGAACAACTGAGGAAATGCATCTCCCAGAGTGTGGGAACAAATCATCAAGCCTTTGATTGTTTTTCTTTTGCTCTCTCTATTTCTTTCTCTCTCGCTCTCTCTCTGTCCCCTTATTTGGCACAAACAATGACATGTTTTTGCCGAGGGGAAAAAAAACACAATCAGAAAAAAAAATCTCCCGATCATTACGTCAGATGAACAACATTAAGCCTTGAGTTGCCAGACGGACTCTCACACAAGTCCTGCAGTGATGCAGACAAGCACATTGTGGAATTCACCATCAGTGTAAAGAGGCACAGAGTCTGATCATAGGAAGACCTGTTAGATTTTACAGGGAATGTCTCAGTGATCCTGGTGATGAAACTGCCTCTTATCTTCGGAGATCTGCCTTTACCCCCAAGGTGAAGATCTGTTGGCTGGGCAAGAGAAAGAATAATAATAATAATCCTTGTATTTATCACGTCCGTGAGACGTCTCAAAGCGCTTCACAGAATATACTGTAAAGTGAATTGACTATAAGTACTTTTACAACATTAATTCCTCCTTTAACTGTTCAACTCATCGAGATTCGTTTTAAAAGCTTTTTTTGCAGAAAAAAACATTAAACAAAATAGATTTCTAGGAATGGCTACTCTGGCACTTGTGAAGTTCTTAAAATAACCGGAAATATGAGTAAAGCAAGGTTTTATAATTTATAAATGTTATTGCATTCAAATTGCTACTTCAAACAGAATCATCTCAAATAATGTAAAGTCAGTAAATTGTGAACAGAGGTGATTTGTCTCAGCTCGCCTTTACCAAACTCCAGTTAAGCGCTCGCTCAAAATTTAATTCCTTGAACAAAGTGTATAAATGTTTGACACTATATTTTAAATCTCCGAGTGTACATTCAGAATTTTATTAGTGCACAAAGGCTCAGCAGTATAGACAGTAATAAAGTGCACCTGCGTGTCACAGGAGGGACCTATCTGTATACTGTATTGTATGTAAATCCATTTCCTAGGCTCGATTTCCTGAACTGGCTTACCATTTGAGACATTGTAAGAGTGAAGATGTACTGAGAATGTGGATTAATGTTATAAAGATATCGTCCAGACTATTTTCACACATTGCAACAGTTCCTGAAGTCATTTACACCACCATGTTAAGATATTGCCAAATAAAAGAAATCCCAACTTCAATGGTTTTTAAAAATATATATAATTATCATTCATGTAAGAAATCTGGCAATCTTACAAGAAACGAGACATTTGAATTGTTTTTTTTAAAAAAACAAAATGTGTGAATCATATTGCACTTTACATGTTAAGAATGAACAGCTTGACAGTGATGTTGACAGCAGGAATGAACATGTCAAACACCTTTCATGTTTCTCACATCTTTCTTCAAATACAAAATACTTTTTTTAAAAAATAAATAAAATCATAACATTAATAATACGAATTTTTAAAAATTGTTTAGTTGGAACTTGGGACTGCAACATCAACAATGACAACAAATTACATTTGCACGGCGGCTTTCACGTCGGGAGGACATCCCAAGGTGCTGGACATTCAAGGATTTGTACTCGAGCTGGGGGATGGGATCAGGAGGAGTGGAGGATGGGACAAGTCTCCTAATGGAACGCAAATGACGTTTATCAAGAAATTAAATAGCACCATTAGATGTGGTGAAAAACAGCGTTTCCAGTTTTAAAAGTAGACAGAAATGTTAAAGTCAAATCATCTGTAAAAGGAAACATTCCGTACACACGAACATTCCCTGGTTGCCAAATACGAGAAAGAAAAATACTGAAATTCACAGCTTAGTCTATCTTGCCTGATCATATCCATAAGGCCTCTGTTGCTGTGCTGAGGGCCCAGGCTGAGCGGTTCTGTAAGTCCCGTACTGTTGTCCCTGTCCCTGTTGGTAACCCGGGTATTGAGACGTGGCACCTTGGGTTGGACCTGGAATTTCACAAGACAAAATCACTGCGTTTTGTCGACCCCACACAAGCCTTTTCTTTTAACGTGGCTGAAAACCTTTCAAAATGTAGTTCAACATCCAACAAAATTTAGCCGTCTCTACAAACGGAGCCGTCCTTTTCACTCACCTTCAAACAGAACCCTATCTCAGGATTTTCCTTCAATCCTCGTGCCACTTGTCTTGCTGTTTCTTGGCTTCTTCTGCAGTGGGAGCGCTGGTTTGAGAGGATTAAACCAAACTTTTCCCCTTTTTGTTTAGTTCCCAACCCCGACACTCACCATATGCTTGCTGCTGTCCTGCATAGCTCTGTTGGTTGCTGTACTGCTGCTGGGAATAGGTTTGCTGCTGAGCTGGTCCCTGCTGGTAACTTGTCTGCTGCTGGCTGTACTGAGAGTTACCTTATAAACATGATACAACAAGAGTATGGTCAGAACCATCCCCACACAGTCAGATCAGAGAGCTGAGGCAATCTAATGTTGGGAAAAGAGCACGGATTTCTTCCAAAAAAATTAAATGCAAAAGATTATTAGTCATGAGTTCAGACACAACATTAAAAAGTGCCTTTTTGATTTACGCAATCATAGGAGGTCATCGGAGATAAACAGAGGTAATTGTGTTGGTGACCCAGCAACGTCCCACAAACAGCCACGAAGAGAAGCGACAAATGTTACGTGGAGGATTGTTGGCCAGGTCACCGGGTGACGTCAGTAAACCTCCAGTGGGGAAGCCGGAGCCTTGGCTGATTGCCGTCTCTCTAACCCTGGCTCATGAGACCCGTTCTAGCACAGCCACATTCTAATTATTTCAGTGGTGAAAGTGGTGATTGCTGAGGTTTGGAACACGTTTGCACTTTGGTGGCTCGCGTCAAATGCAGAGCGAAGCTCCCTCTGTTCATCTCCAATACCATGGCTTAGCCGTTTAAGCTGTGCATTGCAGCCATGTGACATCAGGCACCCTTGTGCATTCCCCGAGCGACTGGTAACTGAGTGCACAGGAGCACGGAGTTAGAACCACATTGTGGGTTTGTGAGACGAGGAGCTGGGTTGATTGTTCAAGTCGTTTTCTCCTTCCAAGCCAGCAGCCACATGAGAAGTTCATCTGGTTTGGGTCCCAAACGGTGAAAGGCCTGTGTTTTGATCCACGTCAATCACCAGGAGATTCCTTGCAGTTGGACAATGATTCGCTGCTTATTAAAAAGATGGTCCATTTCTCTGTCTTTGTTGCAGCCATCGAGTGCACACCCCCTAGCAGCTCATCACGAAGAGAGAGGTTACCAGAACATAAGAAAATTAAAAACACCAAAATTAAAAACCCTGATTCCTCTCGCATCCAAAACCGAGAAAACTGTGCAGTGACCGTCCACCAATCACTTCACTGGAAATAACAGCTAATTACAGTGAGAATATCATGTTCCTTGTTCCCAGGCCCCCCAGGGCTACTGTGAACCAGATACCAGGAGGCAAGTCAGTGATTAGGGGGGCTCTCTCCCTCCTTGTCTGATCAAAGAGCTCAGCAACGCAGTGAGACATCGCAGGATCAAATCTACGGGTGTTCACAAAATCCTGTTACCCCCATTTTTTTTCTTACAATGAATGTTTATTTTCTGTTATCTGCCATGAAAATAATGGTGCTCACACACACACTCGCACACACATGTGCGCACAGACACATTAACTCTCACAGACTCACATTCACTCACACACACGCACACACACTCACTCACACACACGCACATAGACACACATGCGCACGCACACACACTCACACTAACTCACTCACACACCCACTCACTCACACACAGCGCACTCACACACTCACTTATACTCACACACACAATCTTCTGGACATCTCAATATAGTTAACACTTGTACTGAATACAATTAAGTCCTTTTAAATACAATTATCATCATTCTTCTACATGTTTCAGTTGTTGGTCAGTGCACTGTAGAACATCAACATGGGGGTAACAGGACTTTGTGAACACCTCTGTTGTAACTACTCTGCCCACACTGCACATTCATAATCCTTCCTCTCATAACTCTCACACAAATAGGTTTTCGAAAGGAAAGCTTCCAGCCATACATTGCGCTGAGCTGTACAGATCAGGAACATCTTGTTGTCCGGGTTAACGCCTCTTCTGGAGTTTGTTAATCTCAGACAGAGCTGATGAGATGTTTAGATGAACATAGTGGTGGTGCTTCAGCAATTGTACAGAACATATGGTGCTCCTCACCTTGAACACTTTCTGTTCAACTAAACAAAGAGGAAGCACATTACCTCCTTCATAGTAATGCTGGGAGGATTCCTCAAACGACCTCTCGTAACCTTGTTCGGCATAGGATGATTGCTGATAAGCATAATCACTGTGACCTGGAGACATTTAACACCAAACAAGAAAATTAGCCATCAATACTTAACACTCGGTTAGTTTTGAGCTGGACGGCTTTTTAATGAAACTCACCAGTCTATTTAAAGAAAGTACCTGTTAAATTATCTTCCTAAGAACTAACTCGACACCAAAACCACACAAGGATACTTTCTAAAGATCTTGTACGCACACAACATGCTATTGTGTGACTGTGATTAGACAGCAGACTCTCATGTTCTGAAATTACAGATAAACAGAAACCTGCCCGGCCAGAGGAGACTGTAACTGAAGCTGATCCCAGAGTTCATCAATCATGTCGATGAGTGCTTCATAACCAGCCTTACGAGTGGAAATAAAATTCACATTTACGTGCGCTGGGAGTTGGGATGTGATGATATCCAACGATTACAGTGAGAGATCAGAGCTGGACACATCCCTCAAGACACTGACTCAATTGCGGATCTGGTGCCATCCAGTCAACATGGGGAAGGAAGCATTGCTCTGTGTGTGGGACCTAGTCCTGGTGTTCAAACTGAAAGCAGTCACTATCCTTGAAGAGAAGCGGAGAGACTTTAAAAAATTATCATGTTTATTGATGTGTTCATTTAACAAGAGAAGGCTTGCCAGACAGAGCTCTCAATGGCAAGCTATGTGGTTTTAGCTGGTTAGATTCCAGCTGTTACCCCAACACACACTTTGGGCTCCCCCAAGCCTTGGCTCCTGCCAACCTCCATCTAATACTCTCCGGAATTAGGGAAGCAAGGTGTGTCCCTCCAGGGAGAGAGAGAGTGCTCATTCCATTCTACCTGTGGGATTTCCATATGTAATAATAATAATCCTTGTGTTTGATAGAGTGCCTTATCCCGTCTTCGAGACGTCTCAAAGCGCTTCACAGAATATACTGTAAAGCATAGTGACTGTGTGTTTTGTGGGTTAAAGCAGCAGCCAATTTAAATAAATAAGTATATAAATAGATAAATAAATAATAAATAATTAGGTAAATAAGCAAAGCTTAGATAAAACATTTCAAATCACAAATATAACTATGGCTGGAGGAGGGGGAGGGGGATAAAAAGAGAAGTACCATCAGGGTAATACTGCTGATTAATGGATTCTGTGGGTCCCGGGCCATGTCCATATTGCTCACCATAGTAATCTTCCTGTCCGATGTATTGCTGAGTAGAACCTAGACAAGACAGACAAAATATCATAACTCGGTCAGTTGTCTCTTCAATTTTTTTTGTTCTAAAGGAACTCATGTATTTACCAAAGGGCTGAGCTAGAGTCACTGATCCCCTCCCAACACCAGATCTGAGCAACTTCAGGGTCCCGAGGAGAGAGGAACCACGAGCATAAACTTCCTAAATAATCCCAATGTCAACAAAATGCCAAGAATTTCCACAGTTGGTGGGAGCCAACCACCATTATATATTGTAGTTCTTCCAATTAAAAGGTATTTTAACAGCAACTCTTTAACACATCGACCTATGGATGTCTAAAAGCCCAAAGATATATATGCCAAATACAACTACAGATTAGCAAATGCACATCACAGCAACGTGCAGTGTGGGAGCATGATTGAAGTCAAGTTGACCAAAGAGTTTGGGCCAGTAATTCCAACCGTAGCAGAAGGTTTGAACCTGCATAAATCACCATTAGAAAAAGGAGTAAAAAAAAATTGGGCATGTAATGTAAATCCGTTTATATCTAAAATACAGTGCATCTCCTTCATTAACGCAAGCTGCTTCAGATAACAAGAATTTCCTAATCAGCATTATTTTTAAAATTGTTTTAATAAATTTGTTATCCTTAGCTTAGATTCCAAAACAAAATACGGCAAAGCCAATGTTAGCCCAAAATACATAATTAATACAGAATAATCCTTAAGGCAGCGACACACACAAAGCAAGACCTACCTTGTTGAGATGACCTATAAGGCCCCATTGGCCTTTGCCCCATCATGTTGCTGCCTTGGTTGCTCTGTGCCATCATGCCCATGGTGCTCTGGCCCTGGTAATGCTGCCCAGCACCTGGGGCTACACCGTAATGGGAGCTCGCCGCTTGCTGGTGCATCATGGGAACTGCAAAGATACTCCAAATGAAATTTCATTGACATATCGCACGTTAAACACTTGCCAATGTTCTCCAACTATTCCGAATGGATTGACAATGTTTGTTGAGTCATTGAACCTGGTGCTGGTGCTTTATAATGGGAGTGGGGTGAAGAATAACATAAAGGACTACCCAGCCACTGGAATCTATTTGAGCCAAAGTCGGTTTGATGCAAGATTAAACACAACCTTGAATTGTGCTTAACCTGAACCAACAGTGTACACAAGAGTCAGATCACAGGCTCAATATTCGGTTGTTACTTTAGCCCAACAAAGCAAGCCTTACCTTGATTGGTCTGCATGCTCATGTTTGTTCGGGAGCCATAGTTTGCCATGGATGGAGTCTGGCTCTGCATCTGCATGCCTTGTGATGGGGGCACAGAGTGACTGTAGCCGCCCGCAGTGCCATGGTTATTGACAGCCATCGTCATGGAGGAGCTGGGTATTGTGGCCTGGCCAGACTGTTGAACCGAGACGTGTGTAGGACCTAAGATGCAGAGCGAGGAAAAGTTAATAGAACCATTCCAGTGGTGCAGTGGATTAATGCTCAATTTGTGGGCCTGTATTAATTTGCTAATATTTCTAGATTGTAGATTATTAATAATTATAATAATGATAATAATCCTTATATTTCAAATGGCATCTTTCGGGTCGGGAGGACATCACAAAGCGCTTCACAGGATATGTACTGCAAAGTGTAATGACTGTGTGTTTTGTGGAAACACACTGCAGCCAATTTGCACAAAGCAATGTCCCACCAACAACCATGAAGTGAATGACCAATTTTATTTTGGAGGTTGTTGGCAACAGAGGCAAGGAGAGGCAACAACAACAACTTGCATTTATATAGCACCCTACACGCAGGATAATGTCCCGGAGAGCTTGACATTGGCGGTGTCTGACCCCGAGCCAGAGGGAGAGGCAGAGGGGAGGTGACCATAAGCACGAGCAAATGCCAATGGGGAGAATAATGGCACAACTGACCAACTTACCGTTGCTCATCTGGCTGTGCATTAGTGAGGATGTGGGGATGCCACCTCCCATTCCATCATTGGGAATGTTCTGTGAATGCAAAGCTTGACTTGATCCAGATGGATTCATTCCTCCTGGACCCATGGACAGGTTTTGGGAGGGTGGCTAAACAGGCAGGAGCAACAAAACAAAACAAAACGATGAAACTGTTCAGTTTTAAGCTCACTGTGAGAAATTCTGGCAACATCCTCATATTACAAAACATTTCATTCATCCTTAAAATTGAGATAACTTTATAAATCCCATTGCTCTCGGAAGCTAGAATGCATGAAGTATTTTTATCTGTAAATACTACTGGTAATTGTGAGGTACCTGAACAGATTTCACAGTGGTAATAATAATAAAAATTATCATAATCCTTGCATTTGAGATAGCACCTTTCACGTCTTCTGGACGTCTCAAAGCACTTTGCAGAATATACTGTAAAGAGAATTGACTGTACATTGATGGGCGAAACTCAGCAGCCAATTGCGCACAGCAGTGTCCCATAAACAGTCGTGGATTGAAGTGACCAATTTATTATTTTTTTTCTTGAGGAATTATTATCAGGCCTGTGGAGTAAGGAAGGAAGTTTGCCCAAGGTATTGCCCTGCCGGGAATCGAACCCAGACCTCTTGCTTGTGAGGCAACTGCTCTAACCACTGAGCTACAGGACTCCACTGTTGTTGGTAGAAAACAATGCAATGTTTTTGTCTCTCAATCTCTCAATGACTGTGCATGACTTCTATTGAAAAGTTGGGACAAATTATAGGCTCTTTTATGCTGTGAACCTATTTATACCTGAGGAACTGGACTGAAACTGCCCAACACTAACTCACTTCGTGCCCTGATATCCAGGAGTGTTGTTCAGTTGCCTGGATCTGGGCTGGGTTAGAGTATAGATCCCACAAGTGACAGAGCAGCTTCTTCTCTATTAAACTCACTAATTTCAGCTCTTGTGGTTTCAACAATCTTTACACTCAGCCGAGGATAGTTCTAATCCGCCGGCTTCCAGTTATCGGGAACACAACATTTCTTGCCCTCATTAAAACTGTGTCAGCCAGGGGTGTTAATTGGTTTCTCAATGCCTGGTTACATTTGCAAATTGTCACCTGTACAGTTTATAGAATCAAAAATGTGTTCTGTGGGTGCACCTGATGATTGATTCCCTTCAGATTTAATAATTCACATTTTATGAAAAAGAAATGCAATGATCTGCATCAATGGACATGTTTCAGAATTTGGTTTCAGGATGTCCTGCCAGGTGCTGGGTATCCATAGCTAAACCAAACACTTCATTAATCCAGGGCGTTCCTTCACTTCAGTCAAAGACTCCTAGATCTGACCAAACGTATCTAAGATGGAAGAACCACCTGTACAATGCTCATCTGACTTCAGGGTGGATATGGGTGGAGATTCCCTTTCCCTCCTGTAGCAGCACTAGATCCTGACACTGATACCAAGAGTAGAAACATATGTCATCCCCTTTGTCTTGGTGGGTGCAGGAATTCACCAATATTAAACTTGAATTAGATTTTCTACCTTCTCTCAACATCTCTACAGAGATCCCATTTTTACTGACGGAGTTTTTTTTAAATCTTATTGTAAATCCAGCTCACTACACACTGTCTTGTTAACTACTGTGCCAATACATCATCATAATAATAATAGTCCTTGCATTTGATATAGTGTCTTTCACAGCTTTGAGACGTCTCTGTAATATACTGTAAAGTGGATTGACTATATACTTTGTGACTGTTGGGCACGTTTCCTTACTCCACACAGAGCCTAATAATAATCCCTCCGAAAAACAAAAACAATAATAAATTGGTCATTTTCAATCTACGACTGTTTGTGGGACATTGCTGTGCGCAATTGGCTGCTGCGTTCGCCCACAAATATACAGTCAATTCACTTTACAGTGTGTTCTGTGAAGCGCTTTGGGACGTCCTCCCGACGTGAAAAGCGCTATATCAAATGTAAGGATTATTATTATTATTATTATTACATCACTTTAAATTGTGATTCTCTTAAACACTTATTTTGTCAGGATTGCAACTATGGTTACTAGGAAATAGTTTATTCTGCAGGTATTAACTTCTATGACACTAGGAGGTCCCAACGACGGGAATGGTCCCAAGACATCAACTTTGCAACCGCAATATTCATAGAATCATACAGCACAGAAGGAGGCCATTCGGCCCATCGTGTCTGTGCTGGTTCTTTGAAAAGAGCTTCCAAATCAATCCCACTCCCCCGCTCTCCCCGTAGCCCTGCAAACTTGTCCTCCCCAAATAATTATCTAATCTCTCTTAAAAGTTGTTATTGAATCAGCTTCCACCACCCTTTCAGGCAATGAATTCCAGATACCAACAACTTGCTGTGTGAAAATCCCATTTTTACTGTCTTTTTTTCCCTTTATCTGTGCAATTCCCTGTATATCACTTACAGCAGGTAACAGGGACTGCATGTTCTGGTTGGAGTCTGCTATTGTCGCCAGATAAACCAAGTTTCTGTGCAGCATTTGTTGATATCTAAAAAAAGAAAAAACAAGTTAACATTTTTTTTCTTTCTTTAAACCCCCCCACTCCATCCAATTCCATGGAGAATTCTCCCCCTGTCCATAAAAATCTATAGAGAATTGTTTTGCATCAAAAGTTTGCAGAACTTTTTTCTAATAACAAGAAGATTTAGTGGTCAACTCTGGGTTCTTTTAATTGCTTGAGTTTGTCAGTTATAGTGAGATCCAGCTATATAATGGGACCATTTGGGACTGACTGTCTTTCAAGGTAGACTCAATCTCAAACTTACAATGCAAGTAAACCTTTAGCCTCAGTGTAGGCAGAACAACAATGAAAAAACAATTTCCATATATGGACTCTACATATGGATTATTCATGTGTGAAATGGTGATTTTTAAGTGATTTTCTTCCCTTAATTCATAATATCATTTTTTTATTTTCAACTGATTAATTTTGATTCAACCATTTTATTCCATGAAAAGTAGCAAGTAAACCTGGACAGTGTGTTGAGTTATATTATACATTCCACCCCCCCAAACCCCCCCAAAGCAGGAGATAAGCTGTGGGCTCTAATAGCTTGAAGGAGCCTGAAGAACGATAGGCCTTCAATACAGAACACACTTGCAGTAGATCCTGAGAGATGTAGGCCCGACAGCCTGATGTGTGCAGCAGATGGTGCAGCAACAGGAGAAGAAGCACAGGCTCTTTGCCAAGAACAAGTCCCACATTATAGTGGATTGTGGGGCTCTTTGATTACCCCACAATCCGCCTTCTCAGCAATTGAGGCGGAAGGGCAACAACAACAACAAATTACATTTGTATTGCGCCTTTCATGCCGAGAGATCATCCCAAAGTGCTGACAGTACAATACAATTTATACTTATATTGGGTCTTTCACATCGGGAGGATATCTCAAAGCACTTCACACAGCAGACTGGGGACTGAAAGTGAGGTTGAGGAGATAGCTGTTAAGGCAGATTTTAAAAGTGGGGAGGGAGAGAGCAAGGCAGAGGGTCAGAATTGGGCTGAGGTGTGAAACAAGTCATGAAAAGGTGGGACACGTGGACATCCAGAGGTCAATTACTTGGAAAGTGGTGCAACTAAATCGGAAAACTAAGACTAATAAAATATACAAAACAGCAAATTGGAACAAACTAGATCTCTCTTAACACACAGGACGCACTCACTGACATCCACACACGGGCTCCTGTTTCATTTGTGATATTCACAAAATTGAGATTTGCTCCAAAAACTGACAAAAGAAAAGCCGTGGAGCAAATGTTGATTAATTTCAACAAATAAATTTACAATATGATCGGGTCTTCAATTGGCAATAGTGCAGAGTAAAGATGCAGAGGGAAGGCTTAACATTTGACGCTATGGCAAGCACACATTGTTTATTAATGTACTTTAGGAGTTTTTAAATTCACTGTGTTTTAGTGGCTACGTTCCTCATTACCCTTTGGCCAGACGGCTGGGATGGATTACCAGGAAGTGCCTAAGGGCAGCACATTGGATTTATTTAAGAAACAGCTCGATGGAGGGATGAAAGGAAGGATGAAATCAAATGGAAGAACTTCCAACAATTTGAAAAAGCCTCATCTATGGTGATAGCCGAAGTGAAGACAATCAAAAACGAAATTTATAATTAATCCTATATTAATTTCAAAGAGATTTGTCTAATTGCAATTATTTACAAATGTTGTCACGAGCCATCCTGCTGTAGACAATTTGGACCTTATACACGCCATACTCTATAGGGACACCACTAATCTAAGAAAAAAAGAGAAACAAAGGAAGATTAAGAGTTAGCTCGATTCGAGTGGATATACAGCTTCGTTAAACTGCTCATTAACAGTGAAATTACTTTACAAGTCGGGAGAACGTCTCAAATTGCAAGTCGCCTGATAGCTTAAGAGTGTTCAAACTTATCATCTTTATTGAGGCTTATGCATAAACTCCACCTCAATGAGAGTGAAACTGGGTCCCTACAACCTGCACAAGTAGCAGCAAAGAAACAAACAGCAGGAAGAGAAGATTTACCGTGATGGACAGAATTATAACCAAAAGACCAATTACTAATGTACACACATATCAAGGGCAGAAGGTAAGAAAGAAAATTAAATAACTAGGGGACACCTTATCCATGGACAGCAATCAAATGCGAGGAAGGCAGCTGATCAGATGGGGGAAAAAAGCAGTAAAAGTGAAACAAAACAAGAAATAAAATGATCACGAAATGAACGGGCAAAGACCTTGCGGCAGTAGTAAACACTAGGCACCAGCGCCCACTATTACAAACCCTGATTTATGTTTACTGAATATATATTTCAGTCCATACCAAATATTAAATGTCCCTTTAAACTACTGCAGAATCGCCTGCTAATACAGTTGCTCCAGTCACCTGATCTCACATGCCTGCAGCTCCGGTCATAAAACCAGCAATGTCACAAGGCAACACGTCACATAGGAATACAGTGCTTTCATCTGCAAATACTCTATAGATATCTTTCATCCTGGAATGAAAATTCTTTACTTGGTCTACATTCAACAGTTAATCAGATTAAAGAGGTAATCATGATTAGTGATATTACCTGAAATCTGCATTGGTTTTATACTGTATTTAGAAGTATTCACTCTCCTCTATACAGCTTCCAAAGTCAACTAACAAAAGTTGGCAGCAAGGGATGATGGACGTCTGCTGAATTTCTACTGAAGCAAAATGGAGCACAATATTTTCCCATTTATAATAAATAGTCCTTGCACTTGATTTAGCACCTTATCACATCGGCGAGACATCTCAAATCGCTTCACAGGATATGTTGTAAAGTGAATTTTGTGGGCAAAATGTAGGCCCAGGTGTAGAACTGGTATATCTGCTTTGGGGGAATATTGCAAACTGAGATCATGCTTGGAACGTGCTGTAGCTTTATAGTTTTGCAAATTAAAATATTGAGAGGTTTTGTGTTCCAAATTGAATTTGGGTCCAGGTTATCAATACCCATTGGGATCCATAATCAGATCACCCCATCCATTGACAACCCCTCACTCTCTATTCATTGCTCAGATGCCCAATCCCAGGTTGTGATCGAGCCATCTTCCACTGTACCTTCTCCAAAGCTTGGATATAATAATAATCATCCTTGTATTCGATATAGCTCCTTATCACATCATTGAGACATTTCAAAGTGCTTCACAGAATACACTGTATATTTTGTGGGCGAAACGCTGCAGCCAATTGCGCACAGCAGCGCCCCACAAACATAACACTTTTGTGATGCAAACTCCTGCAATATTCTGCTACACAAGTACCTGTAAGGAAATTACGACATTCCTCTGTTAGGAACCTGACAGCGAGAACAATACCTTGCATTTATATAGCACCACTCACACAGGGTAGCGTCCCAGCAACACAAACCACAGACAAAACCAAAGCAATTTATATAGACAAATTGTATCACACACTCACATGCTTCAATTATTATTATGTAGGATTCTCACTGTTCCTCCTCCTCCACCTTTCCCCCCCATTCATGGAATTTCTAATTTAAACTTACATTAAGTTTCATGCACCATCAAATCACATAAGAGAAACAGGAAATTTTAATAGAAAATGGCTGAATACCTGAAATGCCAGGAAAGGACAGATTTACATTACTGACCCCACCCCCTCCCCACACACACACTGTATTTTACACCATATTGTAACACAATGCTTCACTTAAAATCATCATTTGAACATCAAACATACTGAACAGATTTGAATCAGAAAGAGTTAAATTCGAACCGGTGCATTAAATCCACATGAATTTTTCTTTACATTTGAATTACATTACAGTTGCGCTGCAGAAATAGGGTCAATACCACCACATCTGTGTCTCACCTCTAAGAGGTAACGAGAAAAATATTTCCATTCCAATCCATTCGTTTTTATTTACCATTATGTCTGTGATACTAGCACAGTCAAATCAACTGAAAAAAAAGACAGTTGTGTCTGGAATAGGCTCTCCACCTCAGGAATCTAAATGATCTTGAAGTAGTCCTGAGATTTCACGATTCTTCTATTTCTCTTCCGGGTCTGCTATTTGAAATGGCTTTTGTCATTATTTTTATGTAAAAAAAATCCTTAAATCCGACTAGATTGTACAGTGGAACATCATAAGAACATAAGAATTTGCTGGCAAAAGAAGACCATGGTCCATCTAGTTCGCCTTCCACCATCTTGGCAGTCGCTTGACATTTCATTATCAATTATCATGACATCAACTATCAGCCTAACCTATTATCCACCATAAATTGGTAAAGTGGTTAATCTCCCCCCTCCTCAACTCCGCTCCTGCCCCACTCACCCCCCAAAAGTGTGAGCTCCAGACAAATAGAAAAGATTCCAATGTATTCTTCATAATTCTTCGCCCACAAAATACACAGTCACTCCACTTTACACTACTGTATATATTCTGTGAAGCACTTTGAGGCGTCTCAACAACGTGATAAAACTCTACATCAAATGCAAGGATGATTATTATTATTTTTTCGATGTAAAATTTAAAGTGCATAATCACAGAAAATCAAGAGTTGGTAACTGAAAAATTTGAGGTTTTGAACTCTTTGGCTGTGATAGTACAAGGCGATCTCGATTATCCACTAAGGTGCTTGTTCCCTCCATCAAAGCAGATCATTGAGGTTCCACAATAGCATCTTCAACTATATTCTCTCATCAACTTGTCCTTCTCTTTGCTCCCTATTATAAGATACCAGGGAAGGCCTTTAAAATAGAGTATGCATAGAATACTTTCAGGTCAAGGGGAGACATGTTCGATGGCTGAATATTCCACAATGGTAGGTAGGGGTGTTGAACAAGCTTTACAACAAGTACTGAATTCACTAAGCCAGTTCGGAACCTTGGCATCTTGTTTGACCCTCAACTATCCTTTCTACCCCACATCCATGCCACGACCCTCTCTGCCTTCTCCCACCTCTGCAACATCGCCCGGCTCTGCCAAAGTCTCACTCCGCAGGCTGCTGAAACCCTCATACACACATTCATTACATCCAGGCTTGACTATGCAAACTCCTTGCTTGTCGGCCTCCCCAACTCCTCCCTCCATAGGCTGCAGATCATCCAAACTCTGCAGCCCATGTCCTCTCCCGCACAAGGTTCTGTGACCCTATCACCCCCATCTTCGCCCGACTGCCCTGGCTTCCTATCACACAGTTGGATACAGAGGATACAGTTCAAGATCCTGGTCCTCACCTTCAAAGCCCTCCATTGTCGTGTCACCCCTACCTATGCAACCTCCTAACCCTTGCCATCCTGCTTGCTTCCTCCACTCAGTGGGCTCCAGCCTGCTTCATATCCCCTGCGTTGCTCGCTCCACCATTGGCAGGTGGGCCTTCTACCACTCTGCCCCACCCTCTGGAACTCCATCCCACAGTCCCTCTGCCTCGTCCCTCCCTTCAAGACCCACCTCAAGACCCTCCTCTTCGACCGTGATTTTGATCACCATGCTTCCCCTCCTGCCCTCCACCCTCCCCGATCCCAACCCCCAACTCGGGTACAAAACACTGATTGCCTAACCTTGGGACGTCCTCCCGACATGAAAGGCGCTACACACATGTAATTTTGTTGTTGTTGTTGAAGTCAAAACAAAACAAATCTGGAAAATTAAAGAGAAACATTGAAATCCCCAAAGATAGTAACTTACTGAGAACATTCTGCAGTTTTGCCTTTACTCTGATAATCCATGATACACTGAATCAAATGATTGTTTTCATCCAACATCTGAAAGTAAAAAAAAAACGTTAGAAAAGCATATGGTGCAGCAGTAAATATTTCACTTTGTCCCGTTTTGTTCATTTGCGCTTGAACAAATATTCAATACTTCACTGAAGCAGTGAGTAATAATGTACTTTGATAAAAGTAAATGTTAGGACTAAACCAAAAATAGTGCAGCAGTTTAGCTTTACACCAATGGCATCCTTTTACCATGAAAATGCACATTCTTCAGAGTTTGATTTGCAGTTCCTTGTGACTTTCCTGAAGGCCATCACAAGGTCTATGGAAAGCCTTGTTCAAGAATAAATTCAAAACAGAGTGTATTTTAGCCTCGATAGTGACTGACCCTCGTGGACTGCCAATACCTGTCAAAATAGTTTCTGGTTTAAAATTAAAACCACTTTGAGCTTGACATGACAATCCTACCATGATCACACATCAGAAAAGCCTAACTCTCCCCTGGTAGCCGAGTGCATGACTAAACTATACACAACAGAAGCCCCCAAGTTTGATTCCTGGTGTGTTCTAGAGTATATGCCAATTGAGGGGTGAGGGGGTTACAATTGAGCTCAGGGTGTAAGACACAATAGATGATGGATCAAATGCAATTCCCCTCATTGCTCTTTGCTAGGAGGAGTAACTATCAGTCAAGCCTCCAACCCGTGTGGGAAGGTAAATGTGTGTCCTCATGAGGACAGGATGTGGCTCAGACTAGGAGTTGGACGAGGCTGACAGCACTTGCCATCGATGCTCACAGATAAGCAATTACCACTTGGGGGAAGGAACTGGGGGGTAACTGGTCCCAAATGTCTTCCGAAGATGTGGAGGGAGAACTGGAGAGAAAGAAATCTACTAAATACTTTTGGTGACACCACATTATCAATCACCACACTAACACAGTATTCAATTTTGTATGAAACTGTAAAATCGAGGCAATATTGGGAATCGGACACATTCTTTGATTATCTGAACTGAAATATTGATTCTGTATAATAGAACAGTAACAATCTCCCATACTGACACAGTACCAATTACTTGCTGATCTTCAGCCAGTTCAGCAATAGAATTCTCACTCAGTTAGTCGATAAGAGAGAGAAGAGAGCAAGCTTGGAAAGAATTAGTTTGGGATGGAGTTGAACAGTTTGGGTAGATAATCAACCATTTGAAGTACAGACAATGATAAGTACAATATGTTACGTCCCAATTATGGGACATGAATTTCAGTTTGAAATCTATACACTGGTGATCCATCATCAACAGGGGTAATTCTTAAACAAAAAAAAGACACTCTAAATCCTTTGAAATTGATGCATTCCCAGATATTATGCTCAACCAATTCTATTTTTATTCCCTGCAATGAGACATATCCTTTATTTGCCAGAACTTATAAAAGCAATCATAAACCCTGATGTAAAACCAAATTGTACACATTGAAATCCCATAATTTCATTTTGTACACTCATAGTACTTTACAGAAAACTTGAATCTTATTAGCATCCCTTATGTAAAATGCCATGAAACAGGTGCAAACAGTCTGCTGCGTGTGTTGGGAGGAAGAGAGAAAGAGAAATCCACTTTACAGTATATTCTATGAAGAGCTTTGAGACGTCTCAACAATGTGATAAGGCGCTATAGCAAATGCAAGGATTATTATTATTATTTGGCATTTTTATTCCCGTTGTGTGTGTGTTCCCACAACACAATATAGAAGCAACATTTTTAAAAAATTATATCTATTTTTAAAAATATATAAATGCAATGGTTTGAAAAAGGGAAAACGATGCATCAGAAATAACAAACAATCAATAAAATAATGGGTTTATAGGTGGACTAGAGCTAAAACAAAATCCATTCCTAATTTGCAATATAATGCTATATTATTCACCCACAAAATACACAGTCAATTCACTTTACAGTTTATCCGGTGAGGTACTTTGAGACATCTCGAAGATGTGATAAGGTGCTATATCAAATACATTTATTTTTGCATATGACATTTATTATCTATCTGTTGGGGAGAGCGATGGAAATGGTGCACAGAGCTGTGCCTGGAGGAGAAGGCAGATGCGAAGTGCCTTGTGTTTGGCAACAAGATTCCCCCTCTCCTCCCTGTCCATCGGATGGCAGCACGAGGCTGAGCTGCTGATTGCTGTCTGCACACTGACACCTTTTCTTCTTCGCCATTATTAATCCGTAAAACTACCAGGTTCGCCCCCCCCCCCTCACCTATTCCACCCAGACCAGCCTCTCCTTCATCTCCAAATCTCACTCATAAACCCAAATGCACGCTTTCAACCCATTGATCTCAACTAAAGTTTGTGAGATTGTCTGCATGATTTTTTGGGGGGAGAAAAAAATCAAATGCTTCGGCGGTATGGGTTTGTCTGTGTGTGGTGTGTGTTGGTGTGTCTGCACCTTCTCAGCCACAATGAGCACCTACTCCTGAGAGGGCCCCTCTCTGTGACTGGCTCTATCCGGCTATACAAACAGCGTCTCTCTCTCTCTCTCTCTCTCTGCCTCAGTGTAAAACACTCCCAGTTTACAGGAATTCCTGAACTACTTAAGGAATGTGAATTTGGAGGTGTCTCTGATTGTTCGCTGTTTATTTATGTATATTTTGATATTAAAAGCAATGACCCAGATTGAAACACAAATGCGGGATTGCCTTCCTTCACCTGGTTCCATCTTGACGTTTGGTTCCATCACCAACTCCTTCCTCTCACTTTTTTGAGGATGACTTTTTTTTTATTGAACTGTTCACAAATTAATTACATCCCTGACTTACTGAGGCACGCTGTGTCCCACCCTTATCAATGGCAAGTTCATTTCCAATTGCATTTAATTTGCTAGGAATGAATGAAATAAAATGAATGAATGGATGAATGAACGAAAGAAAGAACTGGGAAGGAAGGAAGGAAGGAAGGAGGAGGGAGGAGGAAAGAATAGGAGGGAGGAGAAATCACTTCCAATGTATCGGTTGACATTTCTCTCAATCTCGGATTTGAATCTCTATCTGCCATTAAAGCCACATCACAGACAACACAGTAACTGGGCATTTTATACACTTGTGCCTTTTTTTAAAAAAAATCACTAACACAAATAACGCGTTATTTTGCCTAAGCGGGTGCGGTGGTTACACTGATCTCACACAGACACAGACAGACACAGACAGACTGATACACACACACACACACACACAGATAAATCAAATGGAGATAACACAATGTAAAACGGCTCCTTAACCCCTGTGGCCTCCTGTATCTGCACTATCACACCTCGCTTTGTTCAGAGCTGTGCAGCCCCGATCCCAGTGAAGGGATGGGGGGGGGAGCAGGAGAGGGGGGACAGGGGGGTGGGGTGTTGGGGAGTGGGTGGGGGGGGGTGGGGGAGTGGGGTGGGGGTGTGGGGGTGTGGGGTGGGGGGTGGGTGGTGTGGGGGGGTGGGGGGGTGTGGGGGTGGGGTGGGGGTGTGGGGGGTGTTGGGGGGTGGGGGGTGTGGGGGTGGGGGTGTGGGGGGGGGGGTGGGGGGTGGGGGGGGGGGTGGGGGTGTGGGGGGTGTGGGTGTGTGGGGAGCAAATTCTCATTGATGATCAAATGTTGTATTCTTCAGACCCACAAACACCCGCCGTCACTGACAAAGGCGCCGCTGCCGATGGCTGTGATGGTGAGAAACAGTGATGAGGCTGAGGCTGAGGCTGAGGAGCAGTGGTGACAGGTTACCTTCTGGATGGTGGCCTGAGTGACCTCCCCTTTCCCCCGCTGACGAGCTGCAGCAAACGCCACCGACATGATCTTCCTATTGCAATCTTGTTATTCGCACATGCGGAGGGTGGGACACACACACACACACACACAGGGACACACACACACACACACACACACACAGGGACACACACACACACACACAGGGACACACACACACACACACAGGGACACACAGGGACACACACACACACACACACACAGACACACACACACAGGGACACACACACAGGGACACACAGTGTGTTTCTATTGCACAGACACACAGACGGAGGGGGAGGCGCCACACAGAGATACAGACAGAGTGACAGAGAGGGAGACACAGAGAGTGACAGAGAGGGAGACACAGAGAGTGAGACACAGAGAGTGAGACACAGACCCACAGACGGTGCCGCTGAGCCTGTGCCCGGGCTGCGCGCGCTGGCTGAGGCTCCCCCCCCGGGCAGTGGTTGGCTCCGGGCCCGGGGCTCCCAGCGCCGGGCGCGGCCACTCTGCGCAGGGCGGGGGGGGGGCGGGGCTCTGTCCCTCTCTCTCCCGCCGCCATGACCGCGAGCTATGATCGCGCCATCACCGTCTTCTCCCCCGACGGCCATCTCTTCCAAGTGGAATACGCTCAGGAGGCCGTGAAGAAAGGCTCCACAGCGGTGAGTGAGGGGAGGGGGAGAGAGAGGGGGTGTGAGGGGGAGGGGGAGAGTGTGAGGGAGTGTGAGGGGGGGGGGGGAGAGTGTGAGGGGGGGAGGGGAGTGTGAGGGGGGGAGGGGGAGAGAGTGTGAGGGGGGAGTGTGTGAGGGAGGGGGGGGGGGGAGAGTGTGAGGGGGAGAGTGTGAGGGAGTGTGAGGGGGAGAGTGTGAGGGGGAGAGTGTGAGGGAGTGTGAGGGGGAGAGTGAGGGGGAGAGTGTGAGGGGAGAGTGTGAGGGGGAGAGTGTGAGGGGGGAGTGTGTGAGGGGGAGAGGGGGAGAGTGTGAGGGGGAGTGTGTGAGGGAGTGTGAGGGGGGGGGAGAGTGTGAGGGGGGAGTGTGTGAGGGGGGGGGAGAGTGTGAGGGGGGAGTGTGTGAGGGAGTGTGGGGGGGGGGGGGAGGGGGGAGAGTGTGAGGGGGAGTGTGTGAGGGAGTGTGGGGGGGGGGGAGGGTGATGGGGAGTGAGAGTGAGGCCACACGCGGGGCTCCGGCTCTCACTGCGGAGTGGGAGTCACTTGGAGTCCAGCGAACCCCCACACACTGACCCGACACACCTGGACCTTTCCCCGGGTCCCCCCCCCCCCCCCGGGTCCCCCCCCGGAGCCCCCCCCCCCCGGGTCCCCCTCCCCCCCCGGGCCCCCCCCCCCGGGACCCCCGGGCCCCCCCCCGGGAGCCCCGGGACCCCCCCCCCCCCGGAGCCCCCCCCCCGGGTCCCCCCCCGGAGCCCCCGCGGAGCTGAGAGAAAATGGCTTTATTTTTACTTTCGGTCACGGAGCCGCTTCCTGGTCTTTGTTACTTTCCTTTCAACGCCCCTCACACGGCAACAACCAACTCAGCACTGACTTAGTGAAGGCTCTTCCAAACCACTGACACACACACTGACACACTCACTGACACTGACACACTCACTGACACACTCACTGACACACTCACCGACACAGACACACTCACTGACACAGACACACTCACTGACACAGACACACTCACTGACACACACACTGACACTGACACACTCACTGACACACACACTGACACACTCACTGACACACACACTGACACTGACACACACACTGACACACTCACTGACACACACACAGACACTAACACAGCAATGGTTTGGGACCCTTCAGTTACAAGTTTCATTGAAACATCTGAAGCTGTTGTTTGCGGCGGATTCAGCCGATGGTTGTAAAGTACAATCAATGTCTGATGCCATTTTGGGATAAGGAAGCAACGCTTTATAATGATTAAACCTTACGTTTGATATCACGCCTCATCACGTCGCTGAGCCGTCTCAAAGCGCACCACAGAAGTGAGTAATCGCAGGTGGACTGAGCCTCTTTCTGCTGCACCACAGGTTGGAATCCCCGTAACAGTTTCCTGCTCATTGATCAATCACTACAGAAGATAATATAAGAATTGCTATTCAAAGGCCAAGGTCCATCCAGTTTGCATTCCACGATCCAAGCCGTTTGCAAACACACGTCATGTCCCAAACTATAGACTGTACTGAAGTTAAGAACGATTTGAATTGAAATGCAGCGCTATCTTCATGTCAACTTGACAATGTCATTGTCTGAAAGTAGTTGAAACACAAATAAAGCTGCATTTTTATAGCCTTGGTCACAAAACCACCTTCAGAAGGGTATTCCAGTTGGTTACTCTCAAGCATCGCGGTGTCCCTCATGTGTCAGTTACAACACAACTGCAGTAGATCAGGGACAGGGAACAAATGGCTTGGATTTTAAAATTCCAACGTGTTACCAAACTATATTTTTTAAAATCAACTAACTTGACTAAGATCGTAGTCACACCCTGAAACGGTTTGATCAGAATTTAAAATTCTCGGAAAAAGCTCATTTCAACTGCACACCATCAAGGCTCTTAAACAACTGCTCACACTTAATGTGTAAAGGTGAGACTGAGAGTTTAATGTTGGAATGTTTGACAAATGATTTTAACTTCATAACTAATTATTCCTACTGTTATCACTTGATAGGTTGGTGTTAGAGGAAAAGAGATTGTGGTCATTGGAGTGGAAAAAAAATCTGTAGCTAAATTACAAGATGAAAGAACCGTAAGGAAAATCTGTGCACTAGATGACAATGTTTGCATGGCTTTTGCAGGTAAATCAATTTTAAATTGTGAATCTTTGCTTTATTTGAATAGAGTTTCTATTCCTGGACTGCCCCGCAACTCTGAAGTTATGAATTTGTCAACAATTGTCAGGAATAAGTGACTGCAGCTCTCATGTTTAATTAACTTCCCAGTACTGGAGAAAATCCAACATCTGCATCAAATGCAGCTGATCCCGTTGTGGAGGGCAGATATTATAATCACACCATATCCAGCAGGAGGTAAACTCAACTGTAGTTTACCACAACGCCAGAACTTCTTGCAGAATCCCCCCCCATCACAATGATTGGAGGGATGAGGAGTTTTCTTCCTCAATGTACAAAGGAAATACTACCCATTGCTGTAAATCCATATAAAAATGGACTTAAACTATAGATTAGTAGTTTCAATTTGAGCAAGTTATTGAATGCAACAACATGGCATTTATTTACTGTGATTTACAGAAGTTTGTCCACCGCCGTGGATAGTATTTGAAAACCTTTTGTCTTGTTTTACTTCAGGACTTACAGCTGATGCAAGAATTGTGATAAATAGAGCCCGTGTGGAGTGTCAGAGCCATAGGCTGACTGTGGAGGACCCAGTCACAGTGGAATACATCACCCGCTATATTGCCAGCTTGAAACAGGTAAGCTGTAATTACTTTGTATGTCAATTCACCAAATACCGTAGATCTTCAATCAAAGTGCGTGTGTACAACAGTAATGGGTGGGGGCGGAGGAATGGCAATATTTCAAACCAAGTATACAGTATAGCATATGATTCATTTTGTAGTAAGCCATTGTTTTCTATTTGGATATTGGTGATAGCAACCAGTTCAGCCTGTCCTGGCTAGCTAAATACAGTCCAACTGATGCATTTTGATAAGTTGGTTATTTTCACTGTATGAAAATGGAAATTAAAAAAATCAGTATTTTGGAACCTTGACTTGTCAAACGAGCTTTGTTAAAATTCAACAACCAGGTGCTTAATCTAAGAATTTAAAACTACATTTATAAATTTAAAAAGGACCCTTTGAACATTACCCAATTCCTATGTGGAACTTCATCATAATTTGATTGATGTAATTTGCAGCGTTACACTCAAAGTAATGGACGAAGACCATTTGGGATTTCTGCACTAATCATTGGTTTCGACTATGATGGAACTGCAAGACTGTACCAAACAGACCCATCAGGCACTTATCACGAGTGGAAGGTGGGTAATTTGTCAACTGTACTTAAGACCTCGCTCAAAGTTGTTCGTTAGCGCCTTGGGACGTCCTCCTGACGTGAAAGGCGCTATACTAATGTACTCTTGTTGTTAGCAAAGCAATACTTACTACCATACATGGCTGAGATCTTGTCTCCTAACTGTACATTTTCTTTTAGTAAATTGTGCTCTAACGAATAGTTGTTGATTTTGGGAAATGGAATTTTTTTCTACCAATCAGCATAGCACTTCCAGAAAGACCAACTTATACATGCTCAGGTCCAACAACCTCAAAGCATCTTCTACCATTTAAGGTCAAATGCTATTTCTCACATGTTATAACTGGAACGAGATTGCATATGTGACAATTTTGTGCCACCAATCCATGACCCCGTCAACAGAAACTTCTATCAGTAAGCTAGATTGAAAATCCAACTCGGGGAGGTACAAAAACAGTATGCAAACTGGCAAACCATCAAATGCCTTAACTCCACTGTTTGAATGAATGCTGCCAGAACATAAGCAACACAAACTACTTAATATATAGGATAATTTGTTTTATATGAAGCTTAAATGTTACAATAGTTTTGAATGAAGTATTTGAATATATTTCTTTTTGTAGAAGTAATGACTACTCTGGTTCATTTTAGGCTAATGCCACAGGAAGAAGTGCAAAAACAGTGAGAGAATTCTTGGAGAAAAACTACAGTGAAGCCTGTTCAGACAGCGATGCTATAAAGCTAGCCATCAAGGCTTTGCTGGAGGTGAGTTATTTTTTGCTAAAATAGCAACAAGGCAATGGGAATACTTCCTTATTTTCAGGCACCAGAGTCAACACAGTTGTCATGTCACAAGTATAGCGATAGGAGCTCAATAAAGCTGTAACTCTTCCAACAATGTGCTTTAGATCTTCTATTTTATACTTGCACTGCATTATCAAATTGAAGTGTAGTGTTTTGCTGGGATGCCTATTGGGATGAGGATTGGACAGCCAAAATCTGCAGCAAACGGTGACATCCTATTGGATTGGCCTGGATTCAATTACAGGACTCAAGCTCCACTACCACACATGATCTAATGTTTTACATGTATTTTATACATACAGAAATGGTTAAATTAATTGGAGTGAAAGTCAAAAGAAATGCATACAATACTATTTTGTTCAAAATAACTATTCAATCAAGTGTACTTAATGTCAACTTTTATACTGTATTTGGACTGCATCTTTTTACAATTATGTAAATTAGTTTACATAGAATCCATGCCAGCATTCTATTTTTTCAATTTTGTTTCCCATAAATCAGAATAGTAACTTGTACTAAATTTTGTTCAGGTTGTACAGTCTGGCGGTAAAAACATTGAACTAGCAGTGATGAAGTATGAAGAACGGCTCAGGGTAAGTAAACAGTTTCATAATTGAAAGCTTTTGAAATTTGTTTAAATTATTTCACCTTTGTGACCCAAAAAGATTGAGGCTTGTAGGATCAGACTGAGAACAATGTAATGCCCATTAACATGGACTATAAAAGAGAGCATTTAGGTTAACCCTTAATGTTGCAGACATCAGCTATTAGAGACAACTCAATTTACTGTTAGACTGCCTTCAGAATACATTTAAAAGCTGGTTGATCTTTAAACATTTGATAAAACTGCACTTAGATCATGTCAGGAATTTCAAAGAGCTTACCAGGCAGGGTAGCACAGTCAAGTGTAATGACTATTTGTGGGCAGACCGCAGTCCCTTTCAAGAAAGATCACACACTATAGAGTGATCAGTTACTCTGGAGAATTGTTAGCTAGGATTTTGCATTCCAATAAACTTTTGCTGAATAACTCTAAACTAGATGTTATTGTATTCTTGCAGATTTTAGATCCTGAGGAAATTGAGGATTACATTGTTGAAATTGAAAAAGAAAAGGAAGAAGCTGAGAAAAAGCTAAAGAAGACATAAAGCACTCATTGGCACAAAAGACATCAAAAGTGCTAAACATTAAAAAGCATTCCATATTACTCCAATCTCCCAGTTTAATAAACCGGATTTTTACACAGTATAAATGATTTGCTTGGCATTTATCCATAGAAATGTATGGTGATAATCTGCTTTTTTCCTGTAGTGGTTAGAAGCCAAATTTAAGTTCAAAATGCACTTAAAGGAACTCCTACTTACAATTAAATGTTTGTTACATGAATTCAAGGACCACAAAAAGTTGTGCAACAGGCATAGCTCGATTGAAAAATGAAAGGTTTCATTCAAATAAAATTACTACTCTAATAGGCAAAATTAGCTAAATAAGATCAACTCCCTGGGCACTTTTGCCCTGACTGATATACTGCTTATAGCTTTTAGGCCAATTGTTCTATTCATACCCAACATTAACTGGTTCGTCAGTCCCTTTCCACCCTGTAGATTAAACATATTCAGGGTAAGCATTTCAACAAGTGTTCACATTACATCACTTACGCAGTAACTCATTAACAGCAATCATAGCACAACATAGTTGGAAGGATAGTGTGCAGTGGGTTTACCTTGTGGCTACACAGCATGAATGATACATTCAAGAAGTGGTACGTGGAATGTCAGTAATCAAACAGACAAAGACATTTTCTGTAATACATTTAAACAGTTTTGAACAAGGTTTTCGTTTTACATTCTAAGACATAACCCAAGTGTTGGGCAACTAAGAAATAAACATTGAAAGAAGACACAGAATATAGGTACCTTTGCTTCTCATTTATTAACCATGGGAGAACCACTTACCCCATCTCAGTTCAAAGTGTACTTGACCCATATTTATTGCTACACGAATGCTATTCCCATGGCTTTGACATGACATAAGATCTTGATCAACATTTGAAACTGTACAAGAACAAGCTTGTACATACCAAGTTCATGCTCTGAAGGTAGAAATCTACCTAAGCTATCAGATTTTTCCCAGATAGACAAGTGGCTTTTTTGTGAAACAATTTATACAACACATTCAAACATTTGCAGGTGCCTTAACATATTCAAAACAAGAACTGCATATAATCTTAATGGGATGCATTCAGTCCTATACTTCCATATGAGATCAAAAAATTAAGTCTTCCACATTTCCCTTTTTTCAAAATGAACATTATCCTTAGTCTGAACACTGCAGTGAATATCTAGATTATACACCTCACACCCAGGATTCTATTAAACACTTGGGGGGTTTTATTAGGAAGAAAAACAGTTGTAACTCAAGTTTTGTACAGAAATTTAGGCCAAGCACATGCATAAAGAAGATGTCTGCCAGACAAGATAAACCATAATTATGCACATACACCAAAAATTTAGGTAAGAATTTATAGCTTCTGAAATGTACCCCTTAAAAAAGGGAAATACAATGTCAGCTTTGAGACTTCCAACAGCCCATTGTACACTGGGGGGGACTGCAGACGAGAAGCTTCTTACAAGCTGTAATATCAGGAAGTCCATTTAAACAATATTTACACCTCCTAAGCTGGCATGTACGCCCAAACAAATTTCCAACTTGTATATATTTAAATACAAAAATGAAACAAAACCATCCTTTTTAGCTCGTGCCAACACGAAAAGGAGAACTGAGAAACCACTTCAACCACCTGAAGTTTGATCGGACAGTTGGAAAGTGCCTTAATAAGAACCAAAAAAGTGTGCATTTGTTGCAATCACAAGCATATACATAACAATACATTGCTGAGCAGAGAGATGGAACCGATCAAGTTACAAGTGCATCCAGTAGGCACTGAAGGTTTGCTCATGCTAAAGGTTTTAGCAACAGTTCACCAGGCTCCTTTGCTTTATTTAGTTTTGTGGTAATACTCCAAATTTAAATAAGATTTTATTTTCCTTCAGTCTTGGGTAGCTAGCCCTCATCATGAAGTGGTTGGAGTTTTAAAAAAAAAAAAACCGAATCATTATAATATTACAGAAAGGGTTGGTGGCAATCCTGAGTATGTACAGTAGTAACTGATGGAACAAGGAAGCTTTGTTCAAAATAAATGTAAGCTTTCTTTGTACAACTGTGTACAAACTAACCAGTTACCAGCAGGCAGGCTAACTAACCTAAATTAAAGGAAGTACTTTCTCCTTTTTCCACCCCCAAAAGGAGTTCAAAGCTTCCATTTTCAATATGAAACCTTAATTGACATTTCAGGAGCAGCACTTTAAAAACTAGTTCAACCTTTACTCCTTTGGGTGCACGTAAACAAAATTAATGCCCGATGGTTCACAACTAGCATCTGTAGTGCCAATTCCTTTAGTTTACACAAAGCCAAAAGTCCAGCTCGTCTCAGCAATGGCCTGTAGGTTTCTGAAAATTGGAAAAATGAACAATTAGATAAATGAAACTGTCAGATTTCTACAGCTCCATACATAATGAAAGCCATTTAGTTAGCAAGTCAAATTCACTACATTTCCACTAATCTAGGCAAGATTTGTTTTCCCTTCTGTGTCCATTATCTTCCATTGTCAATCCAATTCATCCCAGCAATAGAGCAACAAGTGCTGCAACTGGAGCCTTTAGTTTTGCTAACCTGTAGTTTCCTTCACAAGGCATACGGTAAACTTCCATAACTGTTCCAATGGAATACGTCTGGTACAAAACAAGTTTCCGACAAGTATGTATTCAACATATCAAATTGATTTCAAAATAGGAAACCAAAATAACAACCCTTGCATTTGGTTTTGTGCCTTTATAATACTATAGTGCTTTTATAATAAAGTGCCTTTCATGTGTGGGGGGGCTCTTCATTAGAGTGAGTTTTTGGGGGCAAATGAAACAGAACAACCTTAGATCTCTTACTGCTATACCTTTATTCCTAAACCCTGCTGCCACCACCATTTCGTGGCATTGAAGAGGTTCTTCTCCCCCCTCCACGGCCCCTTCCACCACGGAAACCTCCACGATAGCCACGGCCACGAAGAAACCTGGCCGAGATACCAAAGGTCTCTGTGTTCAGCTTTCTTTCTTCAGCCCATGTCCGCCTGCAGACAAATTCAATGGACAAACGTAAAGCAGCTGATGACAATAAAAAAACTACAGCTGCTGTCAAAAAGTTATCAGCCGATGGGAACCATTTCCATTTGATACGGCAAGCAACTCAGCTAATTCTGATGTTAAATTAAAACAGACTGGACATTTATAACATTTGAAGCGATCACTAACAACACCTTCCACAGGCTTGAGTGGATACACTCCCAGGTTACATCACTGGTCTTTACCAAGTTAGCTTATCTCATGCAGGGCAGCTGTCTACTCAAAAATTAGCCTAAACTATCGTTTGTGGGAAGGAAGACAAAACTGCAGAGCTTTCAGCTGCTAACCTGCCACTTCAGCACACAGGCAAGCAAAATTGAGCGCAGTGGACAAGATAAATTAGTCCATAAGCATATATGAGTTACAGGAGGAATTTACTTTTATGCATTATCTGGACTGCAATTCTTACCTCGTCTTTGGCTCAGTAGAAATATTATCAAAGAAGGATTTTGTTTTGTCATAGTAACAATTAGTTCCAAGAGGTTCTTCATCTTTACTTTCGACACTTGTCTGCAGCTCAACACTCAAATCCACTTTTTCTTCGGGTTCACCTCCATCTACTTTTTGTACTTTGTCATCTTTAAACACAACATATTCCATTAGTTTTACAAACACAATCTGGCCCTCTTACATAATAATGCTGCTCATCATGGAAACGTCTGCAGTGAAGCAGAGAATAGTAGTCGCACTAATTGTGTGCAACATCTTGATAGTTTTAGTGACTGGTAAGCAAGGTGTGACTTTGCTATCCAACTCTTGGCCAGAACTCTTATACCTTTATAGATGCTGAAAACTTACCATTTATCTTGAGCTTGTTCTGAAACTCCTTTTCAAATTCCTCTTTGTTAAACTGAGCATTGGCACTTTCAAAATCAAAGTCACCTTCAAATTTCATTGTTGCTTCTTTAATGTTTCCAGAGAAGTTTTGCCCTCTTCCACGGCTTCGAACTCGTCGATTTCCTTCAAAGGAAGTTAAAATAGCACTTACCAGCTAAAGTTAGACTAAAAGCCATTGGCAAGATACGAACAATGTTTAGGTGCTAAAACATTCAAAGCAACATTCAAAGCTTCTGTAACCCTTGCAAAACAAATCTGCCATGCATTTCTATACGTATACCCGGCACCATTCACTTTATTTAGATTGGTTAAAAAATCTCATTTCTATGAGGATGCTAAATAGTGAGGTCAGTATTCACTGTGAAGCTAATGCATTTCACTTCTGGAAACACTTTCACCAGTCTATGTGGCCAAGGCAAAATAAAAACATTTTAAGCCCGTTTCTTTGCTAAGAAAAATGATAGATTTCACTTCATATTAACATTTTCATACACTTTGGTGTAAACTACAAAGTGTAGATTTTTCCCAAATCAGGTTTTATACCAAACAATTCTACAAGTGCCCCATTTGCTCAGTTGTAACTGTCAAATACAGTAATGAGTTGCATCAGAAGTATTAAATATTTAATTGAAATTCTTGAACGCACTGAAACATGACCCTATCCCACAAAACGCTTAGTTCATAATTTGAACTTAAATCGAAAATCAAAATCATAAGCGCACCACAAAAGCCGAACATTTACCTGATCGCTTTCTCTGAGGAAGAGGCTTTTTATTCTCATCATTCACTTGAGCCTGACCTCGCTGCCCTGCAGTTTGCTGGATGTCTAAAGAGGAATAAAGGAAAAGGCACAATTCAGCTGAATGCACAAGTGCAAAACATCTTCACTATGAGTTTTTAGAACAACAATGTTTGAAATTCGTAGCCAGATTAAATGACTAGCGTTGTGAGCAACAACTTGGATTTACATTGCGTCCTCCACAGACTAATGAAATGAAAGTGCTTTGCCCTCCATAAATCCCCACTCTAATTTTTCATCACTGCAGCTATTTCGAGTTACTGCTGGTAACTTTGCATGTTTTCAGACAATAATAATGAACATACGCTAACAAAGTGTCACAATGTTAAAATGCCACTTGCAGTTTGTCTCCTTGCAACCAGTGTCTCATGGCCATTGTGTATCCATACCAGGATAGGTTCTTTCCTACCTTTTCTTTGCTCCTGTCCAGCTTGCTCATTTGTATTGGCTAATACTTTGGCTTGTTGCAGGTTCTTCTGATTAATGCCATCTATAGGACTGGTCTGCACACCCTGCTCCACCATGGGACTCTTCCTTTGAGGCATAGATGCAAAGCCAGAAGCTGCTGAACAAATACAGTTTCATTCCAGTGAATACTTCAGACCCAAATAGGCAGGGGAAGAGAGTAATGCATGCATTAAATTGATTGTTTTGTTCATCGGAGAATTAAAATGAATGACCAAAACTAAATTATACAAGAGCAATAATAAATGTACAGGATAATGTTATCCAACTAGTATTTGAGCAAAGATGCAGGGAAGTAGTTAAAAGTTTTCATACTGACCACAATCCAGGCCAATACTAAAATACCCTGCAAAACTAAAGGGTAGCACATTACTACTCAAAATCCAACTCAGTTTGCATTATGGTTTTAAAACTCATCCATAAAACAGCTGTTGCAACAAGTAGGAAAAAAATGGGATGCATGGAAATATCAGCTTGGCTTGGAGACTCTTAAGCATGGTGATGGGTTTCCACATATGTCAGACACCCGGCTGACCAAAAAAGTAGTGGTACTTTCCACAGTAAGTATTCAAGCAGAATCCAACCTCTCTCTCTCCCCAACTGAAACATATTTTTAGATCAATAATATAATTTTAAAATACACAGTGAATCTATTTGAGGTGGGCTAGGGTTAGTTACCCCCCCCCCTTGAGACAATGCACAACTGTGCAACACAGTGACAATCTGTCCTCAACTCAACAGCCAAGTGCCAACGTCTGTTCGTACTAGTCCATTCAACTCTTTGAAGGCAAGTAGCATTGCAGCTGCAAGGTTTCATTTAGCAAACAACAGGAAGATGATCAAAGTATGTTCTTTAAATTTAATTCAGGTTTATACATGTTGCTGCAACGTGCCAACATTAATATTTGAGAGCACAGAATTTCAGTATTCAAAGTCTTCTTCCTTCCAGACAGTCAGTTAGCTATTAATGAACCAAGATTTAATAACCTGATCTAATAGAATTCCAATTCACCATTTTATTGATCTACAAATCCAATATTTCACAAGTAACTGAACTCAGAATTCACAACACTAACTTACAGCGACTATCAGAGCAGCCGTTGTGATGACGTTTGATCAAATTTAAATCAGGTAAATAAACCACTAATGTAGACTATTGAAATGTATTTTACAATAATAATGCCTCTTCCAAATGCTCCCCCACCGACTTAACATGAAGTCTAATCCGACAACAAAATGACATTTGTATGGCGTCTTTCACGTTGGGAGGATGTCTCAAGGCACTAGACGGTCAGTGTTTCGGACCCGATCTTGGGATCAGGGAAGGGTGGAGGGCAGTTGAAGAGGAGGGTCTTGAAGGAGGCAAGGGAGGATCCAGGCGGAGGGACTGCGGGATAGAGTTTCAGAGGGTGGGGGCAGAGTAGCAGAATGTCCGCCGCCAATAGTGGGGTGAGCGAGGCTGGAGACGTGAAGCAGGCCGGAGCCCACTGAGCGAAGGGCGTGGGCAGGATGGTAGGAGGTCGCAGAGGTAGGCGGGAGCAAAACCATGAAGGGCTTTGAAGGTGAGGACTAGGATCTTGAACTGTATCCTCTGTGTGATGCGGAGCCAGTGGAGTTGGGCGAGGATCGGGGTGATGGGGTCACAGAGCCTGGTGCGGGAGAGGACACGGGCTGCAGATTTCCGGATGATCTGCAGCCTATGGAGGGAGGAGTTGGGGAGGCCGACAAGCAAGGAGGTTGCATAGTCAAGCCTCGACAGGTACTGATCAACCTTCAGGATCTTTCCAAAGAAGCCAATCTTCATCCGTAAGTTTAAATTGTGAATGTCAGCAGGATTACAAGAGACAGAGGCAAATGCTGTGCTCAGTTGACACCTGGGCACATACACACTTTACTGGAGGTCAGAGATAGCAATCAGACATCAGTTAAGAGATTACAAAGAAGGACCAATTGATTAGTACTACAGGACAACGATTAACAGACCCAAAGGCATAAAGAAACAACGAAAGACAGATGCAAAAAGCAGTCAGTGGTGCTACTCTGCGTGATGCATAGTACTAATTCTGTGAACAGCAAGAGAGAAAGCCATATTTCTCATCTCAATAATGGTGCAGAAAAATGGTTTATACCAAATGCTGCTGTTGAGTAAGAACGACCACAATAACATCCATCCCATAGGGCAGCAATATAGTAGCCATCATCAGCTATCCCATTGGTGAATATGGAGCACTTTTTCTCGCCCCCTCCAGATCAGAGGATTATAATTGCATTGCTAATTCACAGCTAATCCTCCATCACTGAGATTGCTCATTCCTGTAGGCTGGTATCAAAAAATAACTGTAGGCACAAATGATAACCATAACAAGGGCTTAAATAACTGTAGGCACAAATGATAACCCATAACAAGGGCTCAAAAATGCTCATTCAACAATGATTTGGGTGGAGATAGTTCTGGGGCAAAAATTCAACCCTTTCAATGGCAATGTTTGACCAACAAAATCTGAGGTAGAGCTTCACACACTGGAGTCCAATAAATGCTTATGCATTTGAATTGAGCCTGACTCAGTTAAACCTGAATATAGTGAACCTCTCATTATTGTGCTCCATTTCCAACAATGGGTTTATTAAGAGGTAGAAACCTCACAAAAAATTCCAAACTGTTTTATAGAAAACAAAAAGATTAATATCCCAAAGGTAGTGGAGAAGGAAATTTACATGTATAGATATGATGAAAAAAATTATGTAGATTCAGTGGGGGACAAAAAAAATCAAATCTTTATAATTTTTATGTCATGTTAATTTTCAGTGCCTTGGGACATCCTCCCGACATGAAAGGCGCTATATAAATGTAATTTTGTTGTTTCAATTCAGGAAAACTGAATCCATTCTGATTGCTGTAATTCGATGAGAAGGATACTTTAGTTTTGAATATTTGAAATAAACCTAAACTCAACCCATCCATGAACACAAGAGACACGGAGACACGTTCGCAACTGTCAGGTATTTACAACAGATGGACAACCTTCAGGACACTACTGTTACAGACATTACCCTGAGAAGTCAGTTGGTTTTTCTGCAAAGCTGCGGGATCAGATGGTTTTTCACGCTCTGTGCAGGCTGGCTGTGGTGAGGAAGGACTATCAGTGCTGGAGTGAGAAACTGTTGTGATTTGGGAGGGTGCTGAGCATCCTGTTAAAGCACAGGGAAGGAGAGAAAAGGGAACCAGAGGATCAATTCTACCAGTTCTTGTGAAAATTAAGCATCTTCAAAGCTCCTCAAGGATACTACGCAAAACAGTTAGAAGATGACAGACTCCAAAACTACTTTCTCAGCAGGAACGTAAATATTGCAGGGGCAAACCTTGCCTCCACTTCAACCTCTAAACCACAGCTCAAATAATCAAACAGATTGGCAACTTACTAAAAAAAAAGGAAAAAAACATGTAGTACAGACTTTCACAAGTTATATGGAAAATGCTTCCCAGAAATTAATAAGTTGAGTACTCTTGCACTCCATAATCCCAATTAATAGTAAATTAACTATTGTAAATTAAAATATAATTTGTTAGTGTCTAGATGCACATCAGTATTTTTAAAAAAAACAAACGTAGATGCTCATCTTTTTTCACGACAGGAATACATGTTCAGAGACTGTTAAAACAATTACATAGAATGATCAACCTTTTAGAACAATTGATCCTTTGCAATGCATTTGATCCACAGAAATAGAAATATTGCTACCAAACGTTATGTAATGAACTACGTTGTAAAAAAAAGCTATTACAATAAGGAGCTAAAATTAACATTATAAACTGGCCAGAAGCAATTAATGAACCAACTATTAATTTACAGTATAACCTAGCCAGAGTTTTCACTAAAGTTCAATGAACTATTATTATTATTCACATTCATTTACATCAATGAAAACTGATGAAATAGAACACTGACCTAAACCCACAGAGCCACCATATTGCTGTCCAACTAGAGATCTTCCAGCAAACTGACTGTACGGATTCATACTATGGAATGTGCTGTACGAAGCAGGAGGCTGAAATGAAGTCGTTGACGAATCACTCAATGAAGACTAGAAGAAAGATGTTTATGGCATTACTGACACACAGCTTGGATGAAAAAATAGTCAAAGTTCATCGTATTTACGAGGAGTATTGAGTATTCAGGAGGAATAATAGCACAGTGCATCAATAGCCATCCAGTGGAATAGGATAGGCAAGGTTTCCTCAAAATCATAAGAGAGATAGGTGGTCAATTTTTATTAACTTGTCGACATCACACAAAGTTAGCATGGCAAACAATTTACAAGAAGCATGGCACACTAAAGTTCAAAGATGTACCAGGAGGGTTTGTAAAATACACCAAAATAAATTAATTGGAACTAAATATTATAAGTTACCAGTTATTTACCTGTACAATAGCAGGATCCTGAGGTAAAGTATGTTGAGGTTTTGGGGGTTCACACACAGTAATATCTTTGATATCACTACCACGAAAGATAATGTATTCATAGATCTCATCTTTTGGGGCAAAAGGCCTATCTGTAGGCCGGTCTTCTGTTCCAAATGACCTCACTGCCAAACAAACAAGTTTACATTTCTTACACAGCATATATTCAAAAGGGTCACTTGAGAACAAAAGCTTTTCAGCACACTTTTTTGCTGGTTGTACATTTGTCATGATACTAACAGATTCCCTGCATGAATGAACATAATTGTTAACAATTACATATTCAGTCAGAGTGATCAGCAGTATCTTTGTCCATAGAGCAAGTATATCCAAGTTTGCTCTGACCTACATTTGAGCAAGACTTGCTGCATTACATTTTGAGGAATTCATGAAATTCTTAAATATGAACAATTGAGAAAGTAGTATATTACTACTCAAGTCCTCAAAAGCAGAATTTACATGTAAAGATTGCATTTCTCATTTAAAAAAAAATATTGTGCTCACCTAGTTATGGGATTTTTATGCTGCAAACTTTTAAAATCAGCAAAAACAAGGTCACAATCTCATCTACCTGAGCTGGATTCTATCTCCAGTCCCAGAGGTGAATATCAGGGTCAAACTCACTCCACTACCCTTTCAAAACGATATATATATTCATCTTTCTGTGCATCGATTTAAAACATGCCTGACATTTTGCCTTGTGAACACTGATAAATGCTGAAAACATAGAAAACCTGAAAAATTTGTACCAGGCAGAGCAGTAACAAGCCATATTTCCAAATCCTGATGTGTGCTTGAGCAAACCGCTGTTAACTCTTAATTTGTAGTTCTTACATAAGACAAGTATTTTAGGAGAAATTGTGTTGTGATTAGTGGGTGGTTGGAACCAGTTTACCAATACTAAGTTAAGCACTAATTATCCTTCTACAGGTTAGCAATTGAAGTGCATGAAATAATCAAGTGTCCCAACCAAAGTTAACAGTTCCAGGTTCAGGCTCCATTTCAAAACCTGCTCTAATCCCCAGTCCTCTGCAGTTGAGAATGGTCATTTCAGGTTGAAAGCCAAGAATGAGAGGAGGAATTGGTGATTCAAGCCAGGATTCCATATTGCAACAACAAAAGAAAGGAAATAATTAACAAGACTGCTATCAGGTGAAATAGTTGCACCTTTAGTGCATTTTAAACAGATCTACATTAGAGCCTACAGCAGGCAGAGGTTTTTATATATAAAAAACACTTGGAAGGTGTATTGGAGATAAAGCAAACATAGGAGGAGGGCCACAGGTTGGTGCACAATACCGGGTGCAAGTTGGGATTCGGGCATTTAAAATGACTAAAAAAAGGCAGTTTAATGGCGGTTTCAGTCAAATGGGGCCACAGGTAACGTTGGACATGTCTCAACGCCTCCTCCCAGCCAGAAACATAGGAACAGGAGGAGGCCATTCAGCCCCTCGAGCCTGTTCCGCATTCTAAGATCATGGCTGATCTGAACCTCAATTACCCGCCCATACCCCATATCCCCTGACCAATCCACCTCAGTCTGGACAATGTGAACGGATCCAACATCCACCGCCTTTTGGGGGATAGAGTTCCAGATTTTCATTGCTATTCAGGGACAAACCTCCATAACACATGTCTAATTGTGCACTTTGTGTGTGTGTGTGAGATGGTGTGAGGGGAAGCGGACAATTCAAGCCCTGGTTGACGGTCAGTGTGGCCCAGTGCAGCATATCCCCCCCCACCCCAGTCCCCTCAGCCCACACCCCCCCCACCCCAGTCCCCTCAGCCCACACCCCCCCCACCCCAGTCCCCTCAGCCCACATCCCCCCCCACCCCAGTCCCCTCAGCCCACACACCCCCCCACCCCAGTCCCCTCAGCCCACACCCACCCCAGTCCCCTCAGCCCCCCCCCACCCCAGTCCCCTCAGCCCACACCCACCCCAGTCCCCTCAGCCCACACCCCCCCCACCCCAGTCCCCTCAACCCACATCCCGGCTGCTGCCCCACCCACCACGTGCACACGCACGCACTCCCCTCCCCCCCCCCAAGGCTGTAAGGGTCGCGTGGCGTTGCGGGGATGAGGAGGCGAAGGAAGGAGAGAGGGGGGAGAGGAGAGGGGGAGAGGACGAAAATAGGCGCTAAATGAAACCCCTTTCGGACAAAGTGTGTGGGAGAGGTTCCCTCTCAAACAGCAAACACACAAACAAACAAACAAACAAACAAATAGCTGAGAGCCGCCCCTGGGGCCGCCCCTGGGGCCGAGGCCGCTCGGGGGCCGCCCCTGGGGCCGAGGCCGCTCGGGGCCGCTCCGGGCCGCTCCGGGCCGGGCCGGGCCCGCGGTCACTCACCCTTGGCCAGGGCCACGGTGGAGTTGTCCGTGTCGATGGTGTACAGGATTCCCTCATAGCGGATCTGCGCCTTGGAGATCAGACTGATCTTACTGCCGATATACGGCGTCCCGCCGCTCATGGTCACCGCCTCGCACTCTCCCTCTCAGACACCTCCTCCTTCCCCCTCTCTCTCCCGTCACCGCCTCTTAAATATGGCGCCGGACGGCCATCGCCACCCCAGCGGCCCCGACCCCACACGCTCCCCCACAGCGACACCCACAGGCCGGAGGAGAGCAGAGCACGTCAAGCTGTGCAGGCTGCGTGCTCCAGCGCTGCCGCACCGTGTGAGCGTGTGGACGGTGTGAGTGAGTGTGAGTCAGTGAGTGTGAGTGAGTGAGTGTGGTATGTGAATGAGTGTGGTGTGTGATGTGAGTATGTGTGAGTGAGTGTGTGTGAGTGTGGTATGTGATGTGAGTGAGTGTGGTATGTGATGTGAGTGAGTGTGGTGTGTGATGTGAGTATGTGTGAGTGTGTGTGAGTCAGTGAGTGTGTGTGAGTGTGGTATGTGATGTGAGTGAGTGTGAGTATGTGAATGAGTGTGGTGTGTGATGTGAGTATGTGTATGTGAATGAGTGAGTGAATGTGAGTGAGGGTATGTGTGAGTGTGTGGTGTGCTGTGTGTGAGTGAGTGAATGTGAGTGAGTGTGTGTGGTGAGTGTGCGTTAGTCGATCGGAGGGATCCCTTTTCCGGGGGTAATAATTACTTATTCCATGACTGTTTGTGAGACGCTGCTGTGCGCAATTCACAAAACACAGTCGATTCACTTTACAGCGTCTCGAAGACGCGATAAGGCACTATATAAATGCAAGAATTAGTAATAATTGCTCTAAACTTTCTAACAGTTTTCGACTGTTTGACATTGCGCCTCATCATCAGCTTCTCAAAATGCTTTACAAGAGGGTAGTGAGTGACGTATGCATTTTGCAGGTGAACTGGGAAGATAATTTTTACAAAGCAGTGTCCCACAAACAGCAAATGAAGTGAATGACCAATCTTATCTGATGGATTGTTGTCCAGCACACCGGAAATGCCATTGTCTTTTTGAATTGTGCCATGGGCTCAATATCCAGTTGGATCTTGGTTTAATTTCTCATTTAAAGGCCAACATCTCCCAGCATTTTATTGGAGTGTCAGCCTTGACTAGAGGTCAGAGGCTTGAATCCATATCCTGATACTGAAAGACGGGAGTTATCCCAACTGAACCAGGTTGACACACCAAATTACTTTTAAATTTGATAAGATTATTTTTAAAAATGTTAAGTGAATTAAATAAAATATTGAATGGCTGTAATCCTTCAAACGTAAACGTGGTACATTGATGAGCTGGCTCACAGTCCAGGCTAACTCTCCATGAAGTACTATAATGGTACACACTCCCCCCACCCCCAAGGAGGGGGAGGGTGTGCCATTTTTTGTCTCCCAAAGTGACACTCGTGCGGAGTACATTTCTCCTTTGGAATTGTAGAAATATCACCAAACGATTCAAACCCTTGTGGTCATCACAGTTGAGAATAATCCAATAGGATGATGCACTTTCAGGCAGGGATCATTGGATAATGATCAGTAGCAAGAAAACCCAGTTCTAATCTCAATGAACTCATCACAGACTGAATATTTTATCATGAGAGCTATCCTGGAAGTATTTTGATCATAGAATAAATAACAAATATTGTGTTTTAAGGGTTGGTCTTCAATTCTCAAGAGATTAGCATAAGTTAGTTTTACCTTTGTCCAATATCCTATATTTTCATCAATGTAAAATACATAGACCAATTTTTTCCAATTATCTTTAATAACCATGTTCAGGTAAAAATATTCTGGTAAGTGAATCGAGGGACATATGGCGGTGATGCCATCCTTTGTGATGAAATGGAATTTCCTTTTCAGAAGGTTAACATTTTATTTGTGACATAATAGAAACTTAGAATTGCATCTCAGGGTCAAATTGTTACAATTCCATAAATAGAATAACTGAAGGGGAGACAGTAGTTGCTTCGTCTAATTTTGTGATGTTGTGAAATATGTAACCAACTGGCAATAAAAGGTAGGCTGGACTATGTTGCATAATTTGACATGAAAAAATTGGATATTCTATTCCACATACATTTGAAGTATTGATGTAATCAACACCAAACAAATTCATAACATGACAAGGATAACAATTTGAAAGAGAAAGCCAATGTTTAAAAGCTGGCGATATTCATGGTACGTCACCATTACTAGTTCTAAGATGCAAATTTCTTAGTGGATTAGATTCCAGACACAAGGTAGGTGGATATCAAATGAGTCTTAGAAAGGCTTTAACTGGCACAAGTTGATTCACAGTATACTTGGGTTAATCAACTGTGTAATTCAAATTTTAAAAAAAGCTCAGGTGCCAATATCCATGATTAGCATGGGTACAGTTTTGGAGGGTGGGGGTACAATAGTTTGCAATTAGTCTCTTGATTCACTATTGTAAATGCTGCAAATATAAAACTCCAAATTTAGTAATGCTGGATGCATTTCTCAATCCTGTTTAATTTAAATTACTTTTGCTGCCTCAATTTGATTTGTGTTTAATGATCACATTCCTTCTGTGTGAAGACATTTGATTTCCGTCTTTCTTTTCTTCCCCCTGAAATGTTGTGCTATTTTCTCTTTTTAATTGTTGGCAGTTTCTCCCTATACTTTTTTTTAAAAAAACTACCTGGTATATTTCTACTTATGGTCTAAAAATGGTCTACCGTCATTTGTTGTTTTCTTCTCTTGTGCTCTTCCTTATATTTTGAACATCTATTCACACCAAAACACCTCAATATAATGAAACTTCAGGAGCGTTGCAATTTTGTACACAAGAGATTGTCATGTTCTCACATTATCGGGGCATGCTGTGTATAATTGTGAAAACTGATAATTGTGGATGTCTCTCATCATAAGAGCCTCTTTAACCAATTAAAATGAGAACGTCCCAGCTGTCAAAACAAAAAATATCAACTGCAAAAGTTATTTATCTGGGATTTCATTAAATATTTCCAATCAAAACTATTTCTTCACAAGCTGTTAATTCTCTCCTTTTGTAATGGAAATAAATGTGTTTAAGTTCCACACTACTAACCATCTTTAGAAAACTATGTCAACACAAATAGAAACATGTCTCTAATATGCACTCATCAGTTTCATTGAGCTTTCAGACTGTTGTGCCTCCACTATATTCCCACTGGATAGATCTATTCTAATCCTATTTCACTGTTCTTCCCCCCTTCACTGCCTTATCGTTTATAATTCTTAGCTGCAGTTTTGTCTGAAAGTGTAATTTTCAGCAATGTTAAATATACCCAATTATTTAGTATGGAAGAGAACACAATACCATTGCAAGTTTATTTGCCATTACACACATTGAAAATGATACACAAATTCCAGGCTCTTCTCCAAATGCAAGTTGTTGTTGAAGTTGTTCTTAAATGACTGGATGTTCTTCAAGATGATGCAACTGTCTTATGTAAATATTGCTCAATGATCCTTAATTAACATGGAACTATCAAGTTGAGGAAAGTTCACATGGTTTAACAATGGAAAAGTCCAGCGTCAAATCCCTATGGAACAACTCAACCCTTTACCCTTTAGGGTTGAACAAATGAGCATCAGGGGAGGATATCAATGCATTTCCCTGGGACTTAAGTAGTGCTAGGGACACAAGGTGATCTTAGTCACAGTCGTCTCAAGTTACTGTTGATCGTTAGCAAACCTGACTGGCTCATCAGTGAAAGATGGAGTCATCACTAACAATGGAGCAAAGTTACAGTACAAACTTAGCTCAGGAATTACGTGATTAAATTGACAGTTCCTTTGGCAGATACCATTGCAGGTGATCAATCAAAGGAAGGATGTAGAAATAGATTGAGCAATAGTTGTAGGTAAACTTTCTGGTTAGAACTAGTCAAAACATCTCATCAAGGCAGATGCTCCTGAAATGGGTAAATGTGCATTTATAACCTGAGATGGCTGTCACTAACAATTGGATAGATCGAGAAACTAAGGGTGTTATCAGATTAGTTAGGGAGTGGAGGTGTTGTACTGCCCCATTCAATCTCATTACGAGGCTAACCCAATGAATTTAGGTTTAAAATCCCCATAATGAATAGCACTCATTTGTTGATTTTAGCAAGTCCAAGTGGTTTCAATTCAGTTCACACATACAACAGGTTTTGTATAGTTTATCACTAATCTACTCCCAAATTGAAGTCTAGTATATACAAACTAATAGATGCTCCACATTTGCTCTCCTCCACCCTCACGTCTTACTTTTTTGTCCTCTTAACATGACAGGGATTTCAGTGAACTGAGTCAGCATGGATGGATGTGGAGGAAACCCTAGTTACAAGGAAGACTACAGTAAGTAATAGTGTATCTCATTGGATAGCATCAAGAGATAGCTGCAGTTTAAGATCTTTTCCCCATATTACAAATTATTGTGAAGAGGCAGAAACTCAAACATCTCTTCATAATTTTGAGCCAGAAATTGACCAACTTTACACACAACTTATTGACCTGAAAGATGTGTGAAGTCAATATAATTATTACTTCAAATCAATTTTGGTACACCAAGTGCATGACCTCCTAAACTTGATAATTCTGAAAAGCAATACATTTCTCTTATACAATCTTAGCTGCAAGGATGTCCTGATCGGATATGCCATAGGCTGATGCAAGTTAAAGCTTGCTAATAATGTCAAGATCTGCATTGCATACTGAAAGCTGAACACTTATCACCATGAAAATAGTCAACTACTTATGTGGTGAAAAGAATGGGAATTTTCTTATATTGTATTATAAAAATGTTGAATCTAGTACATTTAAATAATATTTCAGTCTTTCTCAGCATTAGATTTGCAAAAATATTTTTATTCACAAATGTCTTTATCCACACAAAATTCACATGGCACATTTGAATGTCAGGTTTAGCATGTTAATTTCTAAAGATTAAATATTCCTGGTTATTTAGTCCCAGAAGTTTCAGCAAGAAAGTAAATACCTTTTCTCATGCAGCTACACAACAGTTAACAGTACAAACAAGCTACAGGCAGCGGGGCTGGCTTGGAAGATTGGAAGGCTAAACGTACGTTTCTCTACTCAAAAAGAAGGGAGTTTCTCCTGGTATCCTGGCCAGCAATCATCCAGATAAAATTGGTCAATTACTTCATGGCTGTTTGTGGCCCATTGCTGTGCAAAAATTGTCTGCGGCATTCACCTAGAAATGCACGTTACAGTAAATTTTCAACAACATAAGACTATATCACAGTCTCTCTAGATAAAATTTACAAAGAATGGATAGCACAGAAACAGGCCACTTGGCCCAAATAGTCTGTGCCAGTGTTCATACTCCATACGAATTTCCACCCATTCCTTTACTCCTACCTGTACCCTTCTATTCCCCTTTCCCTCACGTGAAGGTCCAGCTTCCTCTTGAATGCATTTATACTATCTGATTCAACCACCGCTTTAGGCAGCGAGTTTCACAATCTCACTACCCTCTGCGTGAAGGAGTTTCCACTGATTACATCAATACATGGACAAGATTCATTTTCTTCAGTCTTGATTTTGAGATTCAATTTATAAAATAATGAAGCATCTCAACTTGGACCTTCACATATTTAGTTTGTTTCACATTCCCAGCCACCTTCTAACTGGTTTCTTGGCCACTTTAATTACAAATCCTCCAATGATATTGCACTGCTCAACAATGGAAAGAAGAGAGTATACAATCTCAGTATAATCTCAAAATAATAGCATTCACAAAAAAGCTTGCCTATCTCTATATTCTTTCTATAACTGTTGCCCTATCTTTATATACAAAGTTGTTCATGCAGCCTTTCAAGCTGCTTTAGAAAAATATTTTTCACTCATCTGCTGTGTTGGTTTCAAGAAAGTGTCCTTCAGTTGTATATTTGTCATTAAATAGTTTTACAAATGTTTGAATAACTGAATTGCCCTTCGCTATATCAAATGCAAGGGTTATTATTAATTCATCATGTGCATTCACGGATTTTATTCACTATCTTTGCCTGGTTGTTCAAATCAATAGCTTGTCTACAACAAACCTGGGCTTGAGCTTTGCCTTCATATTTCAATCAAGATCATTTGAAGAGCCACATTTCTTGAGTTGCACATGTTCACTATGCTGTAAAAGTGGCACCTTTTCTTTTGGAACAGAAAAAACACATCCTCCACACGCAAACGCACACTTTTTGAAAATTAACAACTGCAACAGCTTTATATAGCGCTATTCACACAGGATAGTGTTTCTTTAGGATTTTGTCCAGCACTTCAGTCCAGTCGACAAAGCCAGACAAGTTTCTTCATGATATTGCAGTAATTCCTCTTTAATGTTCCAAAAAAATCACATTGGAACTGTACAGAGAGAATATTCATTCACATTCATATTTTGATCTGAATATTCTTCGATGATGCCTACATCTTAGGCTGTGATGCATTTGGAACCACAATTTTAATCCTTTAATTTAAATCTAGAATTTTCCACTTTTAGTCTTCTTCTGCTGTACTCTGAAAGCATACTTAAATCCCAATCTCTATTGATAATCACCAGTAGAGAAATTCACACGTGAAGTTTTGAAAAAAAACTATTAAACAAGCTAACATATACTGAGTACCTTCAGAAGATAAATTATTTTACCAAATTGTCAAATGAATAGTGTAAACACACAGAACACAGCTCAGAACAAATTAACAGGGCTTAATAATACTTGCATTAAAATATAGCGTCTATTACATCAAAACATATCAAAGCACTTCAGAGTACTTCTGTTAAGTGTAGTAACTGTGTATTGATAGGCAAACACAGCAGACAATTTACGCAGGAAGTGAACAATGCTTTGACAACGGGGTCTTATTCCAATCTCAATGACATGGTATGGCACTATATCAACTGCAAGGATTATTATTAATAATCACTACTAACATACAATATAACTAGGCACGAATTTGTACACAGAACAATAAAACTATCAGTTCACTCAACCTCCTTTTCAACGCACAGGATTCCTATCCAACCATATGAAAAACCTATTGATGAGAATATATATATAGATATACACGTTTAAAAAAAGCACCAAAAAAAATCACCTTTTTTGTCCAGATCAAGTGCAAAGCTAACCAATTCTCTCACCTTCTTTGTGCAAGAAAAAAAAAGGGGGGAAATACTGCCATAAACAGGACACAAAGAAAAGGAGAAAAAAATCCCTCAAAAGTAGTAGCTTTTAGCATCTCCCACTGAGACACATCAAGTGAAGGATTGGAGAGCAAGTTGTAAGCTGCGGTTGCCCTGTTGCACCAGGTGTGGCGCCCTACAGCAGCTGGGAGGCAGGGAGCCATCTTGCCCACAGACAAATACACAGATAAAGGCTGAAAATCCGGTGGAAACGGCGCAATTCGACTCGAATCCGGTCGAAACGGCGAGGCTCTCGCGCCCGGTGTTGGCGGGAGGGCGGGGGGGGCCGGCCCCGGGGCTCCCCTGCCGGCCCGTCAGCCTGTTCCTCTCCAGCGCGTCCGCCGCCCGCTCGGCGCCATCGTCCCCACCGCCCAACACCGGGCTCCCTGATTGGCCGGCGCCGTACGCCGGGCGCGGGCCAATCGGCGGGCGCGGTGATGGGCCCGGGTCTGACGTCACCGCCGGCCACAGCGGGCAGTGCGCAGGCGCCGTGCAAGTCAAACAAGAGTTTCTGCCTTAAGATGGCGGCGGGGGCTCCAGATCTGCTGGACGATGTGTTCTTCTCGGACGTGGACGAGAAAGTGGTGAGCGACCTGGTGGGCTCCCTGGAGACCCAGTTGGCGGCCTCGGGTCACAGCGCGGCCGAGGAGCCGGGCAGCAGGGCCCAGGCCCTGAACAATCACGTGGAAAACACAGGCGGGAGCGGCGGCGGCGGCGGGAGCGGGAGCGGGGTGAGCAATAATGTCCAGCTGCCACCAACAGCAGAGAACAAAATGGGACTGGCAGGAGCGGGGCTCCCCAACGCGGCCAGTGTCAAAGTGGAGGCAGCCCCGGGGGGCAAAAACGCACAGATTACCTCGCAGAACGCGTTCGTCGGCGGCGGGGCTTTGCCCTGCCCGGTGGCGGGGACGGCGGGAAGCGGGCTTCAGCCAAGTGTTGTTCTCAATAACACCAGGTCCCAGGCTCCGGGAGTGGAACAAGAGCAGAACACGGCGGCGGCGGCGGTGACAGGATCTTCCTCCTCCTCCTCCTCATCCTCCTCCTCCTCCTCATCGGAGACGCCAGCTTCAGGCAGCATCGCTCAAGGGAAGTCGGTGGTGATCAGTGCGATGGCTCCCCCGGTCTCCAACCATGTGAAGACTGTCACCTCCAACGTACAAACTCTGAACGGGAATAATGGGATGCTGATCAACTCTCACAATGCAGGAAGTGCCACCACTTTCACTTGCTCGGCAGCTGCGACTACTACCTTACCAGCTGTCACAGTGGTTAATAATGGACCTGGATCTGTGGTGAAAGGCACGATGAATGCAGCTTTGCCAGCGGCGTCTTTACCGGCCTCCAGTTCTGCCTACACAGTTATTCAGACGTCTTTTGTCAGTACGCAGAATGTTCCTACTTCAACTGTCGTTTCCTCACCGGCAGCTGGACCCACGGTGACATTGGTTAGACCACCAGCTCACAGTGCTGCTACTCTGCCGGTTGCCTCCACGCCGAACGGTAGCAGTACAATATTGAACTCGACCGTTAATGTCACAAACTTGCCAGCTCCTGGTGGCGCCGGGACTTCTCATCAGACTTCACTTCTGACTTTAAACAGTCAGCCTAGTTTGTCAAGCAACGTGTCTTTGTCTGCTGGCGGGCAGGTTATCAAATCCGATTCACAACAGCCCAAAACTATTATACAGACACCACAACAGACGATCGGTACTGGAATGTTAACAACAACTGGTAGTACTGTAGTCAGTGTAAGCAATCAGTCAAATACGAGTACTATGGTAATAGGTCAGCCCATGCAAAGTGGGATCCAGAATGTGGCACCCAATCCTGGAGGAATTTCCACACAGCCAGCTGGTACACCAACAGGCATGGCCAAGGGAACGATTTGCACGGTTGCCCAAACTCTAGCAAGGACAGCAGCAGTGAACACTGGTCCAAGGACAACCATAACACCACAAATAATAGCTCCCCGCCTCCCTCAACCCCCACAGCATCAGCCAAACATTCAAAATATTCAGATTCCCCCAGGTGAGAGCCAATCATATTGTTCTGTGTTTTCTGCTTGTGCATTTAAGACTTTTGACAGTTAACTTTATACCCAAGGCCAGTTATACAGAGAGATAATTTATGGTGTTGGAGATAATTAACCCATAAGAGAAATTTATGGCAAAGTCTGAAATTAAAATATAATTGCAGAAATGAAGAAAGTACAGGAGACTGCAGTGAGATATGTCTTGTTCAGTTTAAGATTTCTAAAGCTGCTAACTTATGAATTCTGATTGTTGCAAATTGAATTTGAAATTTCACAAAGGAATCAGATTAAGAAATACAAATGATTTACATACAAATGCTACTACATACATACTTATTTAAGTAATCTAGGCAAACTTAATTTACAAATCAAATGCTTGCTCTATTTATCTATAGCATTCACTGAAATATGTTTGTAAGAGTACAGTACCGGGAACATTAGTTACCATATTTTGTATCTTGCAATGCTGCACTTGAGTAAGGCAACTGAATTTCTGCTCTAATACCGACCGACCGGTGTGTCAGTGTGTGTGTTGGAAAATGATTGCATCTACTAGATTTTAGAAAACAGGCAAGGTTTGTAATTACTTTTTATATTGATTTACCAAACATCCAATTACCATTTTTCTCACTCTTTCCTGAAATTAAAGTTACAAAATACCTAAAATTGAAGATTTTCAATGATCAGTATGTAACTAAGAACTTAATGGCTGATTTGTTGATTCGGTTAAGATCAGCTGAATGCATTGAATCATTGCAGAGTAAAATGTGCACCAAATATGAAGCCAGATTAATTGCGGTATTCTTTCTCTCTAAAACAAACCAACTTGCTGCTAAACATTCATAGAACTTTCTAAACTAATTTCTCAAAATGATTTGCATTGCATGTTATTTTCTTTACAGGTCGGAATGGAAAATGTTCTTAAGTTTATTTATAAGTTCATCAAATTGGTTATTATTATTATCATAGCACTTTCCAACCCTTTTAAAAGTAAATCTCTTAGAATAAGCTGCATTTCTGTAGTACCTTATACATAAAACTAAAGATTGCTTCACAAATTATAATCAATATCAAGTGAATGTTATGTAGGCAGCCAATCTGCACCAGCAATATCCCATAAATGATGCGATGAGCAGCCAATTAATTTGAATTTGGGAGTAAATGTTGATTAAGAGGGGGATGAAACACTGGGTAACCGGTAGAAAGACTCAAGTTTCTTTGAAGTAGCAATAGCAGGGCAGTCCCTTTAGGTCCACCTGATTCACAGAGGGGGAGAAAAGTTCAGGCTTTTAATGCACTCCATCTAACCTTATTAAAACGTCAATGGATTTGGTCGAGTTCTTCTAGTTGCATTCTCTGAAGAAGAGTCCAGTCAGCGTTGCACAATGTTTGAACTGAAATTAAATTGAAAATGTTTACCATTTCACCCAAGTAGGATATGTTCCACATCCACTGAACTCAATGTCCTCCTCTTTTGTACACATGATCTGAAATACAGTATTTTGCTGCTTCATTGCAAATTACAGTATAACCAATTTTTCATACCAGTGTTAAAGCTGACTCACTCACATTTATACTTAGTTTATCTTCAGTAAACGCACCTGCTGCTGTGTTCCAGTTCAGAAATAACAACAACAACTTGCATTAATACAGATCCCATCAAGCCAGGTGGTGTCTCGGAGACTTTCTAAAGTTATTAGTATTCAATGTAATGGTGTTTAAATGTCCACCTGATCTTGAAATGGCAATTTCTGGAGTTACTCTGACTCATTCCCTCCCTAGGTTTAAGGAACATCTCAAAACGTATTTCTTAGACTGCACTTTTGATCATCTTTCCCAACCTTACCCCCTTGTCTCCTACCCCTAGCTCGAGTATCCATCTCGCATTGGCAAGGTCTTCAAGATTTCCTCTCAATGCACTGTAAATGTATTGTATGGTATTTATTTTGATCTTAACATGATGCCTTTAGAGTTAAAAAGCATAGCTCAAAAAGAGAAGGGAGTTTCTCCCAGTGTCCTGGCCATTAATTTCTCTGGTAAAAATTTGTCATTTACTTCATGTCTGTTTGTGGGATTTTCCTGTGCTCAGAGTTAGCTGACGGCTTTGCTTACAGAATACACAGTCACTGTACCTTACAGTACATCCCATGAAGTGCTTAGAGGCGTCCTCCCGACATGAAAGGCACTATATCAAGTGTAAAGGTTGATTATAATAGCAAAGGGAAACCACGGCTCAAAAAAGTATTGACTAAATATCCTTAAACTTCTTTCCATTATATCTAATATTAGGTGTACTTTTATGTGCATTTAGGGCCATTGGGTGGCTTAAAAGGATTAAAGCAAAGAAAATTCTGGTGTCTTAACATCAATTCTTTCTGTTTTCTGCTTTTAGCCTCTTGTTTCAATTTTTTTTTTAAAAATACTCCAATTTCGTTAGACTAGTTGTGGCAGACTTTTACCTATAAGGTGGAGCACAACATACTAAACAGGGGAAGCTCCTGCCTCTCACCTCTTTAGTCCATCTATTTCATAACGACTTCAATACTTACAGGGATCAATTGGAGAGGGGTTTTATATATTAAAAAACCTAGCTTGAAAAAAACGTTCCCAGGCTAGAACCTAAAATGATAACAACAACAAAATTACATTTGTATAGTGCCTTTCATGTCAGGAGGACGTCCCAAGGTGCTGGACAAACAGAGTTTTGGACCCGAGCTTGGGGTCGGAGAGGGCGGGGGGGAAAGCAGGGAGATCGAAAGCACGATCGAAGTGGAGGGTCTTGAGATGGATCTTGAAGGAGGCAAAGGGAGGGGGTGAGGCGGAGGGACTGTGGGATGGAGTTCCAAAGCGTGGGGCAGAGTGGCAGAAGGCCCGCCTGCCAATAGTGGGGCGAGCAAGGCGGGGGACGTGAAGCAGGCCGGAGCCCACTGAATGGAGGGAGTGAACAAGATGGTCAGGGGTTAGGAGGTCGCAGAGGTGGGGAGGGGGAGCAAAACCATGGAGGGCTTTGAAGGTGAGGACCAGGATCTTGAACTGTATCCTCTGTGTGATGGGAAGCCAGTGGAGTCGGGCGAGGATGGGGGTGATAGGGTCATGGAGCCTGATGCAGGAGTAATGCTAAGGAAGAATCCCTAAGTCCAGCCAGTAGAAATGAAGTATATTTTCTAATTGTAAGTGTGCATATCAATTATACTCTAGTTTACAGTTAACTAATAGAACTTAGATTTATTGTTAACATTTTGACCTACTGAAAAAGGTCATTTTTGCCTAAAATTCCTCAGAAAATTGATGAATGCAAACAGAATGGTTTTCATTAATGTTAAACATCTTTCAACTAACCTTAATCAAGTACCTTTTTCATTATTTATGGTTATTTTTGTGTTAAATAAAATGGACAGAACACCTAGATTCATGTCATTTCAAAATGCGTCTGAGCAAATAAAAAAAAGTATGTGTCCAATTTGGTAACCTCCACTTTGAAACTTAGACAGCTGAAGTTATTAGAAACCAGTGCTATATGCATCAACGTTGTTTGGATTTAGTATTTTACTTTCAATATTTTTTTGTATTAAGATAGTATATTGCCGGGGTCTTCTCTGGTGTAAATATTGCTTCAACATTTACACAGAAGTTTACGTATGGACAGGACAGAAAGCAAGAGAAGGAAATGGGACACAATTTAGAAGTTGAAGAATTGTCAGGCAACTTGACAAAGCAATTGCGCACTCTATAGTGGATAAAATGCTGTACATTCTGCATCACTACTGTGTCACAGAATAGTGCAGCTGAGCCAGAGCCTGGGTCAGCTCCACATTGCAACTGGGTGTAAAACCACTGACTGGTGCAGAGGAAATGTTCTATAGTGAAAGTTGCTGAGCCGTGCTCCACCTGCTTATAAGGTAGTTTCTATTACTGGAAAAGAACTTGTTCCGTTGCCTTTTTTCTCCTCTAGATAATAAAATTCTGACAGTTTAAAGTACTGGTGCAGAGATCTGCTGTGCCCGAAGTGGAAGCAGTACAAGAGGAGTCTCACTTTGGGTGTACACTGAGCTACTGTGGAGTCCTGTAGCTCAGTGGTTAGAGCACTCGCCTCACAAGCGACAGACCTGGGTTGCATTCCCAGACAGAGTGAAATGTTGGGCAGGTTTCCTTACCCCACACGCCTTTGTTTACCTTGCAGTTAGTAGGAACCCGGTTGTCAGCAGATTGGCGGATTGCTTTTCTGGGGGTAATAATTCTTTCAAAACAAAATAATAAATTGGTCAGTTCATTCCACGACTGTTTTTGGGACAGTGCTGGGTGCAAATGGCTGCTACGTTTCACCCACAAAATATACAGCCAATTCACTTTACAGAATATTCTGAAGCGCTTTGAGATGTCTCGAAGACATGATAAGGCGCTATATCAAATGAAAGGATTATTATTATATTATTACATTCTCAAACCCGTACCTCTGTACCAGCATCAACACTATTATGTGTAATACAACTGCAGTGTGAAACTCAACACTTGGAAGAATGAAGCTTCTTTCCAACTAGTTTAGGTGAAACAATCTGAACAGAACCTCTGTTGTGAGAAGAACCTCATAAACAATACAGGAATCAGATTAGATTTTAGTTTGTGGCAGATTTTGTAAACCCATTTTCCCGCCTTTTCTCAACATCCCTTCCTTCCCAAGTACCTCTTTTTTTAAGCATTCCAATCAATGTTGCATCTGTGGGATTCTGGGACTATGGATTAATTCTTGCCAGCCTCTGCGTGACATAGTGAAATATCTTTTGATTTTATTTAACCATTCAAACTAATTGAAGGATTTGGTACCAATATTTTGGATCTATGAGAGAAAGAGTTCTTACACTTAGCTCATCAATTCCCTTCATTGCTTTATTTAACCATAACCCCCTCATTCACAGCTAAGACCCTTCATTCAATGTAATGTTGAATCTTCTTGAAACTAAACTATTTCAAATGAGACCTGAGCAGAACTGTGTACAAA